GGAGGCGCGAACCGTGGTTCGCCTTCGCCGAGATGCGCCATTGCATCGACCGGCGGCGTCGCGCGTGAGTGCATTTTTCGCACCGCACACGACGGGGTTCGCGGGGCCCGTTGCCCCCAACCCTCTCCCTAGTTGGTCCCTCAGCCGACATTTTTTGTCGACTGTCGTCCAGGAACCTTCCAGAGAGCGTATCTTTTCTCTCACCTAAGTTAACTCACCAGTTAGTATAATCACTTCCCCCGCAAGCTCCTCCAGTGCATAAATACCATCTCTAGGCAACTGGAAGCCCGCTGGCTTTAATGGCGGCTTCGGATTATAGAGTGGGTCGCAGAGACCAAGAGACCGCTCTGTCGTACGCACCATTTTGTTGTACAGCTAGGTTTTCTTTTGGGTTATAAGGAAACTAGATTGTGTAAGTAGATATTCAGGAACAACAGTCTGACACCTTCTAAACACAATCGATTGCAGTATGTGGATTGTGAAAAATACCTCTAGAGCAATGTTTATGTTGACAACTACTCGAAATACGAAAGTTCTTGAAGGATTCGTGTGGAAAAGCATGCTTTGGAGTCGCGTCTTTGGGTTTGGCTTTCGGGTACTGCTGTAATTTTACTGGGTTTGGAAAGTTAGACAACCATCATCACATTCCATGACTTCACCGAAAAACCGACAAAATTTTCGAAAATTCTGCTGACCGAAGGAGACATCAACCGACTGACCTGGTAGATTCCTTCCTCCTTTCACAGAGTGCAGGACAGATGACGATCGCCAGTCGCCAGAGCAACACCGAGATGAATACCCGCAGACCGAGATGGACACTAGCTGATCACGCCAGTCTCATATTCAAAAGCATAAATTTCTTGTTGCCGTCCTCAACGATGAGCAAGCGCTCCCTGCTGGTGGGCATCTAGTTTGTAACGTTCCTGCGCAATGATTTCACAAGTGTTGAATCGTTGTCGAACTTCCAAATGAGGATACTTGGGTTTTTGACGAGTAGGAATTCAATGCCTTGACGTCCTCAAGAACATAGATGACGTCCTCAAGAACATAGATGAGGACATGCAACTAATGTATTCCTACAACACCGAATGAGATCGAATCACCTGTTCTAAAAATATCCACTTTCTTATTATAGAAACGATTACCAGGAGCATGCTAAAAGAAAAAGACGTCAAAAAACACGAAAAGAACTACATCAACTACTTCGACAACAGAATTATGATGAATTAAGAATATTAATGACCTCAAAAAATTGCATGAGGCAACCGCTCGCCTAGGGACTTTGCCCTGCTGACAGAGCGCCACACATATTTATATATAAGTAGCATGTGCTTGAAGAATATATCAGAAATGCAAGGACGAGAAAATCATACACTTTGAAGTCTGTTCTGTGGAAGATAGATTGTCACCTCTGTTCACCATTATATTTCGTTCGTTCGCTGAAGCATACTTAGATAAGAAAGTCAAAAAATACAAACATATTTTCACCACAAAGAAAATTCCATCAGCTCTCTGAGCTTCAATGAATTCACTGTGCCCATATTGTTGTCGTGCACGAAGTACTATAACTTCTGTTTTTTGACGTAGTGATAGCAAACTCGAAATACCATAACAGTCTCATGCTAGTAGGGTATCTACAAGTACAAGTAAGGTCTATAACTTTATTTAAGATTCAGCAAGTACCTAAAACGCTATGTACAATATTGAGCCAATGGAATGGAATGCTGCCCAGGTCAGTATTCCGAAACTGTCCCAATATTACAGTACATGCCACTAAGACCCACTATCGCAGATACTTACATCTTAATTTTGGAGACTTTCAAGAAAGCCTTCTTTTCAGCTTCTCGATTCGCTGGTACAGTGGTAAGGATGTCCTTTAAGCAGGTGACTTCCTCGCTGCTCAGCATACCGAACTGCAAATCTGCCATGTACGTTTTTCCCAACGCGAAGAGGTATGGGGATTAGAGAAACGGAAGAAGTAGAAATGTAGCAAACATACTTCGTTGTGCATGATGATTAAGTACATTTATTAGGGTTAGTGCGTCTCTGGTCCGCTTGACTAGGAACAACCTGTTTTCTTTGCGCTGTGGAAAAATATAGCAAAAGTGCACTCATCTTCCACCACTAGCATTTATTAAAGTCTTCAAGTTATTATGTATTAGAAGTAACTAGTGGCGCAAACAACTTTCTACTACAGACCCATGTACCGACAACTGCTTGTTCATAATCATACTCCGTTTTTTCGCTTCCCTCTTCTGCTAAATGCAGTGCTTGTATGACTTGGCCAAGATGATCAGTTTCGATAGAGGACCGCTTGAAAATCGATGGAACAATTTTCGCAGGGACATGCTTCAACAAGTAGTTGCGCAAAGCAGAGAGTGGCTGGTTCTTCAGCGATGCGAGTACACGCTGGAAGTCGTAGGCGTTGATGGGCGTAGAGAAATTTCCACCAGAGGAGCTGGTGGGAAAATTAGATGAGGTGAGTTTTAAATCTTCATCATCTAGAGCGCTTCCTGTGCTGACAGTGATTCAACTACTGAAATATTAAGCGAGGAACAGACGAGAATAACCGAGTAACAGACTGAACTACAAGGAAGAGTAGCCTGTTGAGACTACTTACGTCTTATATTTCAGTCAGTAACTCGGTTATTTTCAGTTTTCGACTACTTATTGATTTGTTTTCAAATCGTAATTGCTCCTCCTCCGGATGAAGACGAGTTTGAAGTTCGTGCGGGCACTGCGGCTTTCCGCAACTTCTCAGCCTCTTGTTCGCGTTTTAGCTGAACCATTTTCTGCAAAATTTCTCGTTTCAACTTATCCGCTTCAGCTAGAAAATCAGCTTTGCTGTAGTGGTAGATTGAGGAGAGACAGAAGATAGAAGAAGGATGAAGTCTACCTTTAGTGGTAGTGCAACTGAGCTACTCATGATGAACAAGAACGTCGGAACCGTGTTCGTCATAGAAACAAGAAATCTAAGCACTTAGTAGGCTTTTGATCCTTAGATAGTCAAGAACCTTATTTTGCACGAGATGAAAAGAATCCTTATTACAGGACAAAGACGAGTATCTAAGCACTTAATAAGTGGGTATAATACTTCTCCGGAAATTCCATCACGCGATTCACATCCTGCAGAGCTCCTGCTAGTTCTCGACCAAGATGCAGGCGTGACTGTGCCCGTTTGTAGACGGCTTTTTTGATGGATTCCTTCATTTTCAGATCCCCTGCACCAAGCTGAGAGCCAATATCCAAGGAGGATGTTGCGTCACCTGTTTATTTGGTGAGGAAAAGATGAGAGCCGATATCCAAGGAGGATGTTGCGTCACCTGTTTTGAAGAGAGGAGGTTGCGTCACCTGTCTTGAAGAAGATTCAAGATTGATTGAAGTGCACCAGTTGTTGTAGCGTTTCTGCGTTTCTTGTACAATGTTCTTGGCACGAAGACGGACAGGGTTCTTGATCAGGTGCTTGTACTGCAACCTAGTAGAAGCGGCCAAGGAATCTTCAAAAAAACTAAAACTTAAACAACATATGCACATTCATTGATACGTTCGCATTCCTCGTAGTTTCCGAGTTTGTAGTGCGTCACTGCTCGGTTTGTGTAAACAACGGCGATCTTCTCTTTAGGAATCGAATTTTTCGACAGTCCGAAGTCGATGCATTTCTGATAAGCTACAACCGCATCCTCTAATCTGCCTTGTGAAAAGGCTCCGTTAGCAGCAGCCTTCAGTTGCTCAAACTCGGCTAAAACGTCTGCTGCGGGCTTCGTGGTAGAGGAACTACTGGCACTAGGCGTAGTTGTAGAGCGTTTAGGCGGATCGAACGCCTTGGGTGCTAGTGGCGCTGGAACGACTTCTACCTGTAAACGTTTTTACTTAAGATGATGGAGTTCGTCGCTTCATGAAGATAATTCGTACACCGTGTAACAGAAAATAGAGGGTTCATGTCAATCAAATCACGTGTTGCTAAGAGAAAGGGGTTCACGTGTTGCTGCTCAAGTTCATGTCAGTCTAATCACCACTTCTATGCATATCATGACCAATTGTCTAGTTGCACCTCGTCCTCGTCCCCATCTCCAATTTCGAGCTTCGTAAAGCCAGGCTCCACAGTATCGAAGGCTTTCTGGGGTTCGAGTTTGGCAATCTTCTCCAGGAACTGTGCACGCAGCTCGTCAAGACCAGCAGCCTCAGAGTTCTTCAGAGCTGCGTCGACATCGGCCAAGCCCGATTTTAGGATGCTGGGATCCGTCTGGATATTGTTGGAGTTTAGTGATGTGGGTTTGGAAAACGAGTATGAATTGAAATCTTCATCTTCTTGAGTGCGAGCACCGGTCTAGAGCTACAATCAATCATTACCTCCCCAAGTTGCAGCCTTGCTTGTGCGCGTCGATAACGCGCCTTAGTGTTTGTCGGGTCTAATTCCAACGACTCCGTGGCCGCCTCTTCTGCCCTAGCGTAGTCCTTCGCCTTTAGACTCGCAAACGCCGAGTTGCTCTTTACAAGAGCTGCTTGATGTTGAATCTTACTCTTTATCGCCGTCTGACCCGCACTAGAGACCTCATTGGATGATGCAGTGAACGTCGCAGCCGTGCATTCGTGGAGAAGCGAGTAAGCACACTTGTCGAAGACCCGTCTTGCTTCCTCAAACTTGCCTTCCTTGAACAGTGTGTTTCCAGCTTTCTTGGCGAGTTCGACGCCATCCTCTGTAGGCAAAACGCTGAGCTCAGGATAGGGATCGGCGTCCTTGGCAGCATCTTCATTGTCGTTCAGTCCGACACAGGGGATGCTGGCGCTGGATTCGTTTTCCACCTTGCTAATGCCAATCTTCTTTAGCATTTCGCTGTTTACTTTCACGAAAGAACTTTCTGCGGATTCGTCCGAAGAGCTAGTAGGTGGAACCTGAAGGGAAAATTCTTATAATCTAAATCTTTCTGTTTGACGAACGAACTCTCGCGATACTACTTAAGAACTTCGATATCATCTACGACGACTCTAAATCTATAGTATCTATAGATACACAGGAGATAAGTACAACTTACCACAGTACCTTATCTATACACAGGAGATAAGTACTGATAAAAAGTAGTACCTGTACCTCAGCCGGATCCACTATGACGATCGACTCTGAGGTTGACGTCGTGTCTTCCTCGGTGCTGCTGGGCGGGGGTGAGGCCGCTTCATCCTCCGAATCAGACTCCTCTACGATTTGCATCCTTGCGTAACAATGCGTAGAGGAGTCTGATTCGGAGGATTCTTGCGTGGCTCCAGTTGCAGTTGTTGTTGTCGTCGAGGTGGAGGTAGCACTATTAGAGCTCTCCCCTATTCATCCCTGTGGAAATCCCTCAAGCATATGCGTCAGTATCTATCTCCCTTGTATTGATCTATTGGGGCGCATATCTATGTTTGAGGGATGTCTACAGGGATGGATTGGGAGAAGCCTTAACACTAGTTGTAGTGTCTTTCTTCTTGCTATCGTCTTTCTCATCTACGTCTTTTTTCTTGATATCGTCTTTCTCATCTTCTGATGAATCCGACTCCTCTACGATTTGCATGCGCTTAAATCCTCCTTGCTTAGCTTCACCAGTTGAGGAGGTTTCCTTTGCTTGCTCTTCCTTCTTTTTTGCTTCAGCCACTACTTTAAAGGTTGCAGCATTACATTCTTCAGAACATCCCTCACCTCTTTCCTACTGGAAAAAGAGTGAGGAATGGTTGTGGGGGATGTAATTGGTTAACCCTTAACTACTTCTGTCTTCTTTGCAGTCTCGGTATCGTCTTCTTCAGAGTCTGACTCCTCTACGATTTGCATTCGTTTGAAGCCTGAGGACGAGGACGATGAGCTAGTTGCAGCAGAAGCGGTCCCCTCCACAACTTCTTCAATCTGGATCGAACTGCCAGGCCCGTCGTCGTCTTCGGAGTCGCTTTCTTCCACTATTTGCATGCGCTTGCGGTATGAAGGAGAGACTATTTTAGTTTTGAATTCGTATTCGATGAATCAGGTTATCACGAATAATGATGAGAGAGGACTAGATTGATGTAGGTCGTTTAGTGTTGAACTAACCCCTGCGCTAGAAGAACCTTAGATCAATATACGAAGAGGATTTTGGAGGTGGTTATCACAAATACAACAACAAGTAGATGAACACCTCCGGTTCTGAAAATGGTGTAATATCGTGAAATGAAAATGTAGTTTTCTAAGTGCGTCGGAATGGGATAGAAAGATGGGAAAACATCCATAAAAATCCTCCCGATGACGACGATGAAGCGCCTCCTGCAGCGCCTGCTAAAGCTGCCGTATCGTCGAAAAGCACATTCTTCGACAGGACAGGGCCACAATCGAGGAAGCTGTAACTGTTCTGCCTCTTCTGCCCAGCCGCTGCTTTCTCGAGTGCAGCTGCGATCTTTTTGTCTAGGGTGACAAAAGTGGGGTCGGATTCGTTGGCACTTGTATTAGAGATGATGGAGCTTGTAGTTACTGGCACAACAACATCTTTTCCTTATTTCCTTTGATGAATGTCATGATCATCTTGAGGTACAACTACTAGATGTAGTACAGTTTATTTGACCCTCCATAACTGCTGCTGCTGCACAGTCTAGTGCACGACAGGCTTCGCGACACCTACTGTTCTGGAATTCTTTCTCGGCCAGGCTGATCCAATCGGAAGCATTCATCGTGGGTGGCTTCGAGGAAGTCGACGATGCCGTAGCTCCTTTGGATGCCTCTGCTACTTCTGTGGCGTCTTCATCGTCATCCGAAGAATCCGAATCGATTTGGATCTGGAGGAGGGAGAAGATATTACAGGGTTATTTTCTTTGAAGGGGCAAACCTAGCGTATCTATAGATACATAGATGTGAAAACTAACCGGAAGATGTAGTTCTACTTAGTGCTTTAAGCCGAAGATCTTTATCAGGAAGCTGTTTCGTCTGCAAAAAAGACTGAGTGAGGGAAAGGCAAAAGATGAAGATTGATTGAGATTCGTTTACAAAATAATTTATTTGAAAGTAAGTCTTGGCTTAGAAGTACCCTCCTAAACGTCGGCTTTCCATCGTCTTTCTTCGAGGAACTGCTACTTGCACCCCCATCATTGCCAGAAGAAATTGCGGGTTTCGTAGCCACAGGTTTCGATGGCTGCGACGAAAGCATCTTCCTTGCTTCGCGCAAATCACCGTTAATCTGTGCTGAGTTCGGGTCTAATTGTAGTGCCTGTTGGAAATCGCGGACGGCTAGGTCGTAGCAGCCAAGATCGTAGTTTGCTTTGCCGCGTCTGTGAAGCGCCTTCATGTACGTTGGCACTAGTTTGAGAGCACGGTCGCAATCCTCTTTCGCCTGGCTAGCCTTCTTCCGCTTCAATCGGACCAAAGCGCGATTTGTAAACACAGACGGGGCGGAGGGGTTTAGGACTAAGGAGCGCGAATAGTACCTGTTGACAGGGCTTTGGGTTTAGGGCTAAGTGATGTAGATCTAGTTAACATTTTAGAGTTTCAAAGACTCCAAGAACAATCACGTCATTCAAGGAGCCAGCACAAAAAAAGTTAAGTACATCTCCGCTTCCTCCAAATCGGCGGCATAGAAAGCTTCATTGCCTTTCTCTTTCTCGCTAGTAGCCATCTGTTCACGCTGGATAGAGGATAAAGAGGCTAGCTTTTCCCTGGAAAAATATTCCTCCTCAAAGTCTTGGGTTTGCTGCATAGCCGCTTGCCTCTCGCGATTCGCCGCGCGTTCGGCTTCTTCGGAGATTAGAAGAAAAGAGAGATCTACTTCGGTTCTTTATCCAAAACTTCTATCGCTATCTTCTCATCTGTAACTTCTTCTTGTCTCATAACTTCGCATCAATATCCTCTTCCATCTTGTCGATGTCGACCTGGTCCCAATTCCTGTAGTAGTCTTTCATCTTCGTCTTATCCCTGGCATACCCCTCAGTACCCTTGCTGCCTTCGTCATATTCCCCGTCTACAATGTTGTCGCGCTGTGCAATGACTGTTGACGTGTCTTTTCCGGAAGACTCGGCACCGCGCGGTGGAGGAAGGGAAGTGGAGGCTGGTAGAAGATGAAAGTTGGTCGTGCAAATTTTTATGATATAATGAAGAACTACACAGGAAATATTAGGGGCAATACCAGTAGCAAGAGTACTACCCAACTCGACGTAAACACTAACACGTACTTCAGATAGTGTATGAAGAACCTTTCGCTTTCCCCGCTTTTTTGAGGGATTCATCAGTCCTTTTCACTTCCGCTTCCCAGTCGAAAAGATCTTTCGTCGCCTCCTCCACCTCATCCTGCGTCGTGGCTCTGGGATACTGCACTGCGTAGAGTTTCGGGTTGAGCTCTTGGATTAGAAGTTTTTTGCAGTATAGGCGTACGTCTGTGCGAGGAAAGGCAAAGTGCTAGCATAGGCATACTTGTACTCTCTCTATTAACCCGAAGAAGAAAGAAAGAAGAAGAAGTACTCAAACTGTCTGTGATGCCACTTGTATTCTTTCTTTCAAGAAAATTCTCTATTAACCCGCAGTGATGTCTTAATCGAAGTTTTTCCTTGCATGCTGCATGCAATTCTGGATACATGTTCCCGTCATCCTCGAGAAGCTGGAGGTAGCGCAGAACTACTTTAGCGTTGGTTGCGGACTCCACGGCTGGAAAATCGATATCCGTGAGCTCGATCTCGTTGATATTGGCACTGCCAGGCGCCACCATCTTGTTCTTGTGTTATAATATCTTCAAATAAGTTGTTGTTTTTTTAATTGACGCAAGACGTCGACTTGCAGAGAGAGATAGTACTAAAGAACAAGTGAATCTCTATAGGCTACGTAGTAGAGTTGCAACTACTGCTCTTCTTCAATTTGACATCTATTTCTGGCCAATTTCAGACTTGATAGATTTAACCGGAGGTGTGTTGATGTATGACTAGTATTTCGACCGAATTTCTTCTCACAGAAATTCTCTCTCAACAGTGAATGTGAAAATATGACTTTTTTTTCTGCCTCTTATCATCCTGGACAAGCATTCCGTACTGCGGTGAGAACAGACGCGAAGCCGCGTGTTGCGCAAGCTTGGTGAAGTGAGGTGCCAGTATGCGACATCAATCGCATACTTCTAATGCTACTAGTAGCTGGAGAATGGCGATCAATCACATTGAATGTGAAGAATTTGAATCTTTGCTGGAAGTTGAGAATCTGTGGAAAGGGGGGATGGTTTCGGGAGGATCCTCAACAACTGCTCAACATCTGTTCATTTTTCACTGTACTAGTTTTAAAACAGAATAATCCCGCAACAACTACTTGTTGTCAAAGTTATGAGTATATCTCTAGCTACTTGTGAGAGAAAAATTACTGAGAACTAGCACTTGCAAAATGCCGATTCAACAATAGCCCAGGCGGTTTACGGGCACGCTTCTTGAGAGGAGCGTCGGTTGTCTTACTAGTGTCTGTAGTTCGTTTCGCCGTCGTTTTCCTCATAGACGTGTTCGCTGATGCTGTAGTTGGTTTGTCGTTTCCATCATCGTCCCCATTGTTTGATGAAGCAGGTCCCGCCCTGGTTTTCCGTCCTGACGCCTTCTTACTACTAGCAGTAGCGAAATCTGTTGCTGTTGTACCATTACTGAGAGCGCTGACTGCAGATGGAGCTATGCTACTGCTTAATGCTGTCGTACTAGTCGTTGTTGCCTTGCTAGCCCTAGCTGCCTTTTTTGACTTCATCGCAACGCCCTTCCTCCGATCATCGACCTTTCCTGCGCTGTAAGTCATATCGCGCCAATGACTATAGACGGACTCCATGTGTTCGCTCATACGTCGTAACCAGAAGGAGGGACTTACTTGACGCGAAGTATGCTGGGCCGATGAATCATGACCTGCTTGACCACTAAATTTTTGCAGTGCTGAGTAGCTTTCAACACATACCCTTGTATTATGCTGCAGGAACATGTCTTCGCGAAGATGGAGCCCACGTAGCTCCGATACTAGGTGATTTCCATTGGCAGCTGTGTCTACCCACTTGGTTCGCAAAGCCTGTGTCAATGGTCCCACAACGCCATAGACAAGGTCCAATCGATTTACTTTCAATTGCGTTTCAACCGACTGAAAAAGCGCGTTACTGTCCGACCAGTCGCGCATCGGCACACAGCCCAGCAAGATACCCGCAAGTAGCACTAAGCAACCGCCGTACTGCATCGCAACCTCCGTGATATCTTGTCGCATATCTACGTCATAGTCTAGTCCGCCACGGTCGCGGTCCCTAGTAGTTGCACCAGGAGGAACGATAGAAGCGTATTCGCGAGGTGGCCCGACCAATGTCTCATACTGTTCTTCAAAACACAGTTTGTCAAGGATTTTCAGTTTATCGCGACCGCTTTGAAGTGTCTTTCTTGCTGAACGATGTGAATCGTCGAAATGCGCATCACGCTCGTCATGACGGAACCGGATTGGCATCATACAAGTCGTCGATGAACTCATGTAGTAGTTCTGTAGTTTCAGTTTGTTGTTGTTGGTACAACTACCTAGTTCTTCTAGAAGATCTTCCTTGCCTATGATTTCGTCGCATCCTGGTCCTGGAGGTTTAGAAGCGCTTTCTCCCTTCTTGATAGATGAATCCCCGACTTTAGATGTTCGCGATTCTATTCGGAAACAGCGATTTACTCGTGCCCACGGGCAGGTCCTAGTGGAACGGCCTCCTAAAACAGACGCTCTTTCGCAGCGCCATGGACGTCGTGGCAACAAAGGCACATCCATCTTTGCTCCCTCTTCTTCTAGATATGCAGACGCGGCTCTGCGTGTAGATCTTCCCTCGTCCACATCGTTTTTTAGGCGCCGTCTCTCTCTCACTAGATTCTCGATCTGTGCAAAGTGATCTATATTTCCCAGTTCTTCGAACAGAAACAATGCTAATCGCTCGATTTCCATGCGCGGTTGATCACCTACACCAACTTGGTGTCTTCCTCCTCCTTTTCCACCGATTATAGCTGTTGCTTTCATCGAAGCACCAGGAGTCGAGGTATGCGTTACGGCAAGTAAGCGATCACGCACAATGGCATCTTGCTCGTTGCCTAAGGCCGGCCTCGCAAGTGCGCCCCCTGTTTTCTTTCGTTGTGCTAGTCGTATCGTGTTTACAAGGGAGAGCTCGAACGCGAGTCTACCTCCTGCAAAAAGCGACCAGCTTTGACTCAGTCGTGTGATGAAGCTCTTCGTGCTTTTGATCACAGCGTTTCGTTCGAACGAAGGAGGAGGAAAAAAGGAAGATGGAGAGGGTGACGAACTGGACGAGGCACTTCTAGTTCTACACCTCTCCTTCTCCTCAGCACTAAGAAGATGGTAAACCAGAAGTCCTGGAGCCGTCATGCTTTGCCAAGCTTTCCACAGTGCAGTGTGCCCGAAAAGACGCCGCACGCGACGACTCTCTTTCCAAATCAGCTGGTCATAGTGCCTCAGAATTCGCATGCGCTCTTTTCGTGTTACCTTGCAGCTATTGGTGCTAGTCGTATATGCTGAGCCAGTTCCACCTGTTAGTGAAGCAGGCCGAGTGATGGAACTGCAAACCATTGTTGTAGGTCCATAGATCATGGAGGTCCGTCTTTCTCGCCTACATGTGGTCGTGGAGTCTTCATCTACTAGATCGTCATCCTCATCATTGTCACAGTCACTGTCGTCGTCATCCGAGCTGGCACTTAGCAGCCAATCATCTTCATCTTCTTGCTCCTGTGCTTTTCTCTTACCAGATGGAGAAGTAGACGCTCCAGGTGGCCCAGGTCTCACTGCTCGGGAAGCAACCAGCCGAGGAGCAGCGGTAGTCGTTGGAGTAGCCGAGTCTTCGATTGCCCCACTATTTCGATTTCGAACTATGTCTGCTCCTTGCGACGTAAAGTGTTGTCGGTCTGGCCCACAATCGCTAGCACACAGATCCAGCGCCAACTCCCTTATCGTTCGTGCATCGCCTAGCAACGTCGCCGCTTGATTCAATAGGACCAAAAACAGCAACCGGCCTGCTTTTGGGACACCCTCATCCGCTAAGAATTTGTGCCGCTCCCGAATGGCGTCATCTTCCTCTTCGTTTTCAGGCTCGCCATTTATCCTTTCCTGGACGAGCATTCCGACATCTACGTAGTCGCCACCTCCGGAACAGCCTTCCACTATGTGGACTCCAAACTTTGGGTTATTCTTGATCGACGAATTGTCGTTGAAACTTGTCACCTCGGCTTCGATCTCCGATAGCATGCGGGCAGCCAGGTTAACCACGTTCTTGGAGTAGGAGAAAGTTTGGCCCATCTCTTCCAGCTCTTCTAGGTGGCCCTCACTGATGGCGAAGCGGCTCACCATAACCCTGTGCTCTGCAGCCCGTCTAGTATTATGGTAGTACCTGCTAGGTACCGCCGTTACAGGGGGTGCTGTTGCTTTCTTCGCGGTACTTGAACTGGAAGATGAAGAGGATGAGGCTCCTATTTGTACTCGTCCTGATACTATTTTTGTGGTAGAAGACGAAGCTACGGCCGGGGAGCGTGAAGCTGCGGTTGTTCCCTTCGGTGTGGGCCCTCGGCTCTTCACCGCGGAATCTTTTTCCTGCTTCGACGCAGCTGTGCTATTAACTGCATCTTGAATGCTTACAGCGTCTGCTTCATCCTCATCAGCAAAAGCGTCCTCCCCTAGAAAAGCGGCAGCCATGTCCTCGCTATCGTCAGCGAAACCACTATCGCCTCGTGTATGAGCATGCTTTCCATCATTATTCCTTTCCTCATTCTCCGAGGGCGAAGCAGATGAAGATGATCCACTACCTCCTCCGCCCAATCCTAGGAGCAACTCCGCTGTCGTTAATGGCCGCGGTATCGCTCTTGAATCCTGTTCTTGAGCATCTCCCACCGCAGCACAACTACCAAGCAGGGAATTCTGTGCCACCTCGTTCAAAAGCCTCGTTCTTGCTCCAGCATTCAGAATCGTGCCTTTTTCGCGAATCTGGTGACCCATTTGGGTCAAGCCTAGTCGCTCTGCGGCAGTGTAGTTGCTAGGTTTGGCGACGCGAGCAGTCTTCTGTCGTGTCGAACAGTGCTTGTCATCTTCGAAGCTCCTCCAATCTTGGCCCTCATCGATGTTGCTACCCTTCACGATAAGACCACATTTGCGGCAGATGAGACCCGGGACGTCGCGGACAAAGTGCTCCTCGCCAGCACCACATCCGACGCAGTTGCGACGGGAATGGAGTCGTGTAGTTGAGGCCATTTTTTGTACTACTTTGCTTCCTAGGTTCCTAAAGTTTATGTCGCGTTTAGGTGCTGATTCTTGCTCAATGTCATGTCGTCTTCAGTTATAGCTCTTGCTCTAGGGGATAACTCCGTCGAAAGATGGTTAGTACTAGTCATAAAAAGCCATAAGGGTAAAAGAACATTAAAGTGCTGGTAAAGAACATTAGACTTTTTACAGTGTAGGTGGATCGGGAAAGGGTACTACACCAGGTTCCTGCAAACAATGTAGAAAATTGGAAGATGATGAAGGTGAACTACGAAGAAAAGACGTCGAAGGACCAGGACCTCAAAGTCATTAAGTACAACTTCTGATTGAAGATTATAGATTTGACTCTGATCAAGATCTTGCTTTGCAGGAGTGGACCCGACTTCGCTGTAATGTCATGTCATGGTGCCTCTTTGAAAGCAATGCAAGGCTTTGCATGAGGCCATTCAGTTACGTAGTGCTCCCTATGGAGAGCCACGAAACCGATTGGGAATAGATAGAAAAATGCAACCACAGTTCTTGTCTGCTGTCGCGTCACTTGTATGCGAAGAAAGCACGCCTCTTGCTTCAAGTGACTTGTAGGATCATTTCTTGTATGACCCCAGGATGATGAAAATAACCAGACGAATCAGAACTCATCAAGCGCTTCAGCAAGCTTCGTTCCATACAAGATTTGCGGTGATCAATCAAATTAGTAAAATATCATTGTTATCCCTTCTTGTTGGTTGCACCAGGCCCCAGAGGTTCGGAACAGGTTGCCCTGAAAGACATTCTTTCACGCTGCTTCTGACATGGGTCTACGCTTATCTTTCTTTGGTTGGAGAATTCTCGAGCACTGACGGCACTACAAGAGTAACCCATGGACACTCGAGTAGTAGCGCGTGCGTCCACCTGGATCGTAACGTGACTGAATCACACTAGGCTTTGAAAGGGGGCCAATCATTCTTAGGAACATATTTTTTGATCTTGTCAGAACGTGAGACCTAGCGAACTTTTGGGAGTCTGATTAAGGGAAAAACCGAAATCAGTAGAAGGCTTTACTTCCTAATTGGAGCCACCTGAGGAACAGAGCACTTCCAAATTTTTTTGCTTTGATCTTCTTGCTGTTGTTGTTGTTATTGTTGTTGTTGTTGATCATAATCCTCATGGTGATTGTGATCTTGATCTTGGTATTTTTTACGTTGTTGCTATTCTTTCTTACTTTTGCACTCGGGATCTGGGGATTGACATTATTTTTTGATCTTGTTCTTGCCAGCACGTGAGACACATAATTAAAATTATTCACTTTAACTGCATTGTTCTCTAGAAGCTAAAGAACAAAGGAACGCGTACTGTTTTTCCTTACACGCCGAAATTGCGGAAGACGGACTGCTGAGACTGTCTAGCAGTACTGCAGAGGAAGTATTTTTTTGACGTTGCTACCACTTTATCTGACGCAGGTGATGTTGTTGCTATTACCATAAGCGGATGACGTCACTACTTTTTCTCATCCTTCTTTATCACCTGTATCTATCTAGTTGAGAAGACCACTTCAATTTGGACTCGGTCTGACAGACGTCCATCTGCCTGTCCCCTTCCCGTTTCTTCCCGCACGACGATGAAGTTGTTTCAACTCAAAAATTTTTCAATTCAGAAACTTTTTAAAAGAAGATGAGTGGCCACTCCCCCTTCATCTATTAGTAGCTTCTATTAATTCTTCTTCATCTCTTCCCGTTCCATTTCCTCGATGGTTTCCTTCATTTTCAACTGCTCAATGCCTAACAATTGCTGACCAACATCGAACCATAGCTAAAACACGGCGTAGAGGTTCTGTTGCCAGCCCCCTTGGCTTCTCTTCATATATATAACATGGCATATGAGTTGTGTTCTGGTCGACCCGCCACATTTTCTCTGCAAACAAACAGAAACCCAGCGTCTCTTCAAAAACAAAGAAGAACGACAATTGATCCTCTTCTCCTTCCGTCTCTTCGAGTGTGGCTCCGCGATTACCGGCGACCACTTGTAAAAGGTGAGGAGGCTGTAAGTTTAAGCTTCTCTACTCACGGATAGGCCGTGAGTTCACGGTTGGTGAGGGTCCACCGCGTCCCTACGGCGAAGGTGGATGCCTAACAGAGGCGCCCTTCTCTGAATGCGTTGCCATAGTACAACAGAACCGCCGCTTCCCTCTTGCTCCAACCTGTTTTTTCTTTCATCATCGCGAAGAAGCTCGGCACTTGGGTCGTTCGCCGCGCAAGCACTCAACAGCGTATTCCATATGTCGGACACCCAGAGACGCGAATCACGGTACCAAGCACCAATGTCTCCATTATGTCGCTTGAGATTATAAGGGTTGATCGTTCGCAAGCTCGTGTCTCGCAAGAGCCACGTCTCCTTCACTTTCACCGATGCCAACATCATCAGCGCGTCGAAGTTTTCCTTTAGATCGCCGTGGAGCGGGAGACTTCCGCTTTCTGCGGATGCGTGTTGTTGATGTTCACACATGCTTTTACTAGTACTGATACCGTCCTCGTCTCCACCAGAGGTGTGCTGCAGCCAGCGTTTTTTGAAGAGGTAGTGACTAGCGGTGCTCACGTTAATGCGGATGGAGGTTAATTCATGATTGTTCAAAATTGTAGTAAAATCCGTCATGTTAGCTACGTCGAAAAGGTTCAGTTTCACGTAGATGAATTCCACAGCGCGCAGACGGTCTTGCAGTTTCCTCATCTCCCGCGGAGGGAGTGTGTACGCGTTGTGAAGCAGCCAGTAGCTGTTGCTGAGGGTAACGTCCAGTTCCTCCGCGGCCAAATCAAGATGCACTCTTCCTCTGGTGGTTGTCCTGTCGCTTTTCCATCGTGCGTACCAGCCACCCAGAAGGATTTGAAACCAGTCTCTAAGATATCGGACCTTTAGCACGTTCTGCAGGGTTTCCTCCACCATCTTCTTGTGCACGTCTTCGCTTGTTCTTTCCTCTGGCGTTTTTTCGTTTAGCAGAAGGCGCCCAAAAGCGGCCATAATGTCTAGCGTTGAGCTTGAATTTTTCGCCGCATTCGGGAAACGCCACTCTCTCACTTTAGGATCCCAGTCTTTGTCCACATCTAGATGATTGGCGACCACATTGAACGCCAATTGCACTAAACGATGGATCGTGGGGTCCCAGTCCGCGACTATGATAATATCCTCAGGTAAAATCTGAGTGAGAAACGGAAGAAGAGAAAAACCCGTCGTCATGTAGACTCGCCTCTCCTTCTTCTTCTCCTCGTCGTGTGAAGGTAGAAGATGCTTTTGCTGGCCTTCTTCTGGTGAAAACTTTTCGGTCCTGAATCCCGCGATTGAAGGGCGTGATGCATCTTCCCGTCGTGGCTGAACAGGCTGAACCAAATTCTTAGTCTCGATCAGTTCGCGCGGCAACAGTTCACTCGCGAAATTCTGATCGGGGTTTTCCGCTCGTGCTTTTCCGTGTGGTGTGAGGTCACATTCTGGATCCGCATTTCCCTGGTGAAGAAAGGCAGGAAACTTTCCCTCGAGATCCGTCTTTAGCTGCGAGGATACATCCTTGAAGTCTGTGGTTTCGTCCTTCTTGTTTGCCGTCTCCTGAGGAGAAGACAGCTGCTCCAGGGCAGCCTTGAACGTCCCCAAGTCTAGCGCTCCATTCGCAGACGACGTAGGACCCAGAGATGCCGCGGAAGCGTACGCGAGTAGATGTGGAAGAACCACGTTGATGACAACACTCCGGAGAAACGACATTTTTTATTTCGATTAGACTATCTGTGATACAAATACTAAACAAACAGGGACAAGTTATAATGATATTGATATAATTCTTTGTTGTTCTAGGAGAGCTTTAGTGGAAGGAAATTTCCAAAATGGAATTGTTTCAAGCATCGAATACCTATTTCTTTGAATTATACATAGAAACAAACCTTATTCGTAGAAGATCTGTGTTAGTTGTTGTAAGTCAGTTTTAGACCAAAGGCCTCGGTTTATATTCTTATTCGGAAAAGGTAAGCTTCTACTTGTTGGTCTACGGGTGTATTCTCCTTGAGCTGTAAGGAGCTCTGTTCGTTGATACATGGTGATCTGCTTGAAGAACTACCAGAATGGATGGCGGAGAGAAGAGATCTGCTGTGTTGAAGTTTCTCGAACATGGTACGATCTGCATCTGATCAGTCACTTCTTGAAGCGTCTGCACGAAGCACTCTAGTGTTCTTTCCAAATTCTAGTAAGACATGTGGCTGTTGCTGCTTTTACAACGCAAATCCAATTTTTCCAAGCTATGATGCTGACAAGAAAGATAAATGAAGATCTGAGTCGAAACGATATGAAGTAGAGAGAGCAAAAAGACATGTGATGACGGGAAAATTGATACGATGTTCTTCTTGAGTCGTATCTTCAAGATCATCAATATGTGTTGTATTCTCAAAAGGAAAATGTCGTGGTCTTTCCTAAATATTGATTCCAATTCTTTAAAATCGTTTCTCAGTCTCATCAAAGCCAATCTGGAGTTGAATTCCTCGGTAGCGAAGCCGGAAATTGGCAATAGCCCCCAAACAAGACAAGCACGGCGTCCGATTCAACGCAAGCTTTACAAAACCCGTAACTGGGAGATGTTGGGGAGCATGAGCGTGACCATTGGCATTTCCGTTCCTCGGGTTGAAAGCGCACATTTCCGCTGTTGGACTCGACGCTCTTGATGTAGAACCTCCAGTCACGTTCTCTTTAGTATTGTTCCCTGGAGAAGCTGCCGCTTGTTCTCCTGAACCTGCAGTGCTCTTCCTTCGACTTTGCTGTAACGCAAAATTCAGCAAGCCTTCAACCTTGCTCAAACCCTGGTATTCAACGTCGCGGTCACGCCGGTGACTGTAGATCCATGGACCTATCCTTAGGAAAGGCAAATCACGACCACGTTGAAGATGACTCATCTCATGAGTAGTTCCACGTCCACCGGATGCTTTTTGGGCTGTAGATGAACTAGAAGATGTTGATGTACCAGATGAGGACCCTGACTGCAAAGGCATGGAGCCACTTAAGGAAAGAGAATCTGAATTGTCGCCAATTTTGAGGTCATAACGTAGCATACCAGATGTGCGGAATGGCTGTCGATGCTCCTGAGTCGTTGTACCACTAGGATTTTCTACTCCCAGCATTTCGTTTCTCTCGTAATCCGCTAAGCCACAGCCCCAACTGTCCAATATTTCGCGCGTGTATCTAGGCCCAAGGTCCGAGAGGTGCGCGTTTTCCAGTACCTCTTTGTAGAAAATTCGCGTCTGCACACTGCGAAACTCAACTGACTGGGAGAACAGAACGTCTGCATCGGTTAGAAGCCTGCGGACAGCGTATGCGGCTTGGTCTGGATCCTGCTGATCATGATGTAGTTTGTCTCTCTGGTGTGGTGTATTGTTAGAGGTAGGCTTCTGGTGTTCGTGTACGCCGTTCGTTATGCCTTTTCCCCTTCAGGAAGGCAAACCGAACGGTAACAAAACACCTCTAATCTACCCTTAATATTGCTTGAAGTAGTCGTGGATGCATCATTTGCTGGCGAAGATGAGTTCCTGGTCGTACAACTCGGGTTTCTACTACTACTGAAAGAAGTAGTCGTGCTTCCAACATGTTCAGCATTCTGTCCTCGCCTGGAACAAGATGTTGATTCTAAAGCAGACTTGCGTCGATGGCCGCTTCTGCCTGGCACCTTTGGATTCATGCTCGCGTGGTCCAATAGCCGTGTACTAGTAGGAGTCCCCGTTGTACCAGCACTAGAAGTAGTTCCCGAAAGGGTATAATTACCACTAGCAGGAGGTGCGTCGGTAGCTCTCCCGATGCCGATGCTGGCATTACTAGCGGTACCGCTCGTCCTCAAACAAGAAGATAAATCTGCATTCACTATGGTGTACAACAGGAAAAGCCTCCACTCGTCAGGTTGACGGATTAAGTCCTGTAAAGCAGCAACGTTATCCTGAACTAGCTGGGCAAATGCTTGCTTGTCTAGGCTTTTCCAGAATATACGCAACCACGCAGAAATGAAATAGGTCGAAGCCGATGAGGATCCGTTATTTGCAGCACTGTTGTTGTTCAAAGTACTACTACTAATGCCGCCATGTTGTTGGATACTAATCGCATTGGCATTCATCATCTGTTTTTTGTAAAAAGAGCTGGATGAAGTTCTCGAAGCAGAGTTGGAGTTGCTCCCACCGCCAGATGACCGGATCTCCGATGATGTCAGGTACCCATTAGAAGTCTTGAATCCTCGTGATGCGCTCACTGCCTTAGCTATCGCCGGAACCGACAGTACCGCTTCCCATGCTTGTGGGCTAAAGCTTTTCAGGAAAGAGAAGTGTCGCTTTCTACCATGCTGGCGCAGCAAGTGGTGCGCGTGCGCGTGAGCTTGCGACTCGTGGTCATTTAGGCCCGTAACGATGTAGTCGTGCTTCACGCAGTGAGCGACCAGTTGGGTGTAGCGATCAAAATCTCGCAGAATTTGCATAGCCAATTGGGGAGGCATACCACTTTTATTGTAGTTGGAAGTAGAAGGAGTTGTTGAGTGTGATTCCGTATTCGTCATATTCATGTGCCTAGCTTTGACAAACGGCATCAATCTCCACAATTCAGCCCCGACGTCAGAGAAGATTCTATGCCGCAGGTCCGCACTCAACGGTAGAGATTGAATACGCTTGACTTGCAGTAACGCCTGCAAGCGTGTTGCTACGGTGATTCTATCAGAGAGGCTACTTTCGGTCTTCGGGGATGATTTCCCCTCCTCTACCTCTACTGCGGTGTCTTTAGAATTTGCCAGTTGTATCACAGGCTTTTTGTCTCCTTTTCCTCCTTTCCTGTCTAGCTTCCCCTCGTGCAGTTCCTGCACTGTCTTCATCTTGTCAAAGCTCCTTGCTCTCTTTCCATCCAGAAGCTCCACTTTCCCTTTGGAGCCTCCCGTCGTAGTGATGTCTCCTTTACTATAGATGTTGAGTAAAGGTTGCCGCCACTCTGTCGTCCACAGCCGTTCAAGTCTCTGCTCGAAACCAACAAATTCGAATATCTCCCGTCGTGGATCACTGCTTCCAGCTTGGGCTAATGCGCTCTTCCAGACCTCTTTGGTGGTGGAGGTGCAGCTAGTCGAAAAGTCACTGGTCCATTCAGCGACTCCTGATGTGCTAGGAGATGAAAACGGGAATAAATGTCCGCACAGCAGTCTGAACAAAGACTCCTTCGCGTTCTCACTTAGCGTGGAGGGAACAGTGACGTTGGTGCTTGTTTTTGACGTTGATGTTGATCCTTCGCTGTGCGAGCCACGTGTACTAGAACTAGAATCGACTATCCGACTCAATTGAGCGACGAGGCGAAAACTAGACTCCATGTTCAGCGACGTCCCTGCGCACGAAGAGAGCTGCAACCGCTGTAACAGATGCTCTATTGCTGGCGTCAACGTTTCCTGGGTAACGCTGGAGTAGTTCATGTTTTGCTGTTGCGGCCTTCGGTGCAAGAGATACAGATTCGCTGAATCCAGCATTAGAGGCTGAAAGTTGGCGTCTCTAGCTCGCATATCTATGGCTTTCCTCCTTGAAGAAGACATAGAGACGCTCTTAGATGATAGGCCAACTTTCAAGCCTTAACAGCAAGTTTCTCACTACCCCAGCGACATCTACCTGTTCGGAGGTGAATGACGAGTTGTTCGTTCGATGCTCTTTGTCTTTAAGGCGAGAAGGAGGATCATCCTTACTGCTCTTTCGATTTTTCCGATGCGATCTGGACGAAGTCGAATTCGTCGCGCTCCTGCCGAGGACATCAATCATCTCGCCTTTCAGGGGTACTCGTGCCACGGTTCGATGGTATAGAGCGGTAAAAAATCCTGGTGGTGCCGCTCCGGGACACCATGCAATTGCATGTAGAAGCCCCATTTGCATGTGAGCACATGATTGTTGGTAAGAATTTTGCATCGGAGACGCCTCACTCCAGTCGTTGTCGTGGTTCTCGTGCTTCGACGTCTGAGAAAACAAGTAAGCATCTTGTGCTACCGTTTCTAGTATCGAGGGATGTTGTCTCTTGGCGGGCATACTCAGCTCTTGTTTTCCACTAGAAGAAAGCAATCCCTGTAGACTTGCATCTGAATCGACAGAAAGCAAGTCGGAGCCTAGCAACAGTTGTCGGTTTCTTCGATTGTTCTCAACATTCTGTAGAGTCTGAGCACACCGATGCGTGGAAGATGCACTTGTTGGCATTGCCGACGTGGTGCTCGCCGTGTTATTACCTCGCACCGCCCGTCCTCGTTGCGTCTCGGTCCCAGCTTTCGGGCGGTGGCTCGCAGTAGTTGTCGGAAATAAGGGTGTCTTTGTTTTAATATTACTGGGTTCAACTCCAGTGATATTACCACTAGAGCTCTGTTGACCTACGCCTAGCTGTTCGATCACGCGCGCGATAGCATCTGCAACACTCTCGCCAGGTCGTGTAATTAGAGATTGTGGTCAAGGTCACACAGACATAGCTTTTCTTTGTTAAATTTTCAAGTACTCCGAAACAAAATGGCTCCTACGAAATCACTTCTCACTTCGCCTTAATACACGTGTTCGACTGGACGCCAGCGCATTCATGCCTCCGCTACCTAGTGGTCCACCTCCGGCTCTGCTATTCCCACCTCCTAAGAATATTTTTTCAGAAAGAGGAGTTTGATGACTATATCGGGTTTTCCTTCTGCTATTCCTCAGTATCTGTCGCTGAGATCGTGAGTGATATGGTGCCTGGTGTTGTAGGGAAGACGATGAGGCTAGTGATGTTGCTGAATCTTGTTCACCCTTCGCAACTTGGATAGCACTAGCAGGACTAGTAGCACCAGCAGCACCACCACCACCTGGAGAAGCAGAGGAAGAAGAGAGGGATGAAGATATCATTTCCAGACCTTCACCACCTATCATGGTCTCAGTGTTTCTAACTAGCGCACGACCCCCATCCTTCTCCTCGTCCAATCCGCTACTCTCCAGTCCACTACTGGAACAATTCTGATCAATCCATGCCTGCAGTCTGCCATCTTCGTACGTCGAATGTGAGTCGCCCGCTTGGACCTGTGTTGGAGGCAGTTCGAGCTCTCTCATCGCAGCAAGCTCTTTGTCTATCCACGACGTGGAGGAGGAGGAGGTTGAGCTCGAAGGTGAAGAGGTTGCGGTAGAAGAGGTTGCGGTAGAAGGTGAAGAGGTTGCGGTAGAAGGTGAAGAGTTTGAGCTCGAAGGTGAAGAGGTTGCGGTAGAAGGTGAAGAGGTTGCGGTAGAAGGTGAAGAGGTTGCGGTAGAAGGTGAAGAGGTTGAGGTAGAAGGTGAAGAGGTTGAGGTGGAAGTCGACGTCGAAGCTGGATCCGAGGAGGCTGAAGTCGACGGGGAAGGAGAGTCGGAAGATGAGGAGGATGCTGACGATGACGAAGAAGATGCTGACGATGACGAAGAAGCTGGAGGAGGGTGGGCAGGTATTGCCGAAGAGGAAGATGAGGAAGGTTTTGCCCTTGTCGTTTTCGGTGTCTTTGCCTCTAGACGGTACAGTCGTTTTGAAGACAGAGCAGCTGCACTGGGGAAGGCAGTCGGTGGTAGAGAGCGCGTGAGAACATCGGCATCGTCGTTTCCGACGACATCAAGGACGTGCACTTCGTCGGAGTTGCCCAGTTCAGAGCCTAGAGGGTTTATTTCGGTATGATCGTCTTCTATCTCAACAACGTGATGCTCGTCTTCGTGGTCATTGATATTGAAGCTAGTAGAGGAACCGTGGAGCAGCTCATGAGCTGCGTCTGCTCCCTCCCCTGCAAGAATTAGAGGTAGGCTTTTGGTGCTCGCTTACCCCGCTCGTTATGCCTTTCTGTTTCTCCCTTAGGAGAGGCATAAAAAGCGGTAAGAAAAGCACCTTTAACCTACCCTTAAAAGAAGATTCTCAGGGTCTTCCAAAAAGTCATCGTGAAGACTATTTTCAGTTCCGTCGTCATCCTGACCATCAAGGATATCCTCGAAACCTTGAGACGATGAACCGTTCGTTGGTATGGTGATGACGGTTACCTGTGGCACTAGTCCTCCTGCTACCCCGTTTAGAGGATTCTTAGTGCTCCCAGTCAAAACGCCATGCTTTTTCAAGGCTTTGTCGAGAATCTTCGCTAACTGGGAACGCAGGTTCGAACCGATACCGTTTTTAGAAGTTGATGTTACAGTCGAACCCTGATCCTGAAACTTCTCGCCAATAGGTCGTAGTGTCGTGAACTTGTTTCCGAGTAGAGGATGTTCTTGGCTCACTTCTAGAGAAGAGGATGGCGAAAATATTGAGTTTGTTGCGGGATTCAGGTCGGCTACGTCAGTGGCTTGTTGTTGTATTCGCAGCAACTTGCTAAAACTACTGCCTTTAGACGCGTCTATCTTCAATCCTGAGCGATCTCGTCTTGACGACTTTCTACCTGCCCGCACGCTTGTCTCTGCCAGAGGGAGTTTACTGCTACTTGCGCCAGTGCTGCTAGTGTCAGCTGTGAGAGCGTCTAGCAAATGAGTGCTAGAAGTAGAAGAAGGATTCCTCACACTTCTCTTCCTCGTTCCACCTTTCGTCCTGTTTAGTATCGTTTCTCGCCTCGACGGCTGAAAAAGAGGGACTGTGTGCAGACACAACTGGTCTAGAATTGCTGAATGCAGACGCTTTTCCACCGCTACGAGCCGCAACATTGTCGGAAAGAAGTCCTTCACTAATCTGCGGTAATGGACTACTTCTTTGTCTCTTCTTGCCAGGTTCGCTGCCATTTTCCACAGGGCCCTCCTGGAGGACATGTGCATAAGCTGGGTGGCTTCTTCATCTTCTGCACTTCTGTGGTATTCTGCATGTTGTAATCCCTGACTTGTCTTCAGTTGTGTGAATCTACCTGTAGATGAAATACCATTGCCGATCCTCCGTCGAGAGGCTACGGCAGCAGCGTTACTGCTTTTAGCTGCAGGTTGCAGGAGAAGATTCCTCCTTCTTCGCCGACGTAGATTAAGAAGTTTCTTCGCCAGAGGACCGCTCTCGCCACGTTTCAGAAACTGCACATCTACTTTCCTAGACAAGACTTCAGCACCTGAGACTCTACTAGTACACCTCATTGCGGAAGATTTTCTTCCCCGTCCTCCTCCAGCTATCCATTTTGCTATTGCTTCAAAGGAGGTATTCTTCGACTCTGGTTCTGACTTCGACGTTCCTTTTGACTGGTGCCCTTCAGATTCAGTTGTCACTCTCACTTCATCCTCCTCGTCCTTATCAAATATAGTTCTTGGTGGAGCAGGTGGAAACTTCTGTGAAGATGTGGAGGGACTTGTTGACGAGGAAGAAGAAGAGGCCGTTGATGGTGTACTATGAGGCCGCGTTGAGAAGGCCTCATTTGTTGGTTCACTTGGACAACTTGCTTTTGCTTTACTGCGACCCATTGAGACAGCAGCTCCTCCTGCTTGGGAGACGTCCTTGGCCCCGTCCGCCTGAAGGAGCTTCAAAGATGTTCCAACAGATGCGCCTCGAGGAGTTTCGTGGTTTCCGTTTATTCCTGTTCCCCGAGTCTTTCTAGACGGAAGCGCAGCTTGACCTCCTTCTTCCAATCCTAATACTTGCAGTCGTCGACTCGCAAGTCTCCATCTACGCACAGGCTTGCTGTGTTCAGCTAGATGAGATATCCGACGCAAGAGTGCCTGGAAAGTATGCCCTCTGAGATCCGAGAGTGGAGAAGGTGTTGACTGAAGATGAGCGTGATCATCAGCACCGAGTAGAACTGTTGAGGAAGTGGAAGTGGTCCTCAAGAAGAGTCCTGGCTGTAGTTCTTGTTGTGCTTGTACCAACGCAGTAGTCTCCTCTGCTCCTCTTGTTCTCCATCCCGATTTGCGTCTTGATTCCACGGAGAGTCCTTCCGAAGGACGAATGGAGGAGCCACCTCCACCGCAAAGCACCGTACACAGACGTTCGAAATCATCGTTGCTGAGCTCACGATGCAAATTTTCTTCAGCCAGCAAGAGATCAGTGCCAAACTTCTGCTCTCGGCGAATCTGGAGCCCGCTTTTCCATTTTACTTCTGTAGGAGCCTGGTCTAACGGAGCTGTCGAATTGACGCTAGTTTTGTCTGCTGGAGGAAGCGAGCTGGTCTTGTTCTTGGACGATACACTTGCAGAAGCAGAAAAACGGTCGTGGTCCTTGAGCTGATGTCTACGTCCTTCACTCACCTTGCTGCGATCCCTCGTTGTAGTCGTCGCAGCACCAGTATGGTTAAGGTATCGTCGGGAGCAGAGTCTTCGGTATACGAAGCGCTCTATGGCACCAATTGCTTCGGACAATGGATTCTTCATGATGCTGTTTCTCGGCTTTTTTGGACGCTCGAAGAAAAAGGTACGACGAAGGAGGATGAGAAACTCGTGTGTCTTGGTCTTTGTTCTATTCTATATTTTCAGCCCATGATTCGGATTTTTCACATTCCTCTAAAACAAGAGATAGCTTAACCTCATTGTACAGGATAGGATAGGAGTTGGCTCACCCGCGACAGGGTAAGCGTATAAGTAGGCATGACACGCTACTGTAAAGGGATCCAACTTTTACCTCTGCACACATCATACAAACGACACAAACCACAGCTCTAGAACTTCAACCGGCTGCAGAAGATCGCTCCTTGTCCTCTAGATCATGAGCATCCATGGATGACCGATGCTGATCAACAGACTTATGAAACCTAGCCGCAGCAAGTAGTGCTGCTGGCTTGGGGGACCCATGCAACAAAGATGTACATGTAGATGAACACTCGTGGTCACACCAGCACGTGCTGCAGAGGTAGATGAAAAAGCCAGCAAGCGCACCAAAGCTAACTTCTTGTCCACGGACGATATTTCAAAAAAAAACCTCGGGTATAATGATGCACCCTAAACCCAATAGGCTGAAACCTACATCGTAAGGCGTTTTGTGTGTGTAAGAATCCGCTATTCTTCATGGGTCCTCGTCTCTACTCAGCTAGCATTATCAAATGCAGATGATTCAAGAACAAGGTTCAAGAACTTTACGCACATACACACGACCAGGAGGGATGAATTAGAATTTTCAATCTGAGAAATAAGAAAAGTCTCTTTGCGTTCTTAATATTTTGTTTCTTCTGTACTAGTATCTTTTCATCTCTACAGGTAATTATACACACATTTTCTAGTGGTCTAAAAATCCGTGGTCCTGAGAATAGCCTCTACAAAGGCCATTTTCCGAACCACTTCTAGGGACAATTGGTGGAATTTCTTTACAGCTGTTGATATTTTGTTCCCCAAGTCCACTACTGGTCTATTGGTCAACAAAACGTTGTGTTCTTCTCGAGTAACTCTCACGACTATATTTGTCAGTCAGGGTCGCCAGCGGTAGTCCGTCCTACTACATTTTCTTTCGATACAACAACAGACAAGTTCAACTTCTTCTTTTCATTGACATTCAATGCCTAACAAAACTCACAAGAACTACTCACCTGCTACTTCCGTAAAACCAAGATCCAATCGTAGGGTCCGCATTTGAGCTTCCCAAACCCTGTGGCTAGCGACTTGCCTCCTTTTGATAGCGACTCGAAATCATACTCGGAATTCCATTTGTATTCTGCTCTCGTAGTGCGTTCCACGGTGAAGCCGACCTGGTAATTTAAGAGTTGCCCGTATTCGATGTGTTTTGGATTGGCTCGTCTTCTGAGCAGACTTAGTAGACTGTCTATGCGTAATATTCTGATTCCCATTTACTAGATGTTGTAGATCCTAGACCTACTTCAAAACAAGCAGAAGATTCTTAGAACAACTCGATACCATTCTGCACATCTCTTCGATCTGCTCCTTGACGTAGTGTTGTGTTCTGACGCCCTCTTCCCCACGCTTCACGATGCCGTTTTGCACGTCCTCCTTCGAGATTTGCTCATTGTAGACTTTCACCTCCGGTTGTTAGAGGAGGTCGGAGGAGTCAAGAATAAGAATTATTCGCGTAGTTGTACCCGATCCAACGTGCATTCCAAAAGTTGTTCAGGACAACTACTTAGTACCACCTATTATTTGTAATGCAAGAACATGTAAGTATTTGTAAGTGTATTTAACATCTTCCAACAAAGCAACAGTTTCTGTGTCATAAGCTTGTAATTCTGCACTTTCCTTTCCAGGACCATGCTTAACCGCCCAGAGGCCTAGGACGTGCGACTCCAATGCCGGCACCAAAAGAAACACCCTTCCAGCTGGCTTCATGCAAGCGAAAAGCGTTTTGAGGATGCCCTATTGGGGGTTCATTTTTGGCAAAAAAAATATAATTGATGAAGTACAATTAGAAGCTACAAGATCAAGAATCAGTATCTGTTGCAGAGTCTTAAATGGATCATCAAGTGCCACTTGTCGTGAAATGAAACATTACAATACCATCTGCGTATCGACTTCAGGCGACAATAAGACGTTGGGCAAAAGGCGGAAATCAATACCATCTGCGTATCGACTTCAGGCGACAATAAGACGTTGGCGCAAACGCCGAAATCAGCTACTGCGCCACCCACTAGCTGCAGAACCTTCGCCGTCTCCGTCAACGAGACTGCATCCGGTATTGTTACGTTTCCTAACTTCGTTGTGATGAACGTAGGGTAGGAGTAGCTTTGATGGTCGTAGGGAAGGACGATTTTCATGCGAGGGAAGGACGATGGGTCAATTTATTCGGTTATGCGTAGGTTTCCTCGGTGACTCAACTTTGGAGATCATGAACTTGCTGTTTTCGCTAGATGCAAAAAATGATGTACCCGTCTACGTAAAAACGTGAATGGTTCCGGTATTTGGTAACCTGAGTTTGATCATATTAAGGGAAAACAAGAAGAGAACCCTTATGATCAAATTCAGGCTATACCAAAAATACCAGAACCATACATGCGAGGTCGGATCTATTCACATTCACTCGTCTTCCCACATAAAAGTTTTCGTCCTCGCGAAGTGCAATAGACCAGCTGAAAAGTCCATCCCTATGACCTTTGAGAAGCGCTCAGACAACGCTGGAAGATACTTTCCAACACCACAGCCGAAATCCACTGCCAATTGGGGCTTGGGGTATTAGATTCAAGTACTTAGACCTTTCTTTGAGCACTTAGACCACGGCAAACGCTTTCTTTGATCTACGTCGTGCCAACAACAACATTAATACATACTTGTTACTAGGACTTCAAATCTTGTTTTTGCCTGTGCTTGTTAGAAGTGGCTAGGGTAGGAAGTCCCCAGTATAGCACTTCTTGACGTTGAGACGACAGGTCCATGATGACATTGAAAGAAAAATCTCTTCAACATAACCTTTACTTCCCTGCGCATTTTCGTCGAGGATTTTCCGGATAGTGGTGGTGACGTCCTCTTCGATGGTGCTGAGAATTTCGGCATCGTATTCTGGAGCCACTCGGTCCCAAAATTCCGTGTTGTCCACGTCTTCCCGAAGCACATAGCTAGGTCGGTTGGTATCTAAGTTAGAAGAGTGCAATACAATGCTACTTAATCTCGCACAGAGTTCAGTGCAGACTGCCATAAGGGCAAACAAATTATCCTCTCCGTGTAGTTTGTTCACTTTGAAGTGTAAGAGGCGAATGAAACTCTGCGAGTGCGACAGCTTCCACTTAGTACAATCCTAGAAGTAGTACCTCCAGAAAGAAGTTATTAATCGGATCGATCGCTATTGCTGTATCATCATCATCATCATCACCAATTCATAAATTTCCGTTTCATCACCAATGGGCGTTTTGCTGGTTTACCACTCGGACTCTGTGGTCTTTTTGACGAACCGCGCTTAGGGCTACTCGTCTTCATCGCCGCAGGACTACGCCCCTTTGGCGAAGAGGACATTGTTCTTGTGGTTTTGTATTATTACTAACCTAACTTAGGTTGGTCAAGGTCCTCGCGTAGCTAGTTCGTTGTCTTCCAAGTCTCAATCAGTCATGTAACTTCTATTTGCCAAGTGGTCTCAATCTTGAGTACTAACAAGTGCTGTTTCCTAACAAGAAACTCGGTGTCGCTAGTACACAGACCACTGACATAAGTAGGTAGTAGTAGGTAAAGGTATTGCTTTTTTGGATGCGCGTATTAACACTCCCTTTTTTAGGCTAAGTACCTACTTAGAATAATAACGGTCAGTTGATGAAGGTTTCGACATTTTTTGCAGCTATTTGCGAATTCCTTTCAATTCTTTTCAGCTCTTCCATTGCTCTCAACGGTCTCCCACTTTCACTCATCTATGCGTCGAGATGGAACAAGCATCCTCCTACCAGATACCACTTTCACTCATCTTTTGCGTCGGTGATGACAGAAGTCCTAGCTGCAGCTGTACCATCACACAAAATAAGGGTGAGGCTGCCCACGACCACTTGGGTTCACTTCTCATAGTACAACTCAACAAGAACAATTTCCTATTTTACGACTTCTTTCATCAACAAAGTATTATCAACACATGTTAGAGGACATCAACACTTGCTTCCCCCTAAAAATGCGCTCAGCTTGCGACGATCGCTTTCTAACATTCCCTTCAACAGAAGTTACATCTAGGATAGGATAGGAGCTGGATCGCCTCGAGGAGGTGAGCATTCACGACTACATCTATCCTAGTACTAGTTGTAGTGATATAGATTTTTTATTGCACGATTGCAAAATGCTATCCCCGAATAATGCCAATGCAAAACGCCATTGCTGTTGGGAGCCGAGAGGCGCATTACGTTCTGAACTCTGCTTGACTCTTTGCTTAATGCCAGTAGCGTTTTCCATACTATATTCTATCTTGTAGTGTTTGGTTGAAAAGGAAAATAATTAAAAAAATTCAATATTTTTAGAAACCAGGTCCTATGACCATTCATTGAAAATTGAGCCTCAAGCTCAGTTCATACGTCCTATGGATGCCTATTTCTGTATGTTCCTCTTAGGGGGAATAAAAAATCCAGATGATCATGCTAATTACCTAGCATGATCATCTTAAACATAATCACTTGTTTTTAATATGTTTTAATCTATAAGAACTCAGTGATCGGACATAAGCTGACACCCTAAGGCACGAGGGTAGCTGCCCTCCGAGAGCTGTATACATCCTGCTCCTTCAGGCAGCGAAGCAACCCGATGAAAAAGGTTTCAGGAGTAAAAAATTCTCAGAAGTGAAAGACACCGGCACCGCGATGGGGAGGCACAACTTCCTTCTCTACAATAACTTTAGCTTTAGTGATGATGTAAGTAACTTCTGTCCTATCTATTAGGCGAGCCAAAGGTACTTCTAGGGTATCACGACCTTCACTTGATATTAGAAAAAGTAGTCTTCTAAGAAGCTCGTGCTGCTAGTGGGTATACCTGCTTTCAAAACGTCTAGTCTCCTAACAACTAACCAACTTGAAAGTTGTGAAAAAAGGAGTCTTCTAAGAAGCTAGTACTACTAGTGGGTATACCTGTTTTCAAAACGTCTAGTCTTCTAACAACTAACCAACTTGAAAGTTGTGAAAAAAGTAGTCTTCTAAGAAGCTAGTGCTACTATTGGGTATACCTGCTTTCAACGCGTCTAGTCTTCTAACAACTAACCAACTCGAAAGTTGTGAGGATCAGATACAAATTGACAACAAGTAGTAAATCCCTCCCACAATACTCAGCAGAAGAAAGAGGAGCAGTTAAGGATAAAAAGGGTGATGAATTGTTTAGATTGTAGGCGCAGTTAAGGATAAAGTATCATCCTAGCAGTGGCGCTTCTAAGTTGTCTCTAGAATCTTTCCAGAACAACTATTCCTGTTGTATGAAGATACTAGGTACTTATAAATATAAGTCTCGAGCAGCGATACACTTATCCGGGACATTAGAAGAGCACTTCTATGTATTTAGAAAAAGCTATGTAAGGACTATCGGTACATTAGAAGAGCACTTCTATGTGTTTAGAAAAAGCTATGTATAGAAAAAGATAGAAGCCGCACTACAATCACTTGTAAAACACGTCTACGTCTAACCCGTTGCGGCTTGCTATACTACGTGCTGTAGTTGTAGATCGATCTTCTGAATACATTACAAAATTAATATCTCCAATTTTTCACCTCTAGACGAATTGAATCTCCCTTCCCGGAGACGTCCCACAGCTTCCACCTGTAGTAGACGTGACTACACCGCTTCTACGAGAACTTCCTATATTAGTAGACGGTCTAATAGAACTCCCTTTTTTCGCACGAATGTGATTGCAACATGCGTACCTTTTCTAAGGTAAAACCAAAAGTCAAACCATGGAGTGAGTGTTCAAAAATACTCTGCTTCGATTATATACATAGTAGACGTTCTACAACTCGTCCCTGTAGTAAAAGTGACACCTTCAACGTGACACCTTCTACTATGACGTTCTTAAAAATCTAACTTCCACCTTGCAGACGTAGACGTTCACGTTGTTAATATCCACATACCACCTGCAATCTCCATTCACTGTGGAGGTTGCCACGAGGACAAGTGATTCATCGTGCCACGTCCTAGAGAACGCTTGTTCTGCCCACGTGCGGCTGCGGCGCCTCCCTGTTTCATTAGAAGAGACCAGACCACGAGTACTCATCTAATTCTCATAGAAGCAAGTAGACACTGAAGGAAGAAAGATCTTGATTATCTCACCAGCCCAATATACTAGAATTCCACCGAGGATACTCATGATCGTTCTTCTATCTCATCCTCTTACTTATTCTCTTTCCGCCTATATTAGACTATACTCATGATCGTTCTTCTATCTTATCCTCTTACTTATTTTCTTTCCGCCTATAGTAGATTTGAATCTCAAGGCCAAAAGTGTGCTGCGAGAACACCAGAAATAGTCAATTATACTTCCGAGGCGATTCATAATTGTGGTAGGTACAGCTGCTGCGAAGGCATCATATTCGACTGAAACATTGCAGCATGTCGTAATTGGTCTTGTGTCCCAAGCTGTCGCACGTACTCTTGTTCCATCTCGGGGCCTGCCGCCATTCTTCCACCCATGTTAGCGCTCGTCCTCCTGCTCCATCTTGAGAAGTATCCTCCTGATGCTATTTTTCTCTCAAATGAAAGGAAGACTTGGACTTCTCAGAACCCTAAACCCTAAAGTAAGCCTTAACTACCATACTCGTAACGGGAACAACGCCTGTGCCGCCTCGATGGACCATCAAATGCTGTCGTGTAGTCCTGTAGTTCAACATACGAGGAGTATTATTCACACCTGCTGCTCCAATCAAAGATGCGTCCGATAGACGAGACGGGGGAACATAGGCTCCTCTGGATTGTTGTGCTGATGAAATAAAGCCAGCTCTAGTTGTGCTTCCTCGTCCTCCACCTGTAGAAGTCGGAGCGCGTTCTCGTTTAGCGTGTGCTAGGATGCATCTCGGCCCCCTCATCTTGACGCCTTTTACCTTGCAAATCTTAGGAACAAACAAGGGAAAAGGTTACCAAAATGCCGAGAAAGATGCATAGAAGCTGAGCTTAACTAGTTGTTGTAATCCACGTAGTTGGCTATGTTGACTTCCAGATGAAGTAGCTAATAGTTGATTCGCGCCAGGGCATCCAGAATTAGCCTGGTGTGGTCCTCCTCCTCCAACTCCTCGAATCGTACTGGGTCCTCCCCCGTCTTGTTCTTTCCGTGCTCGGAAAAAATTCCCGGCTTGTCCGGTAGCTAATAGTTGATTCGCGGCAGGGCATCCAGAATTAGCCTGGTGTGGTCCTCCTCCTCCAACTCCTCGAATCGTACTGGGTCCCCCGTCTTGTTCTTTCCGTGCCCTGAAAAAGTTCCCGGCTTTTCCGGTAGGCAATAGTTGATTCGCGGCAGGGGCAGGGCCTCCAGAATTAGCCTGGTGTGGTCCTCCTCCTCCACCTCCTTGAATCGTACCGGGCCCCCCGTCTTGTTCTCTCCGGGCTCTAAAAAAATTCCCGGCTTGTTCGGCGGTAGCAAATAGTTGATTCGCGGCAGGGCATCCAGAATTAGCCTGGTGTGGTCCTCCTCCTCCACCTCCTCGAATCGTACCGGGTCCCCCGTCTTGTTCTCTCCGTGCTCTAAAAAAATTCTCGGCTTGTCCGGCGGTAGCTAATAGTTGATTCGCGGCAGGGCATCCAGAATTAGCCTGGTGTGGTCCTTCTCCTCCAACTCCTCGAATCGTACTGGGTCCCCCGTCTTGTTCTTTCCGTGCTCTGAAAAAATTCCCGGCTTGTCCGGTTTCCATCAAGTACTTGATGAGCTCCTCCGATTCTTAGAACTAAGACTAAGTGAAGCTGAGACTACTACTCCAATTTTTCAGATGAACTAAGACTACGCTAACCTTATGTAATGTTCTTGGTCCACCACTACAGTTCTAACTAGGACTACGTTATAGATTGATAGGTACTAAACAAGATCAAGATAGTATCTGATAAGTAGATCCTGTAGATGATCCTCCTCTATTAACGTAAACGTATTTGGCTTCCGTAAGGATTAGTGTCGCGCAACATCTGTGCAGTCTGGGAGCGGGGATCTTGCGATCCACCACGAATAGCCTCCTGTTCGGACGCCGCGTTCGTCCGACGTTGATTGATGCTGTTATAGGAGGACAAAGAAGATGCTCCTGCTCCGAGGTGCTGTGCAGCCGCACCGTCCTCGACACTACCACCGCGTCTTCCGAATTGAGAATCACCGGTATATTAGCAATTTCTTCGAAGTAAGTAGGAGTGGTCTCTCATGTTCAACATTCACTTGATGAAAATGAAAATGAAGAACTACCGCTGATAAATATTCAGGCACGAATCATGACTACTGTATTTGTATTTCATGCTTGTATCCTGGTGTAACTACAATTCAAACAATTTTGGATTTTCGTCCATCAGCATTTGGATCAATCTCCTTCATCTTACTAAGTTATGAAAGGAAAATTTCTTCTCCTTCTCAGCTATGATGACTTTCCTTCGCGAGATATGAGAACAAATTTTCCTTTGATATAAGTAGTTGTATCTTCATCCTTCTCAACCGAGTTCTTCTTCTTACATTTAAAAGAAGTATCTACTTATAAGGAGGGCCATAGCTGGTGTTGGCACCGTAGATATTGCGTTCTGGACGTGCGCTCGTCACCGCACCAGTCTCCGGATCGCCTCGCCAGTTGGGACCAGCTCCACTGTATTAGAAGAAGACGAGGACGACGATGACGACGATGATGATGATGATGATGATGAGGATGATAATTATGAAGATGATCACTCATGATATGAAATCAATGATGTACCCAACAAGCAAAGTGATGACGACGTAGACCTCTCCATATATTAGTTAAATTGTTGAAGAATTTATCGGAGACAGAGAGATGCTGAGATACTTTACTTCAGGAATACAGAAGTCGTCCGCTTTACTTTCATTTTACATTTTTTTTAGGAAACAAGTACTATGTCGAAGTGAAAGAGGAACTAGTGAGAACTTGCCTTAAGTGTAAGAGTTATTTGTGTTGGAGATGCGGTCCACAGGAGCTCGATAAATAGTGTACGAAGGGCCGGAAGCGCCATCATTCCAGTTGTTTCCTCCGTGTCCATCATTGTTTGATCGACCTCCTCGTCCTTGAACTCTGCTGACATTAGTGTTACACCACAAACCGACGTCAATCCGGGAATCAACTCCATTGTTGTTGACATTGTTGTAGCCTCCTCCAGGATACTTTGATTTAGACTTTCCGCCCCCGGTCGTGGCTCCTCCGACAGTTTCATGGTGTTGTTGATGGTGGTTGTAACCATTAGTACTGTAGTTGTACCCAACATGGTCATGAACATGATCACCACGACCGTTTTTGCTCCAACGCTGATTCCCTTGGTAGTTCTTGTTTATGCCTCCCTTCTTGTAGGGAGCTTAGAGCTCACCCTAGTCGTCCATCTTGGAATTCAACAGTCTCGGATCTACTGTTCTCCCCTCCGAGAAGATGTATTATCTGAAGATGGAGGATTAGGGCAAGCAGCCTTAATAGACGCTATGCACTACGTAGCCTCCGCTTCCGTCCTCATAGTAATCGATTTCGTCGCCTTTTCCTTTTCCGATTCCGTGGTAACCTCCCTTATACATAGTAGTACTGTGCGGCCTTGCAGCACCTTTGTAGCCACCTTTATGGCCTCCAGAAGTACCAGGAGAGTGGGTCAGCGATATGACTTAGAAGTTATATGAGGAAGGTCCTTCAATGAGGAAGGCTTACTCCGTGGGAATTTGGAAGATTATGAAGGAGGCTCGTCAACAAAGTGGTGCTATAGAAGAAGTATAAGCTAGTAGTTCTTCAAGAACATTATAAATATATCTCATGATTCATCTTATCATGCGACGACGACTTTTTCCCACATTCACATATATTTACTCTCTACAAAACTGCAAAATCATGATCAAAAAAGACCCGTTTGTATCATCCCTTCTTAAGAAAAATCATCTCCACCACATTGCGCTATGTTATTTTCACCTTTTCCGCCAAAACGTGAATCATTTTTTGAACTCCCAAAACCACCTTGCTGTTGATAACCACCCGTCAAAGCTGCGCCAGAGTTTTTGTTGTATAAGTTTTTGCTTTTCGACACGGTGCCGGTGGTGAGCTCTTCGAGTATTAGACCTTAAACGAGTCCATTTCTTATTTTTCCCTTCATTTTTTCTTCAGCTTCCCAAGTAGAAGGAAGCAGCGGATTGTGATTGACGATGATAATAATCTACCCAGTTGTCCGCAGTTTCTTCGTTCCCTTCTTCGCTGTTATGTTCTCATCTCAGTCTCACTTTATCAACATCTCCCTACTACTTTAAGAAATAATATATAATTAAATAAGCTTGTTAACCTTAGATAGTCGAAGAAATATATTCCCCACACGACACTTGAGATGAAAAATAATTCCACAAATGACGCCAGTCGGCAGTCTGCACTGAACTTTGTGCGAGATACATAAGTCGTAAATTGATGTATTGTATTTCAAAAGCCTTAAAAGTATGCTAGGATCCGGTGGAGGCAGTCCCGGTTTCACCAGTGACAGTTCTAAAATCCGTCTTTGACGTTGCAGTTGCTTCCTTCGGTCCACATTGCGCTCGACGAGTTGACGAATGCGCATTAAGTGGCCGGCTTCGATTTTTCTCGGTCCGCCACGACGCATCATTTCCAAGTCCGAGTCGAACCACAGGGTGTAACTCGCGGAACGACTGCCACCAGGCGAAGCGCAGTGACGCTGCAACTCAGCCAAACTGCGGAAACGCGAAAGACCGCCCATCACAGAACGGTCAGTCCAGGGTGCGTAGCGAGCCATGTGCATCACCTTGGACCATCGCTCCAATAACGGACGAGAACGCATGCAGGCAAAGGCGTAGCCAATGTTTCGTGGCGGAAGAGCGCGACGCCTTTGTTCCTTGTTCCAGACCAGACGAAGTGTGAAAGAATGTAGAATCCTTTTCACTACTGGGTGCAGCGCACACCCCATGGCCTTCAGGGGAACCGGATTCAGATGCACCAGAAAACTCCACAAGCCGCATAGAAGCCGTGGAACGAATGCGGGACTTGTCGGATCATACCACTCCTCGGTCTTAGATACGTCAGGGACCCAGTTATCTGGCTGATTCGGAGGTTTCTCTTTGTCATTGTCTTAGAAAGTCGACTTTTGGTGAGCCGTAGACCAAATTGATGACGATAGATTGTTATGCGTCATCATCTTCTACTTATCATGTTATTGAGGAACCGTATTCGAATTCTTGGTAGTTACTAGACGACATCTTCAAGGTACTAACCCTAATTAATATGATCTCAAGAAGTGAAGAACTTGCTACGTACTTACTACTATAAGAAAAGTTTGAAGAATTGAAATTGTTCTCAACATAATTTTCAGCACCAGCAGCATAATTTTCAGCACCGACGGTCTCACCTCCGGTTACCGTTTGGCACATGGTGAGAATCTGTTGGCGTGTGGAGCTCTCATTATATTCCTCCTCAGATATTACCTTGTTTTTGTCATTATTTTTACCTTTCAACAAGGTGGATGAAGAGTGTGTAGGTGTACTTATTAAAGGTTGAAACATTTCATTTTTCTAAATACATAGCATTGAGAAAGGGGAAAAGTCACAGCATTTCATCCTGTAGTTTCACTTTTTCATAGCTGTAGTTTCAGGGGAAATGAAATAGCTATAGCTTAAGGGGGAAAAGCATGTAGAAATGAAATGTTTCAACCCGTAAATCTACTCCACTCGTGGTATTCGTTGAAGAAGTTGCGGTCGTGGTATTCGTTGCGCTTCTGGTGCTTACGACATTGCTTTAGAGGTAAGGCTACTAAGGTGTTCGCTTAGATAGTTAAGTACTTACCCCGTTAGTGCTGCCTTGCATTGCTTTCTTCCTTAAGAATTATATACTTACAAAGCAAAAATAACGGCAACAGGAACACCTGCTTCTGAAGTCTACCTTCCCTTAAAGTCTACCCTGCTTTGATGTGCTTTCCTTCTTGCTGGTAGGTGTCGCTTCGCCTGGCTCATCTCTAGCTGAGAGCGAAACGAACTCAGACAAAAGATCACCCTGTTCATCGTCAGCATCTCCCTTCGACATCTCATCATCGTCTTCAGAATCTCTACCGATAGCATCCTCCTCATTTTCTTGATCACGGTCAATGTCAAGCATCGGGTACTCATCCGCAGCGACTGGACGAGGAGAGGCACCGTTAGAAGTTGGAAACATTTCACTCTGTCTTGGATAGCCCAACTATTAAGTATAAAGTGGATAGCCTGCAGAAACGAAATGCTTCGACCCTTAACAGCATCATCGGAGCGCCGCCCATCATCAACACCATCCGCACCTTGAAATGGTATGTGTTCTTGATCCTCCACGACTTTTCGGTTGTCACAAGCTGGCTTTTTCAGTTCCGAGGATTTTGTACCAATTGTTTTCTTCTTCTCTTTTTGACTGTCTTCTTCATCGCTGTTGTCGCTGTTTTGGTCACCAATGGCAATGTCCTTCTCGGTCTCGGTAACTTAGAGGTAGAGCACGTGCTCACTCTCGTCGATAAAGCTTCATCTCTACTTTACTCATGCTCAACATCAATCTAAACGTAAACGACATGTGTTACCCCAGACACCTCCTCTACTATTTGAAGCGGTGGCAGATGGGTGATTATAGGTCGTGAAAGAAGAATCACAGATATAGAGTCGATCTTAATCATCACTTTCCTCGTCGTCGCTGCTACTGTCACTGCTGTCGCTACCATCGCTGCTGCTAGAGCTGCTGTCGCTACTGCTATCATCCTTCTTTGCAGCAGCTTGGTCTCCGCCTCCCTGAGGCTTCACACTGTCGTAGACCCTTTTTAGAACTTCCCCTGGCTCATCCCTGTATGGATCCCGCAAGCATAGATATGCCTTTTATTTTGCGTCTCCACCCTTGTCTCTACTTGTTGGATAGAAATAAATAGTACAGCGGACGCTGGAGGATCCCTCTAGAGATGCTTGCGGGATGATTGACTCCAACAACTACATCAGAGCTGGATAATTAAGTAACATGAACCACATGGCATTCTTCACCGCAACTAAAGTAATTAACATGAAAAGCAAAAGCCTTACCATCTTTGTCCATTGTTCACACTCCTCGACGTACTTCATTTCATCGTAGTCAGGCGTGGCCGCCTGAATCAAGTCCTCCATCTCCGGATCCGCTAACAGAAAATCGTTCGCGAACAACATGTTCAACGCGCAGATGTGCGTGTAGCGTGTAGGAACGTTCCTAATGTACACACCAAGGATTAGACGCGAGGGGATATTACAATTACAATTACAAATTTTTCGATGGGGTTATGGCGGGCGGTATACAAAAAAATTAGTATGACCCACGTGTTTTCCAGGTTCTATTTAGTTCGACGCACCGGCAGCGGTGGGCGCAGAGAAAGTAGATAGGAGGTGGATGGGGATATTGGTAATTAAATGTAGATGTTTTTTTAGAAGGAGTATGAAGTGCCAAATCGTCCCACGACGTGTCCACCACAGCACCAGGCTCAGGCCCTTCCGAAAAGGCTAGGCGAATACCTGAAGGAGCAAACGCACGAGCACAATCCGACAAGACTTGGGATGCGGCAAGACCGCTGGACCATCGTGGGCACGTTCAGATGGAGGTGATTATAATAACTCATAAATAATAAATGCTTGGGGCACGCTCAGATTTGGAACTCATAAATAATAAATGCAAGCTTCATTACTAGCCCTGTTCTTGAAGTGGGTGTAGGTGTACAGGTTGATTGAACTTGGAGGTGATAATTATGGAGGATTTGGAACTCATAAAATAGAATCCAAATCGTCCCACATGTCCACCACAGCACCAGGCTCAGGTCTTTCGATTTTCGGTGAAGAATTCCCTTTCTCTTTTTTCGATTTTTTTTTCTCTGACTTCGATTTCTTTTCGGACTTGCTCTTCTGCTCTCTCTTTATTTCTTAGAGGATAGACATAGATAGCCATAGATAGAAGAAGTTATAGCCATAGAAGATCATTCATGTTCTACTTCTTTCTAGAATGCTGGTATCTATCAGATAAGAACTTCAGATATGTTGCAGTTTTTCTAGATGATAGTGGCTTAGTTATAATCTTATAATTCAGATATGTTTCAACGATATAATCATCCAAGCACATCTTCAATAGAAGAGGAGCATAATTTTCGGACTTCTTCTTCTTTTTATGCGATGATGAGGAGCTTGTCGAGCGCGGCCTGCGAGCCTTTTTCTCTACAGCAGGAGAGCTCGATCGTGCCTCTGCCCTTTTAGACTTGGTGGTCTCCCTTGCGGCTCGCTTAGCCGTCTCGCCCTCCCTCGTTGATGAACTTGCTTGGTTTGCTTGGTTCTGTGCCCTTTGGTGTTTATTAAAGGCGGATCTTTTTCTTTGGTGGGAAAAGCTCGGTTATTGATTCCACTATAATTTGTCGAGAACAATAAATGTCGTGCCAAGACCAACAACGTGGCTTCAATCAATTTTTCTACTTGGCCCGCAACAGAATTATCTCTATGGTAGAAAAATCTAGAAACATTCGCCCTCATTCCGAGGACCACTAGTATCGAGAAAAGCCAATGCCAAACAAGTCATACGTAATAACATGAAGCTGCAACATTTCATGGTGTACAGCTCGACTGCGCTCCGCAGCTCCTACAGCCTTAGTTAGAAGCGTGTTGCTGTCTTCTTCAGAACCGGCAGGTCCATCACCTTTGTCACCCAGCACTGCTTTTTTGCTGGTGCCTGAAAGTCATGATTTGCATTTTAGCAGAAGATGGTCCTCGTACAACCTCCATCTTCAAGTACAACTGTAGAACAAGTTGTGCTGGTCCATCACTATCATGTAATCAAATGAACAACTACCCTTTGCCGATTCCGATGAAGGACAAGGACTATCGCTTTCACAAGGACTATCGCTTTCTCCATTGTACTCCTCTTGTTCCACTACCGCGCCGTTGTAGGCCGCCGAACCCTCTACTGGGTCTTTCTGAGTACTTGCTATTTCGTCCGACATGATCTGACTTCGTGATGTTTTAGAACTGTTTTCCCCACGTTGTAGAAATGACGGTCGTCCACAACAATTCGGATGAGTACTAGCAGCAGGTAAACCTCCAGAAGCGTTTTCTTATCGACTTGTTATAATAAGGACTTGTACTTCTACTTATGTATGATGTTGATGTGTCGTTTTGTTACTCGTCCTGCAATCGCCACCTGCAGCAGTTGAAGTGTCGTTCGGTTGTCTAAATATTCAGTATGTCTGATGATGGCGCGGTAGGTTAGGTTAGGTGGGTAGGTGAGGTAAAGGTGCTTAGCCCAAGAAGAACTTGTCGAGTAGTCAGTCTTTTCCCTTACAGCATGGTCCCAAGATGCTTCTGGAGATGGATTACCCGAAGCCTTAAGAAGATGCACCAGAAGAGCTACGATCACTACTGAGGGAAGTTGATGGAGATCGACGTCTTCTTCTCTTCCTCGTTTTAGCCAAGAAAAAATTAAACGTTGTATTAAAGCTCAGCGTTCAATGGTCATCATGACTCTGAACGGAAGGGGCCTCCGCCAAGGCTCTCCCCTTTCCCTTCGTTTTCCCCTGTTCTCCTCTCCAGGGAAGGTCGCCTCTTCGATCTCAGTGACCCCAATCTCAATGGTGACCATTGAAAGCTGAGCCTTAATTGTTCAATTCAATCCCTATTTACGAGGATGAAGATGACGATCTTCATGTGCTGCGTAGTGAAAAAGGCGTAGTAAAAATAATAGCGTTCTTTCTACTTGTTAAGTGCAACTAAGTGCATTCCTCTTTAAAGCTGCATAGAGAAGAGATCTTCGATTATCTTCGATGAGAAAAGAAAGGAAGATCAAGAGTTTAGTCACGAAAAATTTTTGCGTCCTCTATCGAGAAACGCACTGAAAATCTGCAACAATACGTTCTACAACTCATTTCTATATGCATAAATTATGCGAAGAAGGACACACGAACGACTTCAGGATTTTGATAACTTCAACGTTTCATTTTCATAGTACTCGTCCACGTCCTCCTCTACATGTACATATTACTTATCAACTGAATGTCGTGTATAATAATGTTTGCGGTTCTTGTTCATGCACAACGCTTGTCGTGGTATTCACAAACCCGATGACGATGCTCATGCTATAATTCTAGTCATCTTCTACTACCGCTGCATACATTACAGTATAGCATCAATATTGGCGCGTGAGCGAGGAGGACGCAAAATAAGTAAGCGAGTCAGCGTCTGGCTCTCGTATGAATATGCAATGGGCGATCCAGGAACGAGAGTGAGACCAAGAATTTCTTCGAAGTTTTATGATGGACTTCGCTTCTTCTAAACGGAGAACAAGCATACTGATAATCTCCAATCGATCCTACGTGTATAAATTCGCTACATAACAATCCTCGAGGATTGACGAATATGACGATCTTTGATCTGGTGTCGTCGATGCTCCTGCTCTTTGTCCTATTAGTACCAGTTTCAGTTACATACAGTGAGTGTGAGTCTCAACGCTAAATAGTTACATTGTTGCTGGAGCAGACCTAACTAGAAAAAACAAAAACCGAAAAAAGATAAGTCAGGTAAGTACTTAAACTTATCTACTACTAATGCTATTAGTATTAAATAGTTATATCTATAAAAGTGTTGCCTATGTTGATTTCTGCTAGTTGAGGTATTAACTTAACATCTCAAATTTGCGAGAAGTACCGGTAGCGACAGTACTTCCTACAATGGGAGGCGTATAGCCCGCAGACTTTGCCTCCAAAGGGCCCTATCAGGGGTAAGGCCGTTCCCTGGCGACGATCGGGGTTCTACGACATGCGACACCTAAACAATTACCCAAACGGAATTTCGGCTATCCTTTCGATTCTTATCATTAAAAGTCAGAAAGTACAAGTAGGAGCTTCTATTAACTTCCATACATTATTCTCATCGTCGTTAAGCCAGCAGCAGAGCAAAAGTTCATCCATTGAAACCAGGATCCATCGAAGTACAACTTCTACTCATAATTTGATAATATCCTCATTATGTATCGTTACATTATACAGGAAGAGTCAGAAAGCCGCAGACGCCTCCAAGAGAGTAGCCATCTTTCGCGTTCACTCAGTAGACATGCCTACAACAAAGCTGTAAATAGCCAATCAATGGTGCATATTACTTCCAGCGCTATTTTTCACCTTTGGTGTGTGTCAGTGTGAGATGTTGACGGTTGTTGTAATGGTTGTATCAAGGCTTGCTTCAGATGAAGATCTTCGAATCGCTATAGGAGTCAAAAGTATGTTCTTGCCACCTAGGAAGAGACAGAGAGGTAACATGATTGGCAAGTATAATCGAACAGTTGTCAATCAAAATCAATACTCGTCGCACGACCCGTTGTATGTGCGTGGACTCCGCACAAGGTATCTTACCTGCGTTGATTTCCACATCACAATGTCGACGTGGGCTCCTTCTTTCTCAGAAATGTTGTTCTTGCACAACGTGCAACTGTTCCAAGAGCCACCCGGAAACAACAACATCAAGCCTTCTTTCTGCGCAGTGGAAGAAGATAGAAGAAGTTTTTTAATATGCTGGACGAGATGAGGTAATGGTAGAGGCAATGGTCTCTTTGTAATATTGATAACGTTTGTTCATGATCATACATCAACCCGAACAGTATTCGTATTGTTCTTATTGTAATATGCCTACTTCACCAGGTACGCTCTCGTCGTCCCTTCTAACTACATCGAGCAGCCGCTTTCTAAAGACAGTGATCCTGTATTCGTGCTCCTTCTCCTTCTTGTCCTCCTGGCCTGACACGACAGAATCTTCTGCCCCTACAACAGCAGCGTCTTCATGATTCTGAAGATGCTTATACAGGTGCGGAAAGTTCGGAACGAAAAAGGTAGCAAAATGGTCCACGCCAACTTCGGGTTCATAACCCAAACGCGTGTACCACGCATACAAAATATTCTTCACTGGGTGTTCCCACTTACGGGGTTCGAGTAATTCACAACGCATTACAGCCCTTCCTCTGCGCTTGGCTAATTCCTCTGCTGATTCTATCAAAAGACGACCAACTGTCATCTTCTTATCCGTGGAAGAGGGCATCATCTTCTTGTCGGTAGGGGATACTGATTCCAATGCTAACTTCCTACCACGCCAGTCACGCCGAACGGCTAACATGCCAAATTCAGCGGTCGTGTCGAGGTCGATCGGAACACTGGCATCATCTCCTCCAATATCTCTTTCTTTCGGATCGTCCCCTTCTCGTTCATCTACTGTAAAGTCAGTGTCGCAGAATGTTAGGGATTTCCGCATGATGGCAGCTTCCATTTGCGATATTCACAATCCTCGTGATTGATAGATCAGCCACCATTATTCAATCTATGATCAAAAGAAGCCCCCACTTTCAGCCATAAGAATACTTGACCTATAACGTTCATCACAGCACTCGAACCGTGGTCTTCGTGCACGTGCACGCATGAGCAAATAATAAGTTTCCTCGCCAATAGCTTCTGACTGATATCCTCTTCATTCGTGCGTCCAGGACTGCCCTTTTTCCACATCTCATTTTCCCCATAAACGTAGGCTTCGTTTACAATCTCGGCTAAGTTCTTGGTTAGGTCTGGGGTGAGATCGAGAGCAAGAGAAGGACATTCATTTCCATCACCTCCTCCAACTTGAGATGCTGTACTATGGTCCCCTTTAAAAACAGGTTCCGGAATCGACAAGATTAGACGCCAGCTAGTTGCGCTACCCCCGTCTGTAGCAAGAAAATCTCTTCGAAAACCCTCACCAGTAGTGCCACAAATAGGAACGCGCCAAGAAACTGGACGATGCCATGCAGAGGATGTCATTTTTAGCGATCGTGCAGTGTAGAAGGACTCTAAAATTATGAGCCAGAAGAAATTGCACAGGGCGAAGATCCGCTTCCGAACGCCGCTGATCATGATCAGAAAACTAAGTATTTAGTCTTAGAAGAATGATACCTATGCTGTACTAGGAGGATAACGGGGAACTACTCTCAGGTCATATCATAGTGCCCACTCTCTAGAACTACCGATACTGCGACGGAATCTTGTCTTTTAGCAGGACGAAGTCGAAAACAGTCGTTGTGGAGTGCATGCTTTCATGCCAAACCCAGGTTGGTCTTTCGCCTTGCGGCTGCTACATTGCAGCTGAGGTTTCAGATGCTAGTCACGTGATGCATACGCTTGAACTAGACGTTTTTGAAGTCTTGTACTGTACAACTTGCAGATAGTACTGTGCATGTAGTTGTATCTTCTATTCACATTTGATTCTTGTTGTGTTGGACTTGATTACATGATGCATCTCCCACTACGACTCAATGCACTCCCCAGGCTTCAAGTTGAAGTTGATCTCTATCCCTACGCCAATTCTTCAAACCGTTCCTTGCCTCTTGTCTGGTGCTCATGCTCAGCCAGCCACTGCGTGGTAAAGCGTCAAGCGGAAACGTCTGCTCATGTACTATCCAAAACACACAGCCAGAAGATGAGATGCGCATTAGGTGGTATCAAAGCTCGAAATCCACGCGTTCCAAAGGCCTCACTTGGCGGGATATACGCCACAGCCTTAGAACCCACACACATTTGCTCTACAGCTTTTTCTAGACCAGGGAAGAAGGCGCTGCGACCTGTAGTTCGAGGTAGTTTGTATAGATATACTGAACAAGGAAGAGTAGCCCTGTCAAAGCTACCTCCCTTATTTCAGTAGTTTGTGATTGGTTTAAAATGAGAAAATCAGTCACCGCCAACACTTTCCAAACGACCCCAATTAAGACACATATACCAGCATAAGTACTAGTTAGTACCCAAGCGCATCTTCAACGGTTTTTGACGATTATATGTCGAGTCCCACATATAGGGTCCGCTAAAGAAGCCATCCCCGCTCGACTCCAACAAGTGCTTTCCGCCTTTCTTACTCGGAGACGGCACTCCTTCTGGATAAAAAGGGTCCAGGGTGGTTTCGACTTTCCCAGCTTCTCGCTGCGCCTTCAGCCTACTCTGGAGAGCTTCTTCTTCCACTAATGCACGCGCTGCATTCTCACGTCTTTTTTTGGCTGACAATTTGTTGATGTCAGCATGTAGTCTTCTACCGGCTGATACAGATGGTGCTACTGGATGAAGAAGGTGGATGTCCTCTCTATTATTCGCATTCCCTTTCGCAACAATAGCTGCATCTGACGGAGATGGATATCGTTCTCTGTGCTCCATTGTCGACGTTGTCTTGAAAGATCTACTTTGTTGATGATGAGCGCGAACGATATACCACGCAATATAATGCACTGTCGCTGTATCCTTTCCACGAACCTGCTGAGCAAAGTCGCCAGGAACCACACAGTCCACTAAAACCCCAGACTGTAGGCGAAGGATCTCGCCAGGAGGTAGTAAGCGCAAGCCCAAAGCCTGAACGTTCAGATCTTCTAACCTCCACCGACCGGGCGTCTGCGGGAACAGCACTGAAAGCGATGGTCTTGAAGCCCGTGCAAAGGGAGATGAAGGTCCTTGGGCTTCCGATGGTTGTTCCTGGGAAGGTCCTTGGGCTTGAGAAGTGGCCGAGGGTTGTTCCTGGGAAGGTCCTTGGGCTTGAGAAGTGGCCGAGGATTGTTCCTGGGCAGGCATCTTCTGTAATATCTCATCTCCTGGATCCGGAACATCGTTTCTCTTGCTCTTTTTCGCCTTTGACGATGCAGTAGAGTTTGTGTTCGACAGCAATGTCGGAAGCTCGCCCAATAATTAGAGCTGAGTATAGTTCTAAAAAATTGCACGAAAGAAAAAGGACAATAATTAATGGGTATTATAATTCTGATTGCCAAGAGCCGTAAATCAACGCGTTACCCGCATAGTTCGTCGACCTTCCGAATACGCCAGACTTAGAATCGTGCTTCACGAACTGACGTTTGCCTTCCATGTTTCTTGTTTCTGTACATCTGATTAGCCTTATCTCTACTCTGGACGTGGACCTTGAGTACTTGAAAATGCAACAAGAAATAGTAGGTCTTCGACTCTTACTCCTGTCTCCTGATGCTACTCTCGAGAACGGCACTACAGCGGGAGCATCACCACCCTCCACATTTTGGGTATCTTAGACACCCCCACGACGTGGCCGTTTACGTTTTCATCGATTGATATCATCAATCGTAATCTCCGTTATGCACATGGCAAGATGCGTAAATAGATTGTGAACAACAAATGAATTCATTGGACAGCACTTGTCTTCCATGACCATGCAACATGAGTTGGATTTTCGAATCTCCACTGCTAAATTCAAAACTACAACATGCTAGCTCCGATTCACTCCTGCGTCAATAGCGCTAAACAACGCAGCAAACTCGCTTATGCGTTTGTCGAGGAGTTCCTCTAGGACTTCAGGACTCAAGGGCGCTTCGCGATCCATGCCACAGGACGCGACGCACTCACATCTGCAGGATATCTTACTTCTTCTACATGAAGAAATCGACACGTCGCGCACCATAGAAGAAGAATTCGAGGGCATCAAATTCTTGTTGATTTGATCCTCTAAAGCTCTGCTTGACGTCTCCCTTGCGCTACAGCTCCCGCCTCCTCGCATGGAATTAGAATTACAACTCGCCTCAATACTGATCTTCGCTCGAAATGTTAGAGCCCACTGACCGGTGATGTTCTGTATTCGTACCTCTGCACGTTCGGCGCTCCAATCCACATGCCATCGCTCTTCGAAGAGTACCTCCATATCCTGCTTTGTCAAGCTTTTCATCACCAGGAGAGGAAGTCTTGTTTCGAAAAGTAACCTCTCAGCGAAGTTCTTAGGGTCGCTCCACATTCTCTGCAATAACCGTGGTTGACTTCCGGCAATATTGTCGAAAGTAGGTGATCGGGTTCGCAGGTCTTCTCACCTGACAAACCGATGGGATGAACACGCACGGTACGCGGCGCCGATATCGCTGATCAACAGTCGTATTCGCCACTTGAGTTTTATGTTTTTGGTTTTCTCATTGCGGTCAATGCTCGATTCACAAGTTGTTTATAATAACAATTTCATATCCAAACTTGAGCCACCGAAGTGGACGTTCAACGAGTCACGTGCGAGTAGAGAGTTGAGGGAAGGGAAAAAGGATAATAGGTCACACACACACACATATTGGTTTTGAGTTGATGTCCAGACAATTAAACGACTTCACGTTAATTGATGATTAGCCATTCCTTCCATGCAAACATAACAGGTTAGCAAATCATCCACAACAAAGAAACCGATCTTCCTTTTTGCTCGACTTTGTTCTTGTTTCCCCTGTTACAAAACAAACTTCTTTTACTCAAAAGAAAGACTCTTCTTTCTCAAAAAACAATATGTCCTCATGTCCTATTTCCTTCCTCACTCTCGTGACCTCTCACGCTGTCCCGATTCAATTGAAAGAAACAGTTCAACCACAAGAGAACAATCAAGCGTGCGTTAGCCACGCCGACAGTTCCCGGGGGGTGGAAGAAAAGTTTCCCTAGGGACAACGGAGATCAAACGAGAAGAGACTCGGGAGAAGCTAACATCTAACGTCAATCCCAGCTTCTTACTCCTTCATCATTATTTCTTCTAACTCACGGCTCCTCACACTTCGGTCACATAGCAATTAATAACAAACTCCAACCTGTTATTGAAAAGAACATACAAACCAACAATGTCGACATCCGTGGGATAATCAAGTAAATCTTTAGGTTATCAGCAAAGAAATCCAGCGAAGTCCTTACCTACCCAGCGTCTTATGTCGTACAGATGCACAACGACGCTTGTCATCAAGTGACCTAGTGACCCAAGCCACCACACTTAACAGAAGAGATATCTGTTGACACCAAGCATCAACTTACCCTATTGTTGCAAATAGAACCAACCAGAAATGTTACGCAGGAAAGGAAATTAATTTCCCCCCTACCAATAGTTAGCTTTTATTCTAGTAGCGTGACACCCTTGTTCTTAACAATACACACCTCTTCCTTACTCATGTTATTTCGTCAATATGTACTACTTGTTCTTAGTCTCGTTTGTTAGAGCGATATATTCACGGCCTTCCACTCCCATCAGAGCCACGTCATCAACATAAGCTACCTGAACCACCTGATGCTTGTTTCGGTCCTGCCAGTTGGTGTCAAGGATCCCCTCATCCTCCATATTTTTGATCGCAATGTTGACGAGGAACTTCACGGTCTTCAGATCAAAGCGGGGCACTCGACGGCTGACGTATTTGGTGACCTCCTCCACCGAGTGCCAACGACTGTAGACACCCTCGCTCACCGGAAACGATCCCTTCGGGACTGGTGTCGATTCTTGACACATGATGAGGAAGATACGATCCTCAATCTGTGCCACCTCGTTATCCAGCTCTCGCAAAGAGAACCGCTTCACCTGTTCCGGGAGCTCAACTGGCTCGTTGTGAGTATAATCAGTCAACGCGCTGTACTCCCCCTGCATCTTCTCCAATGACGATCTCAAGAACCTATCAAACTGAGCAGAAGCGAGAACTCCCCCAAGAACTTGTGGTCGGTCGTGAAGAATCGAAGTGAAGGAAGAATTGCCCGAATCTGAGACAGCTGCTAGAGACATGCCCTTTTTGTTGTGACTTGCCGAAACTGTATTAGTTACGACCCAATGAGTATCAAGATTAACAAACACTTATTGCGTCGATTTAGTAGACCTAAGCTTCCTCTCGTGTTATTTGATTGAAATATATGATGTAAATTTTCCAAATTATGTCATGTTAACCAAACAGCTGACTTCTTTCAAAATTTATCTCGTATCCTGCAGGTTGTATGAGAGGCCAAGCAATAGCGGAAGTAAAGTCAAGCGATCTTCCCTTCTCACTTCCATGTTAAGCAAAATCCTACCAAAAAGAAACATTACTGAACTAACTTTACTATTCATCTATTAGTCTCCTGCAGCGTTCCGATCACATACTCACTTTAGTTTTCTTTTGACAAAAATGAAGATCATCACACCTTTTACTTTCCCAAAATTTATTCATTATGATTCTTGTATTGTTGGATCCTTGTTGAGTGAAGATGTCTATCCTTCCATTCAGACTCCACTGACTTCTAGATTTCCTTCTGATCTCTTTTCAATGGTTTCTCCCAGGTGTACGTTCTTCTATGAACGCACACCTGTCCCATAGGTAACACTAGATTTCCTTTTAACAATTCCAAGAACTGCACGAGCTTACCTCCTTGTACAATCTTTGTAGTTCCGTCACCAAAATTCGCACGATCAGTTATCGATCCCAGTTCCCAGCGTCCGAAATGATAAGCCGACTTGACCTTGGCCAGGACTTTGAACACTGGCGCGTCTGCGTTGGATATCACCGATTTGCTTAGTATTCGCAGAACTGCACTCTTGCTATCAGACAAAAGTAGAGCAGAGCACTCAATTCCCCACACGCGGCACTTCTCTTGCACCATCTCGATAATGGGGATCGCCTCTGCGATTGCATGCAATTCTGCATCGTAGCTGGAGACGCACAAGTTAGAGAGGAAGATGGTGTCGAGCGCCAAGAAAGACATTCGAATTCCGTGCCTCTCCAACTCCTCGTACTCCTTCACCGTCATGACTCGTTTGATGGGCAACTGCTTCTTCTCATAGTTATCCCAGTCTTCCTTGCAGACGGAGATCAAGGCCCAGCCTATCACCGGTCGCAGTTGTTTCGCCTTTCTGCTCGTAGCATCCGGATCACATGTCGGAACACTCACACTCGCAAAGCGCTTTCTCTTCCGACGTTTGGTTTCCCCTTTTTCCAGAAGAAGGCCTGCTTGGTGCGACTCCTCGAACCTATCCACCGCGTCATGGACCTCCTGCAGGAGAACCTCCACCTCGCCTGCCTGGCTATGTTGCATGTAACCTAGTTGCTTCCCGGCCAGACCGCATAGCTCTTCATCCTGGAAGTGTTGTCGTAGATGATTGCGGTATTTTTCCCGGACATCTTCGGCATTCCCGTCACGTTTTTCAAGGAAGGGAGAACCCCACTTAGAGCCCTGGCCCACGAACACATGACGGTCGTCCTCCTCCCAGCGCGACACCCATCCTGGTTGGTATTTCTGATACCCGTGCGCATGCAGGTTGACCGCCTCAGTTGCCGCTACTTTCTCTACCTCGTCTTCACTACTAGTAGGTTGTTGAAAAGAAGCGTCTGGAGCGATGATCAGGTATTCGTTTTCATACCCAACATCCATCACAACACCTGGGGAATCCTGCTTCAGTCTTCTGATCACATTGTCCTGCTCGACTGTCCATCGGATATCCTTATTCGCATCTGCTCCGACGGCCAAGCACCGCGTGGCGAAGCGTGCCTCAGGATGTGTTCTACTGATAAACAGTACTGACCCGCGCTTCTCCTTCAAAGATGTTACCTCTTCACTAGAGAGAAGCTGACGGGGAAGATGTTGTCCACCGGCGTCCTTGGTCATTTCTGGTGCGGTCTTCAGATCATCTCGCGCGCACTTGAGCTCCTTGATCTTCGGAAACATATTACAGTAGATCTTCTCCTTTCCGTCTTCGATCGTGTGCAAGATGTTTTGCCCAGTAAAACACAGCCCATCTCGCGCATCGGACCAGTCCGTGAGTCTGAAACGTGACTTCATTGCGGCCGCAAACTCGTTGAATCCGCCCTCGCTTCCCACGAACAGAAGATCATCCACATGCAGACCGACACGTTCGTTTTCCTTGTAAAAGACACACGGAGAGGCGGTAGAGATGCGGTACCCAATCGATTCCAGAAACTGCGTAAGGACTCTATACCACAGGAGGGCGGCCTCACGCAATCCGTAGAGACTGATGAGCATTAGCAGAATATCTCCAGGTCCGACACCGTACCTCGTGCGTATCTCCTTGACGATGTATTCTTGATGCACATTATGCGGGTACTTGAATCGCGGTCGGTTTCCCGGCTTAAACTTGTGATTCTGCAGGAACGCTCGCGGTACATCTCCGGATTTGATGACCCGTTTCCCCCTCACGTGTCTCAGTGAGTTCAGAACCAGGCGGAATTCAACCTCGCTCATCGTCGGACTTTCCGCTGAGGCCGACACGGAAGAATTATGTCCACCAGGGACTATCCGTATAGCAACCGTAAAATGCCATGGAGTCTTCATTTTCAGATCGCAGATCGCTCTAGCGGTTAGGACGCGCTCCGAAGAGTGTTGCATACCTGGTTTCCACTTCTCGACCAGACCTTGCTGGAACATCTGATCCCACTCCTTCAGGTGGCCTTTCAGCAACATCTTCCGCTCGTCGAGGCCCTGCGGAGAGTCCACGAAACTATGATCCGTGTCAGCGTGTTTTAGTGCCCCTAGAAGACGTTCAACAACTTCTGGATGAGACTTGGCACGCGGATCCAAAATCGACATGAGGTTGTGGGCCTCGTACGATTTCTCTGGGTCGAGACACCACATGATGATCCTCAGAAGATACACACCACCAGCCTTTTTGAATTCTTCGCGGCTCTTGACGTACTGCACCCCCTGCATGCTCCAGGCTACGAGTATTTCCTCTTGCAGGTCCGGCTTAGAGAGTGCTTTCCTATTTTCTTCCCAGCCATGATGAAGCTCGATTCCTTCAGGTGTGAAGGGGATCTCTCTTTTCTGCATGAGCGTGTGCACGATAGTACCAAAAGCGATACTCTGCTCCGACAGTGATCCAGCCTTCTCTTTTTGAAGAAGTTTCGTGATTGCCCTTCTTTCGGTCCTTGTTGGTAGTTTGAATTCTTCCGCCCAGCGCCAGTCTAGGTTCGGTTGTTCTTCTACCTCATTGTGGTTATTGTCATCCTCCTGTTCCTCACCTGTCTCCAACTGGACAAAAATGCTCTCACCCGAAACTTCCTGTTGATCCTCGAGGACATCTCTAACTAGACCGGCCTGAACTAATCCTCCTGATAAAAGGTCATCTTCTTGTCCCGCATCCTGCTCGCGTTCTTCCAGGTCTAGTTCATCAAGTGGAGGAGGTTGTGGAGCGATGTTATCCTCCTCCTCTGAGTTCACCTCTCGTTGCACCTGCTCATCCTCATCTTCAGTCATCTCAATGTCTGAAGAGGATTCTCCATCCTGATCTAACGGTAGCCGCTTTTTCCTACCACGAACAACATTTTTCTTCTTTGTTCCGGTCCCCTCCCCGGGGGTCGAAAAAGAGAAAAATGGTCCTGCTTCATGAGTGGCAGCTCGTGAAGGATGACGAAGTTCGGTATCCTCGATTTTCGTATTGAGCTCGAGCCATCGCTGGTGGGCTTCGTAGGCCCGTCCGCCTTTCTGGAAGTCGGTTGGCAGCAGTGGTTGGAGATCTAGAGGGACATCGAGGAAGTGATCAAAGCTTACCCCCCCGCACAAGGACTCGGCGGGAACAGCGGGCAAGATGCGTCCCGCGGTTTTAACCGTGTATTCGAAGGCGCTCGTTCCTTGCGTTCGGCGCTTGGCAATGATAATGCCACGCACCGACTGCCCCGACTTCGGGTTGGTGTATTCCACTTCTTGCCCAACGTCTTTCTCCTGTGTGTCTTGCTCTCGCAAAACAGCACGGCAGTTGGCCAAGATCTTGTCAACGCCTCTTCGGAAATCTGCATCATCGAGTTGCATCTGGAGAAGCTCAGCCTGAACTCGTAGTCTGCATTCAGTGAGATGGTTAATCGTATATGCTTCGTTTACTGCCAGGGTGGAAGAACCAAAATCATCCGGATGGACAAGATCGTCGCGGAGGCTCTCCTCGAGTCCCCAGAAAGCCTGATCAGGGCTTCTCCCATTCAATGCACCCGTTGGAGCCTGTGCAAATCCTTCATCAATTTCATCAAGGAGAAACTGTAGGGGCATCCTCGAATAGCACGGAAGTCGGCGTAACCTCTTATGCAGCGTCTTCGTGCTCAAAAAGCGCCGCTCCAATTTGTAGACAGCCTTCCCGCTGGGTAGAATGGTGAGCTCCCGTCCACTGCGACTGAGTGGTCTCCAGTCCTCCACTGCAATATTTTCTGTTCCCGTGTCAGCAACCACCCGTCGACGGACAAGTTTCTCTCGCAGAAAGCGGTATAGCGCCCGCGCAATGTCCTCCCGAGATGGGGACGCCTTGCCTTGCAGCAAACGTGGCGCAATCTGGTCGTTCATGTTGAACATGAGGCCCTCGCGCAGTTGATGTTTCTGCTCCTCGCTGAGGTTCGACTTCTTTAGGAGTGGCTCTAGCTTCCACTTTATCCCGCAAACGAAGTGTCCTCCTCGCATATCCGCGACTGACAGGATTCCAATCACCGCATAAATCCACCCGTGTTCCGTAATGAAGGTCGTATCTATTAAGGAAACGCCGCCCGAGGACATGGTCAGACCCAGATGAAACGATCCCAAGGATCGAATTCGGGGACCCATTCCGTACCGAAGACGCGCCAGAGAGTCGCGGCGCGCAAGATGCACCAGGTCAGAAAGCGACTGCTCATTGATGTTGCGAAGTCTTGATCTCGCAATAGCAACGCATTTCTCGTGGGGAAGCAGCCTTCCGTGGTAGTACAGACACTCCTGGATCATGCGCAGTTTCTTCCGTTCTGTCTGGGTCAGATGCCGAATTGGAGAAAGCAGCGTATCGACCCGAGCACGTTCTTCGACACTGTACTTGATGGTTGTGCCGTCCGGCAGCAGACTGTGCCGGTTGATGAAGAGTTGGCCTTGCAGGGAGCAGTGCATGGTCTGATGATGTCGACCCTGATCTCTGACTACTTCCGCCACGGCCACAGACATTCCTACTCCATTACTACAGCGTATGATGACCCTTGCTTTCTTCGTTAGTTCCCCCACTACGAGTCTGACCTGCGCAGAAGTCACCTTCTTTTGCAATTCCGGCGAGTGTCCGGTCAACGAAGTTCGCTGCTCGAGGTAGTCCTCGGGCTGGAATTTGTCTATCTCTTCGACGTCGATGATGGCGGCAGTGTCCCGGACCACAGGTGGAACATCTACAAGATCCCTGCACGTGAAGATTCGCACCTCATCCAACTTAGTGGGTTGCTTCAGTAATGCACGCGCACTTGGCCCGTTATGTACAGATTGCATGATGGTCCCTTTTCCGATTTCCTCGTACTTCACGACGTCCGAGAAGAAGACAGACGACTTGCAAAAGTCGGTGGAGAGACGACCGCGGGTTCTATCCACTCGCTCTTGTTCTTCGTACTCGGATTTTCCTGCCTCAGACATCCAACCTGGTGCTGTCCGCGGAGGTACACTAGTTGGGACGTGGAAGTAGTAGTCAATAGAGATGTATCCTTTACTGACAGGTTGATGGACTTCTTGTCTGGTGCGTAACCAATCGTTACGCATGTCCGGCGCCGCGCGCTCCTGGGTGAGGACATTGATGCAGCGTCGCAGACGGACCCGACTCTTCAGCCACTTGGGCACGTCAGGTAAAGAAGTAAGACCATACTCCTGGACACGGTACACGGCGTACTTTCCATGGTCCTTCTCTCGTCGAACCTCCTGCTGGGTGACTTCCCATCTATCATCCACCGCCACGAGGTTCTCATCCCCATCCAAAAGGCTGCCTCCAGCGTAGGCCTCCTCCTCACGATCTTGCGCAACATAAGCGGCTTGCTCCTGCCCATCCTTGCATTCTTGCTCCACCAATTTCTCGTAATCCGCAATTGTTAGCGGATCAAATGGTCGCGTTGGCTGCACTTGGTCTTTCGGAACATTGATCTTGTTCGTGAAGATGGGCCGGAGCCAGGTGGACTCCGGGTTGTGTTTCTGGACGTAAGAGAGCAGCTTGTACTCAAAACTACCGCAGTCGAAGAGTGAGATGTAGATCTGATCTTGCCCGGTAAAGTCGGCAATCACCGAGTCATCATGTCCTTCAATGACGTCGGGCGCGCCAGGCTTAATTTTTGTTGTCAAGAAGTTCTCTTTCTGCCACAGAAGACCAGCCAGGTTTGGTCCGAATTCCGTCTCGGTGACTTTGGCGAAGCCGATGCAGTACAGTGACCCATCAGTGTTGAGAACGCGGTAGGGAAGCACGTGACGTGCGAGAATGTCTTGTGTAGAGTTCCCGATACCTTGCGACTTTGAAGAGCATCGTTTTGTGCGCACGGTAAGTCCATTTCTGCGCGCACGGTCCGCACTGGCTTCCGCGGTTCCGGTGTTGACGTATGTGATGTTGTTGTACCCAGTATCCAGCTGGATGAGATTGTGTTCTGTGGTGAAGTTGATTCTTTCTATTTCATCCTCGATCGTCTTCAGCTTAGCCACTGCGTCAGGTGACGATGTGCTTTGCTCCTTCTGCATTTCCGTCACGAGCTCGCGGATCTCATTCGCACAGAAGTCCTTCTTGTGTCCATCGTCCTCGACGACTTTCCCATAGAATCCGGAAATCGCGAGTGCGTCAGAGGCGAATGAGGTTCCTCCTCTCGAGTAGGCGAAGTGAGGTCTCTCGAGAAGTTCATCTTCTTCATCACTTTCGCCCATCTCGTCGTCATCACCACCAAAGTTCACCTCCTCGTAATTATCCGAGCCGTCACCTTCGTCGATCTCAATGCACAAGACTTGATCATCGGTCTTTCGCGCGTCGTTTCGGAGAACAAATTCTCGCGCAGAGTCATCCCTGCCCACAGTTGTTAGAAGTACCCTCTCCTGGTCATCGCTGGATAGTGCCTCCAAGATGTGTGCAATCTTTTCTTGGATGGGTTTTTCTTGAAATTCCTTCGTGCCCATCGTCTTATTGAGCGTCTTCTTATTCTGTGGGCAATCTACTTGAAGATGATGTTCACTGAAACAGATTCCGCAAACCTTTTTACCCTTGTGCCTACAACTGTCAGACTCATGTTTGCCCCAGCACCACTTGCATCGCACTCTACGCGTCTTACGGAACCCGTCTCTTCGGTCTCCTCCTTTTCCAAACCCTTTTCCGGTCCCCTTCTTGTTATCTCCGGCGCTGCGAAAATTTCCAGTCTTGTTCTTAGCATTGTAGGTGTATTTTGATTTTGGATCGAGGACGTTTACGCCTACATGTTGAGGTGTGACGTCACCGCCTGACTCGCGAGTAACTCCAGCCGTGGAACTAGGAGGAGGTTGCTCATCTCGCCGGTGCATTGCCTTCACACCCTCCAGGTACTCCATGTACTGCAAGATGTTTTCGAAGTATGGAACTCCTGTCTGCCCGAAATGGGTGTGAACCATCATGTCATGAACTTCCTTAGGGGCGAAGTCAGGAACCTTCGACAGGAAGATCTCCCAGACGTGGTTGCGTTCTGCTGCGCTCGACGGGAAGAGATTGACGAATGCCTCCTCCGCCTCCTGCGTGTACCGCTGCAGGACCTCAATGTCGCTTTCTCCCTTGCGACGCCGGAACTCCATAAACCGCGACATCTCGTCCCGCCCTCGGATGAACGCATGACGATAGATCTCGTAGAGACGCATGTTAAGGTTATCAAACGTCAACGTCCACCGGACTCCCAGTTTGATGCGAAGACGGCGAAGTTTCTGCTTTTGTGACTCCTTGAAGACACGTCCAAACTTGGTCTTCTTAGTATCGACGTCACCACTAGAAAACAGAAGCTCTTCTATGATCTCGTTTTCTAATTCCTCAGGGAAGAGGTACTGCTCCTCGTCTCTTTTCATCACTAAACGCAGGAGGTATGACTCCATCGCGCTCAGCCAATCCCGAAGGTTCGCGTAGCTTTCCACTCGTGGAGGATCTTTGTCAGGACGCTTGTCTTTCGCAATAAGAAGATACCCTTCGTGAACGTGGGGAATGTTGTGTGTCCTCTTGTAAGTCGACTCAAATGCGATCTTGGTAAACTTCCACATTTCCCGCACTACTACTCCTAGGTCACTTGACCCGCTTGGTCCTCCCTGGCCGCCTCCTCCAGGCATCGTGAAGTTTCCGTAGCCTGGCGGTCTGCTGGTATTCGGTAGCGGCACTGCGTCACCGTGATACCCTCGGTAAAAACCCGGCGAATAGCTCATACCTGCTGCTCCTCGTCCCGCCGAGTGTGGTCCACCTCCGAAGGCTCCTCCACCATATTGTGGATTACCTCCTGTAGCGTTTGTAGGGACGCCCAATCCGATTCCGCCTCCCAGTCCTGGGTCAGCACCTGTTCCGTGCACACTCCATCTTCTCTGACCGGTAGCGACGTTTGCTCCAGCTGTGTTCGCCGGCATCTGGTAACTGTACGGGTTGTTGTCAGGAGCAGTCACATTTCCACCGCCCGGCGGTCCTGGTGGAGCCATGCTCCTTCCCGGATTCTCTGCAGTCATTTCCATTTGTTGATGTGGTTGTTGCACTGGGACTCGGCTCTGTTGCTGCGACCCGGTTCCACTTTCCTCAACCGATGACTCGGGGACGGCTGTACGCCTTGCTTGTTCGTTCTGAAGCTGAAGAAGCATGTTATTGAACATCCCCTGCATTTGATTTCCGAGCTGCGACATGACTCTCTGCTCTGCTGAACCAACCGCTTGGTTAATACTTGCTGCACTGTTCTGCTGCAGCAGGCTAACTGCTTGATTGATTCCTCCCACCGCGTTGGACGCCTGCGTAAGTTGTTGCTCCACAATGTTCTGGGTGTTGTTCAGTTGATTCTGGATCATTTGTTGTGCCTGGCTAAGTCCCCCAATGTTGTTATTGACAGACGTAACCGCGCTGGTGACCGCTTGATTGATATTGTTCTGGTTGATTACGTGACCCTGCATTCGGTTATCAATCCCTCGAACTTGTTCACCCATTTGGAACTGCATGTTGTTGATGTTACGTTCCCCATTGGCGAAGGCATTCTGGAGATAGGTGTCCGCGTTGGACATCTGGTGAACGATATTTCCTATCTGGTCGCTCATCCCTCCAAGCTGCTGGCTTGTAGCCGCCGCTCTCTCCTCCAGCACACCCGTTCGCTGGTTTATTCGCATTCCCGCACCGATGAAGTCCTGAGTGCTCATTCCTACCCCAGAACTGCGTCGCACTCCCTGTTGTGCCTGAAGTTGATTCTGTCCGTTCATGTTCCAGGAAACTAGGTTGTTTCCGGGATTGACTGGCTGCAGCTGCAGTTGTCCTAGTCCTGGCGGGTTGGCGAGAGACGGCAAGGTATTGGGAAGGTACGGGTTGAATGTAGATGATGACGATGGTCCACCCGTTCCTCCTACTACATTATTGTTGTTGACTGTTGACGGTCCCGCCGCATTGAACAGAGGTCCCCCAGGTGCGTCAGCAGGTGGAGGAGGAGGTGCTCCACCTCTATCAGCCGGGCTGTCATGTGCGGATATTCCTCCGGCCTCCAGATCGGCGACCATGTTCTGATCGTTCGCTGCAGCGAGTTCGATCTCTAGATCCAGGTCCTCCGCCGACATTGCCGTGTTCTGATAGCCGTCACTGGACGAGTGGTATCTCCTCTCAGACCTCGAGTGCGTCGCGTTACTCATCGGTAGAAGTAACTTTGATCACTACTATTTTTCTTTACTATTCGGAGTTTTAGTTGGGCTCATACTATTTCCCGGAGGATCGCGTCGAATCGTCTCCGGTGGAGAATCGCTATTCCGTAGCGGTCGAGTTGTTGTAAAACCACTCTGTTCCGCTACCACTGTCGAAAGTAGGTGATCGGGTTCGCAGGTCTTCTCACCTGACAAACCGATGGGATGAACACGCACGGTACGCGGCGCCGATATCGCTGATCAACAGTCGTATTCGCCACTTGAGTTTTATGTTTTTGGTTTTCTCATTGCGGTCAATGCTCGATTCACAAGTTGTTTATAATAACAATTTCATATCCAAACTTGAGCCACCGAAGTGGACGTTCAACGAGTCACGTGCGAGTAGAGAGTTGAGGGAAGGGAAAAAGGATAATAGGTCACACACACACACATATTGGTTTTGAGTTGATGTCCAGACAATTAAACGACTTCACGTTAATTGATGATTAGCCATTCCTTCCATGCAAACATAACAGGTTAGCAAATCATCCACAACAAAGAAACCGATCTTCCTTTTTGCTCGACTTTGTTCTTGTTTCCCCTGTTACAAAACAAACTTCTTTTACTCAAAAGAAAGACTCTTCTTTCTCAAAAAACAATATGTCCTCATGTCCTATTTCCTTCCTCACTCTCGTGACCTCTCACGCTGTCCCGATTCAATTGAAAGAAACAGTTCAACCACAAGAGAACAATCAAGCGTGCGTTAGCCACGCCGACAATATATTTTGACCAAGCGGGACAACGATCTTCTAAAAGCTCCATTTTCATGAACAGCATGAAATCGGCGAAGCTCATTCTGGAAAACGAAAAGGCCCCAGCCCTGCGCATCTGATTCGGGATGTGGTAGGCGAAAAAATCTATGTCATCCTCAAAATTGATTTCGTTATCGTCGGGTTTTTGACCTGTGGTTCCTGTTGCAAACGCAAACCCGCCTTCACAAGGACCGGTTAAAAAGGAACCAATTGAAGAGCCAGAAGGATGAGTGTGAGAGTGAGTACCACTAGAAGAACTGCTAGTACTACTTCCACCTGCACCGCCAGCGAAATTCGACAGCATTGAAGACACGTATTCTCCTGGTTGGTCACCTCCACGGCCACCAGTGTCTCGTCCCGAGCCCGACGTACCTCCAAACGGTGCCAAAGAAAATGGTGACCAGATCCGGAGTTCATCTCGCATTTGAGCTAGCGTTTCACCAAACGTGGGCACTTCCCTCAGATCCAATTGCGAAACATGATTGTCATTTCGCATGTACGACGGCTGCCAAGTACTAGATGAGGATTAGACCCTTCGGGAACATCAATCTCCCATTTTGAGACGCGTCTTGGACCCTTTTCGTCCCCTTATCACGCAGGTCCAAAGATGCTTTTCAATTTCAATATGGGACCTTTCCGGAAGTCATAAGAGCAAGAGCCACCGGTACTAGAGGAACTGCCTGCAACGGGAATATCCAAGTCGATGCCGTTTCCTAGTCCAACCAGTGGTTGACAAGCAAAGCTCCTTTTCACCTCAGCTTCGTTCTCCGCATTTGCGAAAGGGTTCTCACAGGAAACGGAACCAGTGAAAACAACCACATCTTCTTGCTTGTTCTTGATCGAGGTAGGTCCACTGGGACCTCCAAGAAAGAAGTCATCAACAGTTGGACCTTGCTCGGGTGTTGGCCTACTTTCTCTGGTGCTGATCTTCCCAGAGGACACTGCTCGTCCATGCTGATCCCTTCGAACCGCAGCAGGAGCAGCAATAGTCCCTTCTACGTCGCTCGCACCGCCCAACAAGTCAACTGAAGCCGTGGAGGTGGCCGATTTGTTCTGAGCCGCTTGCGAATCCGCGAAAAGCAGCCGTCGAAAGTTCTCATCATCGTCGGTTGATGCGGTCATGTTTCTTTCCACAGTCACGTAGTTAGACTCTTACATCGTTTCTGTTGCTATTTATTGCAGATCAAAAAATACAGCTTCAAACTACACAACTCAGTCGCTCGAGTCCTCCCTCTTTTTCCTTACTTCAGTGCCGGGGAAAAAACGCTCACATTCTCATCTCTCTGGACCCATTCATCTTGTAGGCAGCTGTGGCGACGGTTGGGGACCGCATAGTTCTTGAGCTTCAGAGTGAGTTAGTTTGATTCATTTTCGTTAGATGTAATCGATCTTCATCCCCAAAACTGTAGTTTATCTTCATCATTATTTTTTGCGCATATTCACGACTAGGTCAACCTCACCGCATTGGATAATCCATGGAGAGAAAAGAGTTCATGCCCAAACCCCGATCCCAAGGTTCTATGAGTTTTTCGAAGACACTGCTTTTGGGAAACTCCTCTACCTCACTATCATCTTCTGTAGCATTACCACTATCTTCTCCAGTCCCCGTAGTTCCCGTACTATCGCTACTGAGTAGCAAATGTGCACCGCGATGCAATTCTCGCTGAATCGAACGCATCAATGAGACCTCCACGTTCGCCACGTCCTTGCCGATCTCGAAAGGGTTGTCGATGAAAAGGTAAGTGCTTCCTCCTGAGAGGCTTGCTCCGCTTGAGGAGGTTAGATGAAGAGGAGAACCGGTGGAAAACAGAAAGATTACGAGAACTCCTAACGCAGTTGCAAATGTGTAGTAAGGTTCAAGAATATTGACTATAATTTTAGTTATCAGTGTCCCACCATAACGAAGCGTAGCTCCTCACGTCCCGTATCGCCACTGTCCGCCCACTCTGTGCATACTCGTACGCATAGTACTTGAAGAAATCCGCCAGCAAGTATCCACTCGATAATTTGCGGACGTCACTAGTTCCATGCCGTCGCAAGAGAGTTTCCTTCTGTTTCTCCTGCAAAAATCGAATCTCATCCGCAATTTGTTCCCGATCTGTGCAATACCGTGTATCCACGCCCTGCACATACACCGGAGGATAATTGCGAGCAATGGCTAGGTCTTGCAGACTTGGCAAGAGCGCGCAGTGGTCCTGGAGATAGTGTATGAGCATCAGAATTAGGGAAAAACTGCTGAGTGTTCCGCGGCTGCGATCGTTGATTCCTCGTGTGCTAGCCCAGGCCTTGAGGCACATGCCCACCTCGTACACACGCTTGTCGAGACGAACGTATTCGCCGAAGATTAGAGCGACGACGAGATCGCACAAGATGAACACGCCTCTAGAATCGTGAGGAGGACAGTGAATTTCTCTAAGTAACTATAATTATGATAATTATCAACACTCATGATTTCAGTACTAGACAAAAACGATTTCTCTATTATCACTCATGATTTCAGTACTAGACAATAACAATTGCAAACTTAACACAAGTCTGCTGTTCAGTACCGCCAGCACGTTGTTCACGCTGATGTCACAGGACAGCATACCAGGTTGCCTCGGAGCCCAATGAATAATGGGTACTTTGGCTCCAAATCGAGGCTCGATGAAGTGCGAACTGACTCTCGCCAACTCGTTTCCTACTCTTTTCAACATTAGAGTTTGAGACAATTCATTTCTTGCCTCCTTTTCTCACTTTCTCAGGGTGGAAACAGTGAAAAATTACTTCTAGAAATGAAATGTTTCAACCCTTAACAATATCTTCGTCTGCGCAGCTCGAGTTGAGGCTCCTGAAGGTACACGAATGCACAAGTCTATGTCAGAACAAGGCGTCCAAAAACCGTTCATAACAGAGCCAAAAGGCGCGACTTGAGCATTGTCTCCAACGACAGACTCGAGAATCTTCGCCAATTTCACTAAGAATTCATCTTTCTCTTGTTCGTGTGCACGTGTTGGCGCCGTTTTGCGGACGTACCGTTGCATTTGCTTGGTCAAAGAGCTGAAAAAAGGGTCATCAAAAGCTTTTGCTCCTTTACTTGCCGATGACAAACTCTTGGTGGGTTGGTGCACCTGTCCACCGAGAAAATCGTTGAGAGTGCCTCCGATTCTAGTCGCAGTACTTCTACTTGTATTTTTTGATGAACCAACATCAGTACTACTACTAGAAGAAGGCACATGATCTGCAGCTGGGAGTTCAACATCCCACCATTTCTCTCCCCGGTTTCGGCATGACGAACTGGAGGAAGCGGTAGCTGCAGAGGCACTAGAAAACGTCGCTTTAGCCGAACCTATAACGGGCCTTACGAGATTCCTGCGCAGACGAAGCAACGTCATTTTTGAATATGTTAGTACTTTCGTCTCCATCACACTACAATAGATACGACTGCGTATGTTGTAGATAAAAATGGAGAGCAGTTCTCCGCTGTCTCATGTACCCATTATTTTTATTTTGAAAGCCAAGTACTAGAAACCAATATGGTCCGCCAGCCTCTATAACCAATATGGTCCGCCAGCCTCTATAACCAATTTGGTCCGCCAGCCAATATGGTCCGCCAGCCAATGTGGTCCGCCAGGGACTACTGCCCAAGATGGCTGCTCCTCCGGCATGCACGCAAAGGAACAGAAACAGAAGAAATGAGACCAAGACCAAGTTATTTCGCAAAATGCCTCATACAAAGCATATCAAAAGCGTATGCATGTGTGTTGAGCTTGATCAAAATTGAAAATCTTTTGTTCTTGTCCATGTTCTTGTTTTTTTCCTCACAAAATTGGTATTCTTTTTCTTCACGATCTATCGATGCACGCCTTCATGGCGCAGCTCGTCTGGAATACAGGAGCTCTAAGAAGACTGAATCTTCCCCGGATCTAGGGCAAAGGCTGACTTCCTGATGCACTCGACGTCGCTGCTGCTGCCGCTACTACCGGCGTACTCGCTGCCGCTGCTGCGGGTGCAATCGACGTCGCTGCTGACCCTGCCGTCGGCGCTCCTGCCGGTGCACTCTTCGCCCCTGCTATTGGTGTAATTGCCCCTGGTGCTGTTGAACTCGTCAACCTGAGGGGCATGATTTTCTGACAGCAGCCTTCGCAAAACCCCTTTTTGCCTTGCGCAGTGTCATACACAGCCACTTCCCGTTTGGCTTCTGGTATCTCCCTATAGTCCCCGCTATAAGGGCCACCACATTGTTGGATACGACAGGTCATACCTTCCGGGACGGCGGCGCACCGCGCCCACCGGTATGTGCAACAGTTGTCGCAAAAGGATTTTGCACCTGAGTCTTTTTAACGCAAGTCAAACACTATCCGGGGTCGAGTGACTTTTGCCCTCTTTCCCCTGTTAATCCCATTGAAATAAGGGGGAAAACCTAACCCACTCTTTCCATAGTATAGTCCACCGCATGAGATAGTGACTGACTGGCCCTAACCTTTGTCATGTTCGTCTCCGTTGTATTGGAGAAACTCTTCGCCATAGTCAGGTCTCCGCCTGAGCGTCGGCTTCGCATCTGGGCTCTCGCACAGTCGCACACACTTTGCGGCAGCCGCGTCATTCAGCATCTCCTCGAATGCATTCTCGCATTTGTTGGCCGCCTCTCGGTGGAGCTGCAATTTGGTGGACAGGCATGATGATGCTCTCAAGAAGTCGAAGAGATGAATACTGCAGAAGAGATGAATACTGCAGTAGACTTGCTGCGACAGGAGTACTCGTCGCATTATTGTTTTTTAGCTTTAGGCAGGAGCTGCTCTACTACTTCCAGTGCACGCTATATTAAAGACAAAAACTTCCAATTTTTTCATCTTGCTCGTCAATCAGATTGAAAATAGTACAAGGTCTTTTTTACTCAAGAACGCTTCTCAGTTCAAAGGTGCCACACGACCTCAGGACCGGATCCACCACTTCTTGCACCTCTGCAGTCGAACACCAAAGAAATAAGCCCTACAGCTTCCCAAAATTAGGGCCCATCATTCAATAAAACTTCTCTTCTGTCACGGTGGATAAACATGAACCAGTATTCTCAGATTTTAGCGATAGCGCGTCTCGTCCGTTTAGAATCTTTGTTCGACAACAGGGTTTAGTACCAGGATGGGTGACTAGCATAGACATACGGGGTATTGAAAGAACGCTGAGACTGGATCAGTTACAGTCTCAAATCAGGATCACGTCGTGTCTTCAGTAACTTCGTCATCTGAAAAGTAGCGGCAAATTGAACTTTCTTCCTCAACTTATACTTGCATCGTCTTCTCCGTTTATGCATTCTTATCCTCTCCCTTGAATAGCTCCTTATGCAAAGACTCATGACTCTGCAGCCACGGAAGCGTTTCCACAACGGGGATGCATTCCTCTTGGACATTGTTCAGCTCACAAGCTTGCCGGTAATAGTTGCCATATAGTATCCGAATTACCGTAGGAGATGTCGAACTCAGAACGCCGTTGAATGCGAGAACGTACCTGTGTTGTTTCAAAGGTTTCAGAGATTCCTTCCCTGGTTGCTTGGTTGGTGGTGTGGAGAAGGAGATGATGGAGAATTGCATGCAATTGGTGGAAATTTGGATTCGAAGAGTACTTTCCCGGTTCCCAGGTGTCGTGTTGAAATCGTGACGTGACTGGATGGTAGGAATTGAAGATATGCTGTGGTGCTATCCTGACTTCGGGTGTGTAGATATTCTCCATTTCCTTCGATATCCACCAGTTTTTTTCCTCCTCTTCCAATTCACTGAAAACTCTTGTTAGAAGTCCTCTACTTTCAAGGGGTCGAGGCAACTACAACGAACACTAATGTAGTGGTTGTATTCTTTCATGTTTCTCATTTCATGCTATTTTGATTGTTTGCTATATGCGACGAAGAAAATTGATCGCTCAACATAATTTCTGCTTTCCGGCACCAGCTCCTCCTGCTTGGCCCAGTTGTATTCCACTAGCCCCACCGGACGAGAGAGTTGGCCAACTTTCGAGCGTCGTGTCCTCAGCAAAACGCGCTGGAATGTCCTTCAGGAAGTGCCTAGAGATGTTTAGTTAAGTTTTCGAAGCGCGTTGGGATGTCCTTTAGGGAATTCCTAGAGATGCTGAGTTAAGTTTGCGAATCACGTTGAGATGTCCTCTAAGGAATCAATTATGCCTACCTAGAGATGTTGAGTTAAGTCGGCAGCGCGCGCGATGTATCTTAGGGGGGACCACCTGCCAGCTACCGCCGCAAGCTCGTCGTTGGTGGTTGGTAGCTATCCTACAACGCCCCGCCCCGAGAAGCGGCCGCGGTCCTGCCACGTGCGGCAGCGAGCCCGGCCCCTCACCCGCAGCACCGAAGCGGCTGCGACACGCGTGGGCGCAGCAATGTGCGTACTTTGGTTGAACTTTGCGACATATGTCACGAGAGACAGACCACGCACACGGCAAGACCTGCAGCGGGGGACCACAACACAGCCCGACGCACTGAAGACACACGACCCCGCTGCTGGCCGACTTTCCAGCGCCCGCTGTTTTGTTAGCATATAAACCCCCAGCAGCGTAGAAATGCAGCCCAAAAGCGGCTACCGCTGTAGCCAATGTCTGGACTGAAGGCCCGCCAATCCCATCGCCGAGTCCCAGAATTACCTTGCTGACATGCGCCGCTATCTCCTCCAAAGAATTCCCAACAAATCCAAAGGGCCCGGCCTGGGTCGCCGTCCATTGTTTGCCGACGCCTTGGCCCAAGGCCGCCTCGTTCAGCCCCGGAGGCGGGGGCAAGAAGCGAAGCACACAAAGCTCCCAAGCTTGGGCACGCCGCCACGCGTCTCCCGTCGGTCCTCTTAAGCAGCGGAAATGCCTAACACCCTGCCAGCGGGCGACTTTGGCCCCCGCGTTCCTCCTGGCGTCGACCCCATCGCCAGGCGCCGGCGGTGCGTTGCGCTCCTTGGGCGAAGCCAACTCGCTGGCGGCATGGCTTACGTCTGACCGAGGTAGCAGTGGCCCCGGTGCTCTTCGGGGGGCTCCGGGCGTTTCCGCCACCCGTCGCTCGATCTTTCTCGACCGCTTTCGTTTTATTAGCGAAAACACAAAGGCCCCAGAAGTTTCCCCAATTCGCCAACTGGCTTGCAAGCATCACCACGACAGCAGACAACATCCGACACATGAATGCCAAGCGGCGCAACCGCGGGGCGATCCGTCACGACTGGCGGCGTGCTAGTAGACGGATTGTTGCCAGTTGCGCCTGTGCTCGGCGTCTGCTTAGTGGCAGAAAGGTGCTCCGTTGATCTCGTATTGCTCCTCCTCTGTCTATTCAAGCCGTGCTCTTCTTGTGCCGCAATCAATGGCGCCGCGCTACGATAAAGGGCGCACTGACGCTTGACCTGTAAGACCGCAGTGAGCCGGTCAGCGATGTCCGTAGCCGTTCCATGTATTACATGGAAACGGCTACAGACAGCTCGAGCGGAGTGTCCATGGCATCGGCGTCCGCGACAATCTGGTAACCAAAAGCAAGCACCACGCGAAAGAGTTCGGCCGATTTGTAAGAGTCGCGAGCGTTGCGCCCAATGTGCCGCAGGTACTCTCTCGCTCGTGCCTTGACGTCCGTAAAGCGATAAAGCCATGCTGTGGCGATAGTTTGGACAACTGTGCGGAGCATTCCATCAGGTAGCGTTTTTGCTGGCGCAGGCATCTTCCAAAGCCTGACCGAAGGCCATCACGATGCCGGCGGCGCGGCTTGTAGCCGCATTCGTCAGCGCAACCCCACTGGGCCCCGAAGGCGCGGGGCAATCCGTCATGACTGGCGGCGTATTAGTAGATGGATTGTTGCCAGTTCAGCCTGTCCTGTGCTCGGCGTCTGCTTAGTGACAGAAACGCGAACCGTTGGCCTCGTATTGCTGGCTCCGGTTCTTCAGCCAGATGGTTCCGCGGTCGCATGGATTCACAGGGGCGCGCTTTTTCTTCGACCTGCCTGCGATTGCATCCAGAGCCGCGAGGGCGCGACGCGTGAGCAAATACCGCCGCCGCCCGCGTTCATATGCCGCCCCCTGCTCAAATGCAACACGTCACCCGTCGGCCCGTTTATTCCACTCAAAGCACTCGACTAAGCTCAGAGGATCGCCGCGATCTATCACCGCACTGGCTCGCAATAACGTTTCCCATATGTTCAGGCAGTCGCTGCAGATGCTACGCGCTGCGCTGCGCCATCCTTCAACCGCTTGCACGCCAGGCGTTGCAGCTTTACCAAATGGCCCTGCCGTGGCTCTGAGCCGATCAGAAGGCGGAGAGCTGGGAGACGTTTCGAAGCTGATATTTGGGCGCTTGTCTTGAGCCAAAATGTCCGCGGTTACGGAAGCCATGGTTTGCCATCCGTTTGATCTCTCGCGGAAAGTCATGAAGCAGCTGCCAAGTGATTGAGGCCTTGACCTCTCCGGCCCCGGCGACAGGGCACGCAGCTGGGTGCCTCCCTGCGTTCTTAGTTGAAAGCCCGCGCGTCCTATCATTCACGCCCTTCGACGACATGCAGGCACAGCAAAGAAACCCCAAGGCCAGCCCTTGAGCGCCTTGCCTTTTCTTTGATGTACAGCAAACCGAAGAACCAACTGGCCCAGGCGGCGCACTTCTCCGCCCGGTGATCCAAGCGCCGCGGCCAGTCTCCTGCAGGAGCTTGGCGCGTGGCCTTTTCTTTCAGCACAATCCCAAAACCGGCAAACCCCACGCAAACAGAGCCCGAAGGGGCGGCTGCTTCTCTTTTGAGCTCGAGCGCCCACTCTGCTACGATATGCGCCCACGCTCTGAAGGCCGTGGCGGGGCTTGCATGCGCGTCACCTGTTGCCTATCGCCTTTCGCTTCGGGGGTCCTGGCTCCTCCTAGGCGGGGCGCGCTTCTGCCCGTTCATTCACATTCCCGCGCGATGTCAATCGGACCCGTAGCCGCGAGCGCCTTGCCGGAGCCTGGACCCCCACGGGCGACCCGCCCGCCATTCATCTGCCGCACTGCTGGAATTCTGCGACTCGCGCATCTACTGTATCTACAACCACCCCGAGCAAGATCAAGAAAAGTGTAAAAAAACAATACCAAGTAAGCGCAGCATTCTCCCACCACGGATGGTCGACCCACGGACTGGTCTTCTCATCGCCCCATATTTGTCGCATCAAATTCACGCTCCACTCGGACTTTTTCACAAAGAAAGTGCCGCTATTCAACATTGCATTGTCTTCCGCGATGATCAGATGCACCGTTGGATCCAATACCACATCATCGGAAGAATGAAGAAAACACCATTGTGGTGTCGGAGTTTCATGTACTTGAGAAATGTCGGCTATATCTATGTGTCATGAAGTAGAAATACAGCTGCTGCATTCTTTTTCTACTAAGAAATTACGAAGTGCAAGTGGTTTCCTATAGATACATATGATTTACAGCTTTGTCTTCATAAACTGAATAGATCTTCGACTTCGTTTCGAATCGCGGCTGTGTAGCGATTTTGTTTGCTTGGCTAGCTGCGCCTGCTTCTCTACTAGCGAGTTCGTCTTTTGGAATCCCTGCGGAACTTAGACAGGACATCATCAAGTATTGTTCGTACGATCTGTGCACCTAAATAACTTAACTTAATTCTCACACATGATAGATATCACTAGCCATAAATATCGATACAGCACGGATTCGATGGTGGTCGTCATGTTCATGAAATAGGTGTCGCAGTCAAACCAAAGGAGCCACTCTGGCCCATCTGGAAGGAGCAATTGTTGTTCCAGTAAAGCGATCTTTCCCCAAGCATGCGGTCGCTTTGGGTCCACGCGTTGCGTTTCTACGAAATATGAGTATCCATGTTTTTTCGCGTAGATTTGGTGGTTCGACATAGCGTACCTGTCGACGAATTGCAGGTCTGTACTTTTTTTGTGAATATGGAAATCACGAAATTTTGCTTGATATGTCCAAGGATCCAGGATTCCTATTTGAATAAATATTACCGCGGCAAGACATGGTCTTCTGGGTAAGCGCAAAGCGAGACAATGCCAATTTTGTGTCGATTTTCGCCGCTAGACATCCACGAAGATGCTGTAGGTTTGAAGTCGTGTTGGATGAGCCCTGGTGCAAGACGCGGATGCACTTGGTGGCCGGTTGTTAGAAAAGGCGAGGTGGGTGTGTCGTGGTCTATCTACGCAGCGAGCTGCACGGTCTCCATCTACATCTCAATTTCGGTTCTTCCGGTAAGTAACCCTCATAAGTCAGGGCATCCTCATAATTCAACAAAGATGATATATCTTTATCTTTATCTACTTACTTCTTCGCAAATCCAAATCATTTCTCTGCTGCTCATAAATTCGGTATATTATCTTGTTTGAGCACGTTCTGGATAATGGTGAGTTCATCGTTGATTTGCTGGATGGTAATAGGCCACTTGGACCCATCGATCATGTCCGCGTCGTGCTGGCTCTTCACGAAAACGTGAGTGATCCAGTTCATTGCCTGGTGAAGAATCCGAAGGCCGATTTGGTAAGCTCTTCGGTTGTTGGTATGCGGATTGGCACAGTAAGTGGAGTTAGAGGACAGTATACTATATTATAAGAAGAGGAAGTATGAAGGTGAACTTCGATACGAGTAGTTGTAGCGAAGTCTCGTCTTATTTTGAAACAAACCTGCAACACCTTCTACGAAAACATCTCGATCTCCTGCAAGTACTCTTCTCTAGAAAGAACGCAGCAACAAAACCACCATAGGAGGATAGGGTAGAATAGGACAGGACGCCTTTGCCACATCTACACACAAGGTGCTGACAGATTTGGTTCACATAACAAATGTAAGTGTCCTGTACGCTGCGGCCATTCCTAGACTGCACTCCATGCCGACCAACGGATCCGTGTTTGCCCACTTGACAATGTATTCGGTCAAGACGCGCTTGGCTTGTCCTACCTCTGCTTGATTATACAGGCTCGCGCCGGTCTGCACCGCGTCAAAAAGCTCCTCAAATTTGGTCGGACAATGTAACGGATGTGGCCCATCAATAAAGCCTATTGCGTGTGCGCCTAGGATGGGCAAAGTGAGGAAATCGGAAAGAGAATCGAAGTAGATGGTGATGCTAAGGGGTACTTCGGAAAGAGCTGCGAAGGTTCTTCTGGGAAAATCGAAAAAGCCTACGAGTGGGTTTTCGGTAGCAGCCGTGGTAGTCTCACTTATATCTGTCCTCGAAGTAGTTGCTGATGTACTCGTTGCTGGCGCCGAGATGGCGCTGGAGCTAATACTCCTCTTTGCCTCAAGTGAAGTCGCTGTAGTTGATCTAGAAACATCCTCAACACAGACAGAAGTAGTCTCTCCTTGCCTCAGAAGAGCGAGTTCGCTTCCCAATTTCAGCACTACAATTGCGCAAAAGCACAGACACAAAAATCCAAAGAGAGCTCTTGCCACTGTGGTGCGCGCTTTTCGGTTCTTTCTCCTCTTAAGTACGAGCGCATCCCTACTACGTGGGCTTTTGGAACTGGAAACGGCGGCAACTATTGCCACTAATCGGTCTACCGCACCTCTCATTTTCCTCGACAAAGATGCCAGCAAAAATGGCCGGATTCGTATTCCACTAGGCTCTCCACCGTATTTCGAGGACAGCAAAAGTGGCCGGATTCGTGTTCCACTATTCGGAAGAGATGACTTGAAGACACCGGCCATCGTTTCTTGGTCACTTACCATTAGAAAATTCGTTGTTGTTCATTAGAAAATTCGATCACACAACCTCTCAGGACCACCCAAGAGAGCCAACATCTCGAAAGGAACTCGAACTCCCACCTTGGTTTCACTTTCCTCTCATATGCTCACTGATCAAGACTCCAAATAAAACTCCACATTTGGGGGTAGTTGAATAAGGACTCGTTCATGTTGTTACTTTCTTCATCGAGGGATCTTTCTGTGGATACCTTCTCGTCCACACACACACACATAAACAAGACGTACTAGAGAACCTGTAGATCCTGGATCCAGATAGGAGCACTAGATGCCCATCCACAATCTACTCCAGTGATGAGGTACACTTGGAGATGAGACGAGAGAACCTGCGCAGCCGCGCGTTTTTTTCGTGTTTATTTTTCGAGACAGGCTACCAAACCTGCAAAGTATTAGCATGTTGTGTAATGGTTCTTTCAGTTTCAATCTTCAGAGGAGGTTAAAAACAAGTCATGCCTGTGAGTGTCTGCTACTTGCATAGGTTCGTTTCTTTTTGCATGTTTTCACACGCCGCAAAATCCTTAGCAATCGACGGCGACGATTCGCCAGCCAACTGTATGCGGCCGTCTCACGAGCGGCGGCGCTGGATAACGGAGGAATTTAACAGGCCCTGCGTTCGTTCCCGCTGACCTAGCCCACTAGAGGCCAGCCATAGTAAAAGGCCAGAGGCTAGTTGCCTAACGTAGTCAATTACTAGGAACCTCAAGCGCGAACTAGCTGCGGCTGTCTATCAATCGATCAGGTTGCCTCCACAGGGCACCGACCTCCCCGCAGCTGCGACTGCCGCACCTCTACGCTCGGGATATAACATAAGGCTTCATATCGTCCTAGTTCGCTCACGTCAACATCAGTTTTCATATCATCCTAACTCGCGAATTTTAAACTGAGTCAGCTTATTTTTCCACCATGTTACAAAGAAGTCAATCATACCTACAAACTAACTATGAATGACAGTGGCAGAAGTACATGTGGAGGCTCTTCCTTCCTTGTTTCCGACTTCTGCTTTTCGCACCACGTCCTCCACTATGCACATTACATCTTTTCCATCTGTGTTATCTTGATTTTCATAAACCTTTGAAGATAAAAGCAAAAGTGGAACTCGCAACGACTTCTTTCATCGCGGATAATGAGATACCCAGCGCCATGACTTTCGAATCTACGTAAATGCCCAGTGCATCATCAAAGCCTAAGCTATGCGCCTGCTTCTTCTGATGACTAGAAGTCATTCTTACATCAAAAATAGGAGTGATCTTGTCATACATTAGGTCTCTGCACAACGAAAAAAAAAGTCATCAGTTATCTCCACATTCTAGGCCACGGCAAGATGAAATTATCACCCAGAGAAACCGAATCTCCACGAATTGATCTCGAAGTAGGTAGTTCTTTCCGCCCTACTTAAAATGGTGAGTAGCCGGCTACTCAGTCGTACTTCCAAGGACATTGCAATTCTAAAAATTTAACGAGTTTATCATACCTATACATACAGATACATAAAAACGCGGCTTTGGAAATGAGTGAAGCTGTAGATAAGTGAAGCTCGTTGTACTATATGAGCGGAGTTACATTTGTAGACGAGTGAAGTTGTAGATGTAGATGACTGAGTGCTAGAAAAAAAAAAGAACTAGCTACTCGCTTTGCGTAACGCCAACATGATTTGAGAAATTCTCAACGAGCTTGGTTCTCATTGTTCTTTTATTCAATCAACTGATTATCAGTTTGCCTCCGCAGGGCACCGCCGTCCCCGCAGCTGCGACTGCCGCGCCTCTACGCTCGGGAGCGACATGAGGGAACGGCATAGACACTGTACTCATTTTCAGGAATGAAAAACGCTGATGCAGTCGTGAAAGATAATGTCATGCAATGTTGATAGTTGAAGACGAAAAGACGCTGCGTCCCATTAGTTTGAAAACTGAAATAAACAACAAGGACGAGTCACAACTACTTATAGGACGCGGCAATTTCAACACTTACTCGAGTAGTAGTTTCGCATGCAAATGTTTTTTCACGATTTCGGCAAACATAGTGCAGTAGCTATTTCAGAAGCTTTAAACGAGGCAGATTTTTTCACAGTAAACAGAATTCGACTTCATCTCATGGAGTTTTTAATCTTACTTTTCAGGCATATGATCCAATCCAGGACGTTCTAGATCAAGGACGCAACATAGTCGCAACGGCGACCATAGCACAAAACACACGAAGCACAGAGAAATCCGGCAAGATCGTACGCGTTGCCCGGGGCGCATACTACGACAAACAAACAACGTCTAGAAGAACTTTCCTAACTATTACTATATCAAGTTCAAGAACTATTGCAATGATAAATGTGGAAAATATTAAGAACTCGTTTGTAATTAATATACTGGAATATAACTTGTAGCAAGCAGTGAGCATCCATTTGGTCGAATTGAAGAACATCAATCTCATTGGCCTTAGAATTCAAGAAACGACTTTACTCAAAAAAAAGAAACTGAATGCTTCTGTGCAGAGGAGACATCAAATAAAAATGCTCTTTTCTTCGTGATATTCCTGACACATCACACTCAATCAAATAGTGTACAGTTGTAGACAGATCAGAGTGGCAATGCAAGTGTCGTCTACTATGAAATATCATCCTCTACTTGGAAGATTATCTCAGTGTTCAGTATTTGAAGTATCTAGATCTACTTAGATCTGATCTCAAGCTTAACATAGCGAAAGTAGTCACATTCAGCACGAACTATCAAGAACTACGCATCAACAAACCGGCAAAGAAAAGCGTCCGAGGAGGGTGGTAAACTGTATCCGAGTGCTGAAAAGAACCCAAATATTTCTTTTCCCCATCTTTTGCCGCTACAACGCGAGCAGCTGCACGAACGAAGTCAGATCGCAATCTGTCAAGTCGTGTTTGTGCTTGCGGTCTTGGCTCGGGACTCAGAATTAGCTTCAGGAGTTCACATTCCTCACTAAATTGGGCACCGCGATGAATGTCCTCCGTGTTGAATTCGATATCGCCGTCCGGGACTCTACTACACAAGGACGCAAAAGTAGAAGTTGAAGTGGATGGAGAAGCGCTTGTGCTGCTGCTGGAGAAGGTACCACTAGTACGAGAACTAGAGGGCGTCGTTCTTGTCGTACTAATTGCTCTTGTTGACGTTCTTGAGCCTTGAAGACTATGGCTCTGTTGCTGGCTCTGTTGCTGTTCATCCACTCCTTTCACTTCTCGTAAAAAGAGGTCCACGCCAGTAACTTCCGCTGCCACCACGTCGTGATACGTTCGCAACACTTGCGAAACCCCGAGCAAGTCCAGACAACGACTTGCAAAGTACATTATCCTAAGACGCGTGTCGTTCCGCCCAAATAGGGCAGAAGAGCGCTCTCCTCCCTGACTTTCTTGAACCGCAGTTGTTCTTCTTGACGCCGCCGCTGTTAGCAGAACCGGGGACCCAAAACGATGGACACCCTCGACTATCACAAAAGCTATGTTTGCGGATGTGGCTACTTCAACTTTTTTCCTCTGTTGGGCAGAGGTGGTCGTGACGAGTAGAGGAGCCTTACTGGAGGTGCCCGCCTGGATGTCCAGTTCTTCGATTCGCTCAGTAAGACAGCCAACGTCATCTGCTTCGTCATGGCTAGGTCTCTTCATTTTACGCAAATTGTCCAAAAATTGCGCCATATGCTCTCGCATCTCTATTGTCGTCAAGCCATGATGTTGCCTTTGTTGATGTTCTTGCCTCTGTTGTGGAGTTTCTTCTACTTCTAGCAAGTTCTCCATTGCTTCTTCCAGCAAATAATCAGGCCCTTGCCATGAGAGAGGAACGAAGGCTCCTGCATTTGCTAATTCGTAAGCCCATACACTACTGAGATCGAGCAGCAACAGACGCGCAACGCGAGCCCGAAAAGCCACAGAAATACGTCTCTGTTTCGTTACGGCAGGGGGCTCTTTTGACGTGACTACAGATGAAGTAGCCGCATTTATTTTCGCAGGAGGTTTCGATGGCGTCATTTTCTTTTGAAGGAACGCAAAAAGTTTCGTGTAGGCCTCCACTTTCGAATCCATGGAAAGCTGAGGCTCAAGCTCTTCTGCTCCACAAGGGCTTTTATCGTCACCTGGTTTTGTCTTGGCTTTTGTCTGCCTTTCGCATGTTGTAGAGAAAGAGGCATTTCTTGCTGCTGTAGAGGAAGATGTGGCTGAGACTCGGATCTTTAGGCTAGAAGTTGGTTGGACCACGCCAGATATCTGCCTTGCAAGCGCGATTGCGTCTAATTGGGCTGCAGAATCGGGCTCCTGCTCTTGCTTGACATCTTCTACACTTCTAGGTACATCAGCAGGTTCACCAGGTACATCAGCAGGTTGAGCAATCGTCACTCTTCTACCGGACACCTCAGGTGATGGTGCAGGAATCATCACGCCACCATCATCTGGCACAATTCCAGAAGCCCAGCTGGCTGAGGCTGGCAAGCCATCGTCATCTTCTGCGGTGAGTGTTTGGATCACTCGCAAATCGCCTCCTTTGTTGAACGGAACCACCATAGGCATCGACAAAGCAACGTCCTTCACTTCCACATGGTCACTTCCACATGGATAATCTGTATCGACGGAAGTACCTGAAGGGCCTACTGTTGGAGGTGTTGGCAACGGTTGTACTACGGTTGGAGGTGTTGCTCCAGATACATCATGATGAGCACCTCCAACAGCGCTAGAAATTCTTCCAGGTGGAGTTGCCCTTGCTTCATCACCCTCTGCACTACTATCGCTCATGAAGATTGTCGTGGCAACACCAGCAGCACCTCCTCCAGAAGTTGTAGCTCTAGTACAGACGGAGAAATCCGAGAAGGATGATGCAGCTGAGGTACACCTCGTTGTCGCAAATGAACTACCTGCCTGCTGCGCCGTTCTTGTCTTCAAATCAAAATGCTGTAGACCTCGGCTTGCTTCAGCTTGACCACCTCCACCTTGAATCAACAGCCTAGGCCTTGTTTTTCTCCTGGCTTCTGCAGTGGAGCCATCTTCTACTAGGGATGCGGAGGACGTAGGTGAGGACCTCGATCCTCTTCGACGTCGTCCTAAAGATCTACTAACGTGCTGTCCTCGGCTACCACCAAGCGGCGAGATATCATCATCCTCATGGCTGTCCCCCGGTTCGGTTCTTCCATTTCGTCGTGGTCTAGTACATTCAACTTGTTCTTCCATTTCCTCGTGGTCTAGTACAGAGTCCACCCCTTGTGGACTGATACGGAGACTTCTTGGTGCACGGCTACTAGCTACGTTTTCTGACAGCAAAGCCTGAGGACTATCAACGTCGTCAACATCGTCATCATGTGGAGATGAGTCCTCGCTGCGCTGTTGTCCTTCTTGGTCAACATCAATGGGCACTGTTCGCTGAGGTCGGACACAACTTCTGCAAAGTGTTTTGTCGAGCATAGTGCATTGATGCGGGTTGTCTCGTAAACGCGGCACACCGACCGCAAGGAAAACGAGCTGTTCGATATGACGTTGAAGAGCAAGCTGCTCTACTACGTTTGATGGTGATCGGCACACAGCTGCAACCTCTTTCGCGTCGTCATCGGCACAACCGAGATAGTCGTCTACAATGTCGAATAAGGTCTGTGGCGACGGAAGATCGCCCGCACCCCTGCCAGTGGTGCCTCTCGTGAGAGGAGACGGGCCCCGCTGTAGTGTTGGAAGTTGAAGCTCTTCCACTTCTTGATGTTGATCATCTTCTTCCTCATCCTTCACACAATCCGCACCTACCGCAGTTCGATATCCACGACTATCTCCCACGACGACGCCTGAAGTCGTTTCGAAAGAGATGACGAGGAGACCGTAGGTCAAAACAGACGACATCAAAAGCGGCCACGACATCTTCTTCTGATACTTAGATTTAGATTCAGATGGGCCCCTGCTTCAGCCCTGCGCCTCGAGCGCCGGATCAGCAGAATATTCCTTTAGCTCCTGTACTCTCTCTGTACTAGACTAAAAAAAAATGACTCTAGTAGGACCCCCTTCAGGTTTTCTGTTCTTGCGAGTTGCGACTGAGAAGAACATTCATATTGGCGTTAAGTTCCTTTGTACTAGCCAGCTTCATACAGAAGTGCTACAGAAGATGCTCGGTAGATTTAGACTCGATCTCGAAGTTCATCAGCATTATATAGTTAAGATTTACAATAACATGCTAGATGAAGACATAGAAGATAGACTGGACAAATTCGCAGATGGAAGTTCAATTCTTCGCAAATTCATATCATCTGCTGGTGCCAGGGTGATAAAGGTTTTTTTGATAGTGCTGGTAAAGAGACGATCCTGGATGGTCGTAAAAAGTTAAAGCAGCACTCTTGTTCATATGGTATAGGTTAACGTTGTTCACGTGGTGTAGCTGCCTGTCTATGGGGTGGGCAAGTTGCTCCTTCCTAATGTAGTACCTCGTGCGTGTCGTTACACAAGATCCATGGGTTTTAACAAATTCTACCTCGTTCAAGAGCATACAAACAAAGTCAAACGATAGAGGACGTAGAACTTATGAGTGTTGAAAAACAACTACTGTAGTAAGCTATCCGAAGTAATAGAAATTGTGATGATGTGTAAAAAAGAGTAGTTACAGAAAAAATAGAACTCGTCTAAGAACGATGAAGATCACAATTGACTTTCTTTGCGTGGTTATGATGAATGGTGGTTACTAAAAAATATCAATATTACAAGAAGAAGACTCAAAAGCTGATCGAATGATGTGCTTGTGCAGTTTAGTCATTGCACATGTCTTTAGATTCAACGAGCAATTTGTCGGTGGACGAGCCTAGAACTATGAAACATAGAACTTCTAGCTTTGGCCACGACAACGAGGGGTAGTTGTAGGATACTAGGAATGCACATGAACAACGTCGAGTATTACCTGTGGATACCTAAAAACACTAGAAATGAGCAATGTCCTCGTCGTAGTAGTTTTATGGTTCTCGTCAAGTAACCACTAGTACTAACTTAGTTGTGCTTAAGAAGCAGTCATGCTTAAGTTTCTTTTGTGCACTTCCCTATTTGTGCATAAGCAGTGATGCTTCTTGAGTTGTCCCTGAGTTGCTGTGCTTGAAGATTAGAAGACGGTTTCTAAGTTGTGCTTGAGCTATAATTCTGCTTGAAAAGTATTGTTGTTGTAGAAGTCTTATGTTCTTTTTAAGTTCTTATTCTTGTTCATGAGAAGTATAGTTGTAGAAGTCTTTCGTATAGAAGCAAATCTTGAACTTTCCAGACGAAAAGTTTCGCCCATTTCAAAAAGAGAGACGTTTACGACACTGCAGCTACAATGTGGCGTTTTTGATAGGAAGTTTTCTGCAGTGAAAAGGAGAAGAGCGCTTGAATCGAAACCAAACTAGTCGTTCAATCCCAGATGGTGATCTTTACCTTCTGAGCACAAAAAGAAAAATGTTGATCAAGAACTCGCAGAATTTGACCTACAACAAGAACATTGGACTCGACTGCATCAGCTTATTTGACATTGACTTCATTCAGAAGATAATCCTGATGCTGCATACAATTTAGATTTCACGGGTAAAAGACGCACGGCTATTTTTGTTCTTCAAGGCACCAGCTGACATTAGGGAATTTTGTAGCGGAATAGTAGAACAGCACATTCATCTTGTTCACGACATATCTTTCATCAGTTGCTCAGGTGTCGGAGGATCAGACGGCAGAATTTCACTTTTCCTCATGCCCAGGATTTTTTGTTGCATTCCAAGCGAGAGCATCATCTACCACAACATCAACACAGGTTCATGCTGAATCAGAAATATTGTTCGCTATATGTTGTTCTTGTGGCTGTGCGTGTACTTCTATGTATTAGAAGATATTCTCAGCCCATGAACCCAACCTCTTCTCCTGGATCCACTCCTTGCATGTTTGAGCCCAGAAAGTACGGAATTTCGGATGCACAAACTGTCTACGTTAGAGCTCTCATCTTGGAATTCATCTTGGAGGTCACCTTTGACGCATTTCCCCATTGAAGACGTGTCAGAAATGCCTCTTACAATGAATTACGGCAAGTAGCCTTAACTAAAGTTATAGACCAGCCGCTTCCTCGCATTTCGTCTAAAGTCATCCTCAAAGCAGAGAGCTGGCAACAGCACTACCCGGATCTCCTGCATCGCACGACAGTATCCAGAAACCGCAGAAAAAACGGGTCCTTTATCGTGTTGTTGAGTCCATGATGATGATGATGCAGATGTCGTTTTGTCTTTGTCAGCTTGTTCCGTAGCTTGTTCCGTAGAAGTCTGTCCTTCCTCCAGAGCATTGACGCTGTTTTCCTCTGTGCTAGACGCCCTCGAAGAAAGCTGTCGTTGTATCATCGCCTCGATGTTTGCTGGGGCTTTCTGCGGATTTTCTTGTAGATGCTTGACGATGACAGGCAATTCTCTCCGAAGCGCTGGAAGGAGTTCTTTCTTTAACTCGTCGAAATCCTCGTCATCTAGCAGCTGCTCAGCTTGTTTTGTCCATTCCTCCTTATCCCACTTTTGCTGCCATCCTGGCAAGTTGCTTGTGAGGGATGTCGAGGTTGTAGGAGGCTTCTTAATGTAGTTCTTGGTATCTTCTGCTTGTACAAAAATCTGCTTTGACTCATCTCCGGTGCTAGAGGCGGTAGCTTTCTGGATACTACTTCTTGTGGTATTCATTAGAGGCAGAGCAGTACTGGCCCTACTAGAAGACGAAGTGCAGTTCACTAGAGAAGTCTCACTACCACCTGTTGTAGTTTCCATTCCTTTTCCTGCCTCTGTGCCTCCTAGTGCTGCTGCTAGCTGAGCGACGTCAGCCGCACCTGAGAACTGCGAGAAGAACGCATGGACTTCCTTGAACGCCTTTCCAAAAGGAGAGGGTCCTCCTGTTGTAGTGAGCTCGGGTGGCACCCGCAAAGACCCACGCAGCCATGCTGAGAGTGCGCCGTTTACTCTGGGTTGGGCAAACCGCTTGTCACAAAGAAGCACACAGCCGAAGTCTCCTCGGTGGCGAATGACGCGACCCACCGTCTGGTTCACCGCCTTCAGCGCTTGCTGCTGATACCACTCACCTGGGTCGCAAACGCCAGTGTCGCGCAAAAACTGTTGTTTCAGGACGACACGTTGATCGTGCAGACTCGGATACGGCAGTCCAACCACGGCTACACAACGGCACTGCCGGTCGCTGAAATCCACACCTTCTGTCAGCTTGCCACGCGCAATGGCACACAGGATCGCGCCTGGCTGTCCCTCTTCGCAAAGAGCTTGATACTCCTGCCAAACTTTAGGCAGGTCCACTGCGCGACGTGGTTCCTGCAACATCTTCTTTTTGGAATTGGTCTCGATACGAGCCTTGACGCCAGAGTTGGTCCAATGCTTCACAATCTGTTCCATCTGCGAGTAACTGCTAAAAGCGATGAGCATCCCTGCAGGACAGACTTTGGCGAAATTGGCCAGACCGGAACCCAGATCGGAAAGGGAAATGAAGATGTGGAGATATTTTCACGTGTAAGTACACAGATGAGGTGGAACTCGAACCAAGATCAGTGAGCATGTCGGAAAAGATAAAACAGAACCGGCCTCTTCTACATTAAATGTATGAGAAGGTGCAGCAGTAGTTTCACAACATATCATCATAAGAAACTTCCCCCATTGCGACTCATTCTGCCGATTCTGATACGTTGCCAACCACTCGCAATTCGTCGGACCCCTTGGTAGAACCGATGCCAACACTTGGTTTTGCCGTATCACATGTGTGTTTAACAGCTCTACGTTGAAGGGCACTCCTAGAGATTTTTTCGTTGCGTCCATAGGCGAGAGAGTTCCGGAGGTGATAATCACACTGCGTACACCTTGGTCGATCAGTTCCTGCATAGCCGGTTGAGAGGTGAAACACCAGAAAAACAGTGTCCGGCGGAAACTAGCTTCATCCCGTGCGTCGGTCTCGAGGGTGTTCTCGATGTCCCACCCAAGCTGAACCTTTCGTTTCTTTGCTGCTGGATTCTGCTCCTTTGAAGCGCTGGTAGTAGCGCCTTGCACCTCCTCAATGATCTGGACTCTGTAGTTTTCATCCAGCATTTTTCTCCTTGCTATGCGATAGTCCTCAATAAGAGTCGCTGTGCTAGTTTCTTGCTGCGCTGCCATCTGCTGCTCTATCGGCGTTCCTCGTTGGCGAAAATTCACGTTTGGGTTGGCATCCTTTAGAGGGGGCATCACTTTTCTTCATCTTTAGTACTACGCTGCCTTTGGTGGATGAGTGAGTGCCTACGAAAGACAGCTGATGTCAATCATGTAGCTGATCCTGATGTTACAACTTTCATAGTAAAATAAAATCAACCAAACTGCACTCTTAACCTTTGTTCAGCTGCCGCCGCACTTTGTTGTTGATCACTCAGGAACTTCTCCTCACTGCCGAACAGGGTTGCAAGTATTCTGGAGAATTTCTCCGTATGCTTTGCTGATCGGCTGTGAACATCCGACGCGCCACCTGCACCGCGCTGCATCGCCAATGCCGATATCACCTTATCGCAAGCATCTTTCAAGCCCTTGTACTTGTCCACAGTGATTCCAGCTTGCTCAAAGATGTCCAAGATCGCTGCGCCACGTGGAAACAGTTTCTCTCGGAAACCGCATTCGCTCTTATCCTCTCCATTTTGACCTCGCACACTGCCGACTTTAACGGTTGTCACGCCATGCTGGTCTCGTTCTGGTATGCTGATACTTTCTATAGCTTTTTCTAGCTGTAGAACGCACTCTTTCAATACGCCAAGTTGGACAAGCAATTCCTCTCGAGTCAGCTTGGGTTGACCACTAGATTAGAGCTCAAAACAATTCATTTCTTGCCTACTTACATTTCGATTTCTCCCAATCCTAAGAAGGAAATAGGGAGAACTGACTTGTAGATGAAATGAAATATATTCATTGAGCCTTAACTAGAGGTGGCCTGTCCTCCTGCCATTCCACCAGCTCCTTCGGTGACGTCTAGATTCGGATCATGGACCAGGTGCAGAGCGCCTCCGTCATTCACCTCATTGATGGCATCGATGATTTCGGACTCTAGAAAAGCAATTTCTCGATGCGACACTTCGAATCCTTGAGCCTGCTCGCAGATAGAATCGATATTGTGACCTTCATCAAAAATCACGATTGCGCCTTTTAGAGGAAGGAGGTATGTCTAAATAACGTTTACTTGTTCTCATGTCGTCCACCTAATCTCGACAATATTACACATGTGACTTAATCGCCATAAATTCTTCAAGGACAAGTTCAGTGCCCCACGCGCCGCTGGATCCAAGAGGTAGTTGTAGGGACACAGAACCAGCTGCGCCTCCCGTGCGTCCTCTCGCGATTTGAAGAATGGACACACGAAGCTCTGTTTGCACACCGATTTCAGTTCCTCAATGTCCATCAAACTGGTGTCCGGGAGAATCTGTTGGTACTTGCGCGTGAAGACGGAGTAATAGTAGCTGCAGGTCCCACCAGCGCCACTGCCTCCACCTCCCGAGGAGCCTGATGACCCTCCTGTCGCGACGCTCATCACCTGTCCGAATTTCTCCGCTTTCTTGTTGTTTCTCGTGTTTGCGCAGAATTGACCACACAAGGCGCTTTGTTTCATGCCTTTTTGTGGGGATTAGAAGTGCTCAGACCACTACACTTTCCTCTATCAGAGAGTGCTGAGTTGATTCTTCCCATCTACTTTGAACAACTAGTGACCACTTTGAACAACTAGTAAATAGCCTTAATTACTGACCATGGGATGAACGCATAGCTGCTCTCGACCGCCTATTACTGTCGCACGTGGCCTGTACGCCGTCTTCCGCAACTCTCGGCTAACCTGCTTCAACTGACTATGCGTCCGACTGGTATAAAATATTCTTGGCAACGCATTGTTGATGTCTTTCGCCAACTGGTCGTCCGTCCACGCGTGATAAGAGGCATCCTCCTGTTGCTTCTGCTGGATTTTCGCCGTAGTACGAGCTGCAAACGTCTCGCGCCAAGACAATACGCCACAGAGTAGGCAGAGCGTCTTTCCGGTTCCGGTCGGTGATTCGAGTAACGCATTTTGTCGATTTTCGCAGGCAAGCACCACTTTGCGCATGTACTCCAACTGACACGCATAGGGTTCGAAGGGGAACGATGCTCGGACATCGTACCCAAGATCGAATGACGGAAAAAGAGCAAAGGAGGACGAAGATGAGCTTGTCGTGCCACTTGTTGCGCTGTATGCTCCTCCTGATCCAGGAGCTCTAGTGGCATCATTCTGATGTTGACCTCCTTCATGATGGCGGGAATAGCGTCGCTCTAGTTCGTCGATACGCTGAGAGAAATCTTCCGGGATCGCAGCAAGAGCGCCTTTCATCTTGATGTTTGGTACTACCAGCAGAGGCTAATTTGATAGTTGATTCAAGTCAATATTGCAGGCAAACTTATGACTATATCTTAAATTTGCAGTACTAGTTTCATTACATTATAGTAAGAAGTGCGTGTAGTTGAATTACTTCCGTCTTTGCTTTCGCGGAAAATCTCATGTTTCTTGCATGTTCTAAGTATTTGCGGTTTTGGTTGCAACATGGAGTGGGGATAACATCACAAAAAACTGTCCAAGGGTTGCCTTTTTTTGCCAACAAGCATCGGCTAAGTACAACATTCGCTTGCAGCTTCTTTTGAAACTTAAAGAGAAAGCTTTGAGCTTTTTTCCAGAGAGACAACGAGATCTCCTGTAGAGCTTTCTAGTTGCATGTTCTTTCCACGGAATGCAAACAGTGCCAGGGACGCGGCGACGGGCCTCCGGTAGAACACTCGGAATAGCAATCACGGAAAGCTTGTACCATGTTGTCGTACTATGCGTCTATGATTTCTTACTTTCCAAGTCACCTCTGTTCACAGAAAATTCAACAAAATTCAACAACCAGAGACAGTCTGTTTAACATCGAAGAATAGTCCTTTGGGTGACCATGGAAACTTCGAAGAGAGTCTGCTTGTGACTGACCTGAAAAATGTTTGTCGGACTTTCTCTTGTTGTTTGAATCAATGAAAATACGGTGGGATTATTGACTCCCTGTAGTTACGTTTTCTTCACAATCACAGAATAGTTAGCCTTTTACTAGGAGCTAAAAAGTATAATACAGGAAAAGCCAGACTCTATTCAGCTACTACAAGTGGCTGGCGGCCACATAAGTACTTCGATACAAATGTTTTTCCTTTGAACGATAGAAAATATTGGATGATCGACTCTTGTCCTTGCGCTATTTTCCGTTATACGTTGGGATCGAACTACAACGCCTCCATATGAATTTCTACACCGCCTTCTTTTTCGCAGTGCTATATCGTGCAGGCACCATCTTCATTCTTTTTTGGTAGTCTTCTCTATGCTTCTTCTCCTTCTCAGATTCCCATCGTCCGTGTGGCGATACTGCCGAACTCGACTGCAAAAATGCGTCCTTATTGACTGGGATTCGCACTTTTTCCTTGCCCTCCTCCGCATCTCCTGGCTTTCGGGTCGCGTAGGCAACTGAGGGCTTATCCGAATTCGTGTCCTTGTTGCAACTGGCTTCGAAGTACCGCGCTGCCTCTGGTTGGGACCAAGTCCGCGCCGTTTTGTCCTTCGTCAAAGAAGCGCGAGTATTCTTGATATCATCGGAGATGCGCTCTCCTTCGGTTCGGATCAGGAATGCTGTACAAGTTGTGTGGATTGCGTTTTCTTGATTCGATATTAGACCTAGATGATCTCGCTAGCAACAGAGTGGAGCAGCCTTTGCGTAACTAAGTTAGCACTTCTTAGGAATGTTGAGTGTGTGATGAGATAATTGAAATATATTAGCATAGTTCAAATCAATAGTAGAGATATGACATCTTCATGCATCTTCTGTGGATATCACGTAACCAATCCAAAGGCATACTTGTACCTGACTTCAACGAAGCTGGGTCCGTCTCTTTTCCAAAGCGTATGTCAGCCACCTTGGATTGGCAATCTGTAGATGCATTCATGACCCTTTTCCTACCTTGCCTCAACGCCCCTCCGTCGAAACTGTTACGATCTGCTAATGCAGGGCTTCGGAAGTCCCAGGGAGGGTGGTTGAGCTTGTTAGAACCGGTTCCAGTATTATTTGTTCCAGTTATTTTTACGCTGTCCTCCTTCACAGTAGGCAAAGCCAGAGGCTTCAATTTCATCGACGAAACGGCTTTCTTGTCTTCTTTGATTTGCGCATATAAGCTGCTGGAAGGGACTGTGGCAAACTGTTTAGACGCGGTTCCAGTTGTAGTGCTGTCATCCCACGCGTCACACCCATGATTCAATTGTAGACAGTGTCGCACCCACTCTCGCGCGACGATCTGGTCTATAGGACTTGTACGATTAGGAATCGAATCACGAACCACTGGTTTCGCGGCGACGTTCACGGACGTTTTTTCGCCAGAAACCGACTGCTTTTTCTCCTCTGCTAGGGCGGGAGGTTTCACCTCTACGATTGCGGCGGACATTTTGGTGAGCAACTAGGGTCTACGTAAGAATAGAGGACTTTTAAAACAGGTTATGCGTTATATTTGAGAACGGAGGTGGATGCAGAGACCTGGTAGAAAAGAATACGCGAAGAACCAAAAGAGACGTAGAACAATAATTATGACTTGGAGCTAGTAGAGAATATGATGAGAATCAATGCGAATGTGTTGTTTATTGAGAACGAAAATATCTGAAATGCGTTGGGGGTGGTTAGACCCGATAATAAAATTTTACTCCAGAGATCAGGAGTCGTACTCAGGTACAACGCTGATAAAGAAATGAATGGCCTGCGGCTTTGTAGGCGGGAACTAAGATAAGTGATAAAAAATAACAACAAGGCAGCGATATTGTAACTAATAATATCACCGAAGTAGCAGATGTGATGATCAAAAGGGTCTTGAAACTTCCTCGTCTCCAGAACCATCCTATTGACTTTCCCTCGAATGACAGAAGTGATTTTTCTCTCCAATGACCGAATACCAATTCTTTATTGTGTTTTAGGACTGAGTAAGAGGTGCGCTCAACCTCACGAACAACAACATACTTGTTGATCTAGAGAGACACACTTCACTTCGTGCAGATTCGATTTTGATCTTCGTCATGATCAACTTTAATAATAGTACAGGGATGAAGCTCCAAAAAGTCAGACTCTTTTCATGGTATTCCTATGACAACCGATTTATTTGTAGTCCATTTCTGTGCAACAAATCTCAGTGCTTTTCCAAAATTCTCGATATAACAAGTTAACAATTCACAGTAGTCTTGCAGTTAGTAATGCCAGCGTTCCTTTGTTCTCAGTATACATTCATGATAAGTTCAAGTTCGTTTCTGATTGTGTTTTATTGAAAATCATAATGGTCTGAGTTATGTAGTATGCCTAGTATGTTCTAATTAGAGTTTCTGACTCTCCTCGTCTAGTATACCTCTCCTCGATAAGTCCAGTACGACACTAACTCCGACAACTCTCTTCCTATAATGTTGGAATCAATGTTCCTCTAATTCCCTGCTTGGTGAGCAGGCGGTCATCGCAACCCTCCATAAAACTCCCGTGTTCCGTCACGCTCATGCGGTGCTATCCTTTCCTGAAAAGCCTGGTTGAAGATTCGGCCTGTCATTGCGCGATCCGTCTGTCTTTGCTTATCCATGGCCAAGGATTCGTAAACCCGTTGCTGATTACGGTACAAGACTGAGGGTATTAGAGATCCTTTTTAACACTACTTAGTAGATCCAAATGAAACTTGAAACATATACATCCTGTTGGTCGACCTCTTTCTTTGGGTGTGGTCTTCGTCTTTATCAAAAGACTAAGCTTTCCAGGATGTTGTAGTCAATGTCGTCTCTATTGTTGCACGGGATAAGCTTAGATTTTTAGACGTGAAAACTGTAACCGGTTGTTTTTTTGGAGTTTCTATTGGATTGTATGTTTGTATGTTCACGAGTTATAAGATGATTTCTTGATGCCATAAGAGATTTCCATCCGCCGTGGGACGCGGATTTGAGACTACTGTCCCCGGAGGATAAGGCTCATAGGCCCCTGGGTTGCCGCGTGGACCAGGATAGACGCTAGCCCCACTCCACATAGCACTACAACGCGGCTCAGCGGCAGCTGTCTTCTCTTGCCATTCGTTCATCTGCGTGAGGTGGTGGGAGATGGATTTTGATGACTGTGATTGGTGACGGAAATTGTGGACGAGGCCATGAACATTCTACGACTGACGGAAATTCTACGACTACGTTTACGTGAAAAGGCACTTCAACTTCACAACTCGTCAAAACATTAAGAACAATCTTAGAGGTAGGTTTTTGGTGCTCGCTTTCCCCGCTTGTTATGCCTTTCTCCCTTAGGAGAGGCATGAAAAGCGGTAAGAAAAGCACCTTTAACCTACCCTTAACAATCAATACCTTGAAATCGTACAGCCCCTTCAGATACGCCTGACTATCCCTCTCCGGATTGCTTGGCGGTTTCGGAACTGGTGCAGGTTTAGGGCGCACTAAATGCGGATTCCCATGAGGACCTGGGAGTTTACCGCATCCAAATGCGGATCTGGATTCGTACCAGTGCTGTTCCAGGGGTCCGCCACTACGAATCGAATTTGCATTGTAGTGACTCTGCTGGTGAAGATCTGTGGCGTAATAGGTGTTGGAAATAGACGTATTCAAATTGTCCTTCGCCGTCCGCCCTGAGGCGGTGACCTGCGACATCTTTCTTGATCTCTTGGACTTGATAAGCAGTTTGAACCAGGATAATAGCTGTGAAGCTGGAAATTCAAATTACGATTACCTTGATTGATTTTTGCAGGCTAAAAGACGGAATGTTGTGGAGGAAGATGCTCATGAGGAGAAGTGATTTTACCAAAAAATTTAAGTGCGTAAATCTGAACACAGATGGCGGAAAAGAAGTCAATGGAGCAGGGGTCGCAGGACAGCGGATATTGGAGGCAGGTGGGATGTGGCAGTGGTGTACGTCCCGATACTGACTCCCCACCTTTAGAAACCGATGTATTAAATGAAGCCGATGTATTAAACACAAGTTGTGCTACTTTGACCGACTCTTCCGTACTAGGACAAAGAGACTGACAGAGAGAGTAGAGAGACCGAGATAGTCTGGTTTTCTACCATCGACATAATTCCACACCTTTTGCAACGCCGAGCTTTGTAGTAGGATAGGATAGGAGTTGGCTCACCTACGAGGGGGTGAGCGTTAGAGGCCATTGAAGTGCCATAAAAGAATGAACTTTTCTAGAGCGAAACATCGTAGTTATGTCGTAGAATAGAACAGTTACTTTTATGGGACAACCTTCCAGCGAGCCTCACAGTCACATCTATGGAACAACCTTCCAGAGAGAAACAATGCTACTTCGTACAACAACGATGATTCTGTATAAAGGTTCATTCCTATTCATTCATGAAACTAGTTGTATCGACTTACGAAAAAAACGACTTATCTTCAAGTAATGTTCTACTATAATTTTCTCCATAGGGACTAGAAACTTCCGGTCTATAAATCAAAACGAGGTAAACGAGTTGTTCATTTATATTCCACTCTCGATTCTTCATTTTCTATACAGCGATGTTTGTGATACAAATGCTTGTAGTTAGCTGAAGGTGTTCATTGCATGTAGTTGTTGCGAGAAATTATATTGTGTTTTAGTGCATTTGTTTAGGAGCAGGAAATGCGATATCAATCTAAACCTAGTAGTACCAGGCGAGTGTTCATTGTTCATTCTCAATTAGTTCAACGACTTGACGTCTGCTTACAAATCATTTGAATTTGTTAGCATCTCTCTCAATCTCGAAATTCAAATTACTTTTCCTTCTGTCTACTTATTCCTATATTCAGAATCAGTATTACGCGACCTAATCTTGGCTTTATCGGTAGCAAACAGACAAAAACAGAACGACCCAAAAACAGAACGACTCATCCATCTTATGGCTGTGACGCTTCATCAACCTGAAATAAGAAAGTGCTGCAACCGTTGACATTCATTACAAAAGAATAAAAGAAGTGCTGTTTGTATTGATTCTTTTCTTCTGACCTGTGAAACCAGCCTTGTTTGTATCTAAACGCTATCAAAAATCTCTTCAACAAGCTAGATTTACAAAATCGAACTACTTATTCGAAAAACTGAAATAACCGAGGAACGTTACAACTTAAGAGGGCTATTGCCTTACAGCGTAATTCTTGAATTTCCTTGCGTATTTTAAGGCTTCGAGTACTTACCATCTCTCCATAATTCATCTGCCTCCTTCCATAAGACTCGCCGACTGCGCAGACACAGGCCTCGATCCCCCTCGCGCCGCAGATTTCGGCCTGGCGGTACGCGACGGGCTCACGGTGACAAATTCATCCTCCGAATACGATCCCATCGAGGAGGACGTCGATGACATTTCTGTATGTGAGTGTGGCGATTACAGTTCTGAGGATGGAGAGTCGTGAGTCGTGTCATTGCGGAGATGAGGTGAGATCAAGCAGCACAATCGACGAAAAAACTAAAACGCCCTAAGAAAGAGGTGACCAAATCAGTACGCATTAGTAGCAGACAAAAACAGGAATGGTGAAACTCTGTACCATCCAGATAAGCCAGCGCGGTGCTCTTGTTTTGTCCTACTGCCTTTTTCCCCAGTTTCGACTTCCCTGTCACCATGGTGCTCACACCCCCTTTAAACGGGTCATCCTCATCGTCGCTTTCCACTATCACAGGCTCTTCCTCTAGAATTTCCAGCCATTGCCTTTCTTGACTTGACATCTTGTTGCTTGAGGATTTTTTGATCGAAGACGATGACGATGATCTAGACGAGTATGCGTCTTTCTTCGTTCCTGCCGAAATAAAGCGTGTTACCTTCTTCTGTGGTCCCTTGTACTCAACGCGGGAGGCCAAATCCATGCCAGGAACATCGCTGTAGGCATTTTGAAACGGATTTTGAGATGCCCCTGTCGTAGCTGGTGTAGTCGATGCGACTGATCCTCCTGAAGTTGTTGTGGTATTGTTGCCACTACCAGATCTGGTAGGACTTCTACCCTTAGACGATGAGGACACCACACGACTAGAAGCTGTTGAAGGCAACACAGCTTCTCCTCTCTTCTCCCGATTTTGGCGTATCACGTTTTCGATACTGGCTAGAGAATCGTCGCTGATTTGCAAACTATGCTCTTCGTCTTCGTGACCTCGCGCACTTGTAGCACTACTAGCGCTGCTCGACGGTGCTTCTTCATGGTGCATGCCAGTGATGTTCCCTCGTGCGCTGCTGCCCATAAAATTCATCAGTTTGTTAGAGGAGAAACTGCGCCTGCGCAGATTCCTGTTTTACTTTATTAACGCACTCTGTATTGGTTGTCTCACTTCTAATATTGCCTTTTGAAGAGAGGCTCACGAATTATCAAGAATCTCACCCATAATGTTATCATTTTGCTGCATGGGATCAGCCTAAGTTTTAGAGGTAAAAACTAACCGGTTGTCATTTTTACAACTATCCCATAATGTTATCATTTTTAGTACTATCCGCTAATACATCGCCTCCATCGCTTTTCTCCACCGAGTCACTGGCGCTGTCGAAGTCGTCGTCCTCGTAGATTCCAGCTTCCTCATCCTCATCTGTTCTCTTCGACACTAATCCAGCTCCTCCAAAAGTAGGTACTGCCTCCGAAGGCGGCTGAGATGGAGGTGGAGTTGCGCCATACAGCGATGGAGGTGGAATCAGAGGCGCGATCCCGCTTGGTGGCGGGACTAATGGTTTGATGCCACCAATAGGGAGGTGCTGTTGTTGTTGTTGTTGTTGGGCTACTGGTGCTATAATTGGCGTTCGTGTTGTGGCTCCAGACGCTTGTGATGCTGCTGCTCCTCCTCCAATTGGTTGCAAAGACTTCCTCCTCTTCCATTCGTTGAGGACAGTGCTCTTTTGACTAGAAGGAATCTGCGTTGAATACATGATCTCCCGCACTGCCTCTTGCTGCGTTAAATCCGTCGAAGGTACCATAGCAGAAGTACCTGCATCCTGCACCTGTTCCCCATTGTTCTCTTTGTCCACGACATTGTAATTACTATTAGAGACTGAAAGTTGGCGTCTCTAGCTCGCATATCTAGGGCTTCCCTCCTTGAAGACATAGAAACGCGCATAGAGATGCCAACTTTCAAGCCCTAATACTTGGGGTAAGATATTGTTTCAACTTGCGTCTCTGTTCCTCAATTTCGCGAGCCTCAGCGTCGCTGCCCGATGAGGAGGATTCGGGAACTTTGTTTGCAGATGAACCGGTGGTGGGCCGCTGTTGAGAAGGAGCTGTGACACTGACTGCAGGCGCACGAGGACCATCAGAAGGTAGAGGTAAGCCTGAAGAAGACGATCCAAACAGACTAGAGTCCTCTTCACTAGACGAGGGAGCCGAACCGCCACCCATCGAGCCTTTCACCTCCACCGTCGAAGCAGCAGGTTTTTCCTCTGCCACGGATGCTGGCTTCGTATCGACATCTGGCTCTTTCGCCGGAACAGCAGCATCATCCGACCTAGAGGATCCTGGTAATGGCAGTGCGTCAGAATCGAAGTCATCGTCTTCATAGGTGTCGTTGGATTCTCGATTCGTTGAAGGATTGGTTCCTGGCTGAGGAGCAGGCTCTTCATCAATATCCTTCTTCGCAGGAGGACTCGGTTCTTCGGATGCCTGCTGCAGCATAGCGCGGAAACCTCCACCTGGATGTTGCGGTGAAGCACTAACTCCGAATTGCGCCTTCAGTATCTGCTCATCGTGTGCATAATCTTCTTTTTCTTCTGCTTCTGCATTACTCTCTGACGACGAGGACAATCGAGGTAGATTAGAAGAACCTGCATCGGAAAGCTCGTTGATGGCAGGCTGTCTTTGCGCTGCAGTAGAAGGCATCGTTGTCGTTGATGGCATGGTCGTCGTTGACGGCATCGCACTCGATCGGCTGGTGGTCCTGCTTGTTAGAAAGCGCATGAGCACGTCTATCTCATGAAGATAATCTAAGTACAAGTACAACCTGTCTTGGACAACGATAGTATTCAGTATTGCTGTAGCCTTAAATCAACCGGATCGTCCTCTGAAGTGCTCGTTCCCAGCAAAGACCGCTGTTCCGAAGACAACGCCCTCGATCCCTGTGAAGATCCTTGATAGATATCTCCTGCGGTCACATCGTTGCTTGCATGTGCTGATGACTGATCTCGCGCGTCCGTCTCTTCTTCCTTTTTTTGCACGAAATTCAGGTTGCTTTGTGATTGCTGATTTTGTTGTCCTTGCTCCTCCTTCTCCCACGTTTCGGCCGCGGAAGTGCTACCACTTGGCGCTGCCGGTATCGGTAATTTGCTTGTCGGAATCGTGACGGTGACGCTGCCATCAGCACGAGGAGGGCTTGTCGTGACAAGTTGCGATCCCCCAAAATTGTTCTCGTCTGACGAGGTGGCGCCAATTGAAGGTGCCGGTTCAACAACATACACTTCAGGTGGATGGAGAGCGCCTTCATCTCCTTCATCGGCTTTGTTGTCCAAACTATCAGCCTCTTCATCAGTCTTGCTCGCACTTTCATCGGCACTCCTATCCCCCAGTCGTGCTTCCGGTTTTGACGCAGTTGCAGCTGTCCCTGTTGCAGGTGCTAAGACAGCAGGACTAGTACTTTCTTGGCGCGCTTGAACAAATTGTGTTCCGGCACTCGTCTCGTCAGCGGCAGAGGACGTCTCGTTTGCGAAGCTCTCCTCCACCTCCGAAGGCACAGATGACGACGAAGACGACGCAACTACATGCTTAGTAGTTGTAGCCTTTGTTGTGCTTTGGTCAACAACTGTTGCTGCTTCAACAACTGTTTCTGGAGCTGGGGTTCGAGCAGGCTCTACTCCCTTTGTTATCGTCTTTAGCTCTTCCTTCTTAACTCTTTTCATTTGCTCTTCTTCTTCATCCGATGTTTTCATCTGTTCCGACGATGATTTAAAGGGGTCAAAAGACTCAGCCGACTCCTCCTTCTCAAATTCATCGTCCTCATAGTTGCTGTCGGTGGCAACTTTTGGCAGTGGGTCTTCGCGCTCTTGGGCTGATGGGGTGGATGGACGAGGATGATTTAGGAACTTACAAGAGGATTTTTATGATGCAGGAGCAGCTTACGAACTACAATACAACGAGCATTCACATTCTTGGTCACTCTCCATACGTATTAAGTATCAGCATAGTAAGCAAGATGAAGTACCCGCTGCTGCTCCAAACGACTTGACCCGGGTATCGAAGCTTTGCTCCTCTGACTCAGACGCCGCAGGACTCGCTTTCTTAGAAGTTGGAAAAGCCTCAAACAAATCACTATCCGTTTTTACAACTTCGAGATCGGACTCCGCAACGCTTGGTGGCTGCTTCTTGGTAGCTTCTCCAGTCCCATTTTGACCGCCAGATGAAGCAGAGTTCATCGCTCCACCACCAGAAAGATGCTCTTTTATGATTTTCTTTACCTTGTCCTCCGGGACTTTTTCCACCTGAACACGCGCTAGCAACAGTGTCCATTCTCGATCTTGTAGGCCGTCTTCGCCTGTATTTACGCCTAGAGCAGCTTCGCATCCTGCCCAGAAGCTTCCTGCGTCAGCTTCCTCTTTCGGCACACGAACCAACGCCGAAGGTTCGTAGTCGTACTCCGCGAATAAGGCGTAAAGAGCTTTCTTACAAGCCATGAGTGAAGGTGAAGAACTTTCTTGTTGTTCTAGTTTCGAAAAAACGTCTAGCTCCACATGCACATCGTCAAAAGGTTGGAATACACTGTCCGCTTCCGCCACGCACAGCAGAGCCATAATCGCACGGCGAATACGGGCTTCGTTGACCTCCGGAGTCGCTTCGGCAAGCTGCTTTCCAGTAGGAAACAAAGTCCTTCTGAGACTACTACCCCAGTTCTGGAACATGGCGACTGTGGCTAAAAAACCCTCAAACCATTGCTCTTGGGCGAGAGAGGACTTTCCGTGATCGTTTTTCCACTGGCTGAGGATTAGAGGATGTTTATGGCGGTGAGGGATAAAGGTTTCTTCCCTGCAGTAGTACTACGGATCAACGCCAACCATACTGCTCCTGCAGTATTGTTGGTTTTGATAACCGTCCCCAAACGGAAGTACTCTTGTTTGTGTTGCTCCGTGCTTCTACTCTATTGAATTTTGAAAAAACTACTTAGACAAATTTCAGCATCCTAACACAACCTCAGCCGCACCTCCCTCGCGTCTCCACAGTAAAGCCCACACCCGAAGGACAAGGTCAGCCGCTGGCTTTTCAAGAAGTGCATCGCCTTTTCGTGGGTCGTTCAACTCTTTTTGCAACTCATGGAGTTGCGACCACAATCTACACTTTCGCAGTGCATTCCTCAAAGACCGCACGTCGCTGGCCATAGGTCCTAACGAAAAACCATCTTCCGATACAGCGTCGTCGGGGATTGGAGTTTCTTCTTGTTGAGGCTTGGACAACTCTGGTACTGCCTCTCCCGAATGTGTAAGCTCTTTTACTGGTACTGGTGCGACTGCAGTCTCCTTCTCCGCCTCGACCTTGAGCGTTTCTTGCGGTTTTGCCAAATCCTGCTTGCCGCTTTCCCCGACCCCAACCGGAGACACTGCTGTCGACGCTGCACCATTCTTGATTTGATCCGCCAACGTTGCCTTTTTTGTCTCCCTCTCAGAAGCATCATCTAACTCGTCTCGGACTTCGAAGGGGTAACCTGCTGGTGAGCCTGCTCCTGCCCCTGGCCACTGGTTTTGACTAGCAGAACCCTGCTGCTGCAGTCTTGCAGTCGCCGATGCTGGACGAAGTGGCGCTGATGCTGGTGCTGGGGTAAGAGTTGATGGGGGTTGCTGGACTGCGGGAGCCTGTTCGGGATTAGAAGTATACCATGACGAGACAAATTGGACTACAACATCAGAACTTTGAGAGAGGACTGACTCCTTAACCCATAACTAAAGGCGACCTCGCGGAAGGCGTCCGAGCACTCGCAGGTCTTGCTGAAGATGGCCGTGACCGACTGCGCGCTTGACTGTTCGCTATCTTCTGTCCAATTTTAGCCACTTCCATTCTCGGGGACGGCGACCTAGAGACATTGGTTCTCGGGAAGAACATATCCGATGGACCTAAGTTTTTGCCGATAGAGGCTAAATTCTCAGGATCCAACCTGACTTGGTGATGCAGCTGCTGCGCCACTGCGGTGGCAACTTGTGGACGCAGCTCGGGAGAGAAGTTAGATGTCATCTTTCCGCAATGAAGTGACTTCCTTAGAACATCCGCCGCTTCTCCTAACGAGGTTGCAACTTCTGCCTTTGTCTGACTCTCCTCTTTCGCCCAGTGGCCTAAAATTTATGCAACATGAAGGTCTTTAGACTGATTCGGACGATGAAGCGAAGGTCTCATCAATAGTGTCTTGGATCTATCAAGAAGTGCAGTGTCGTCCATCCAAGCATCTCTCTATCCATCATCTACTAACGTAAACCTCCTATCTACGTAGTATGCATCAAACTCCCGGACCATAACACTTGTGTCCACTTTCTTCGACGTCGGCACTAGAGTGTATCCTTTGTTCGAAGCTTCACGTGCCAGATGCGACGCTGTCTTCTCGTACAAGCGACTACGGACATGATCATACCTGCCACTGCCGAATCCAATACCCGTCCTCGACATCAAGTTATGCGGTGTAGCTCGTCTTCGACCAGGCGCAGACCCAGGCCGTCCACCAGGTCGCGTCCGGAAAGAGGGTCTCTGATTCTGTTGCTGCATCAGTATTTGCTGGATACTTGATGGCTGTGCATTATTAACATGTTGCTTTTGAGCTTGAGGATTGTTGTTTCCAGCACCTTGATGAAGCAATGCAGACGACCCCACTCCACCGAAAAACGAGTTAGTACTCGCGTTATGCGCACCACCCGGACCCGTTGGAGGATGCACACCACTTGGCATTGGCATAGTACTCGCACCTGCTTTCATGCCCATACTGCCTGAGATTTGGAGCCCTGGTCCTCTGTAGTTCCCGACGACTTTGTTCTTGTTCACAGCATTGAAAGCAGTATGGATGGCATCCATTGTCCCAAAGCCCGGACTGCCTGCTGTTAAAGAGGACATGAAACTGGCGTTCAGAATATCATTTGCTCCCATGATGTTGTTGCAGCTCGGCTTGTTTGACATCGACATAGTACTAGAGTTGTTCCTCACCCCTCCGGTAGTACTATTGCTCTTCAAATAATATGCCGAAGCATACTGTTCTTTTTCGCGCAGCCTCGCCGTTGTGGCGATATTCCCTGTTTTATAGACATTGTTCACGACGTCCTTCCTCCTATGACCAACAGAATTCTGGTCGTTCAAGATCCTGCTGGCCGTTCCGATGCTAGTCCGAAGACTAGTGGAAAAGAAATCAGGAGGTTCCCCTACTGGCGTTCCTGCTCCTCCTAGTCCTAACATGTTGTAATAAGACGTTGTAGTTGACTCTCCAGCGCCGTCCGGGAAAGACAAAGAGCCTCCATCTGTCCGCAATGGCGTTGTGGCAGACAACACTTGGGAAGTACTACGTAGAATGTCGTCATCCTCATCGCCTCCTAGCATGTTGTCATCCTGTCCAGGTGCTACAGGTACTGTTCGTGACGCACTTCGGGACTGACTAGGAGACTTCGAGCCTTGTCTAGATCCACCACGAGGTGTGCGACTTCGAGACCGTATATGTCCTGAAGCAAATTCGGACTCCTCAATCGCGTCTCTAGCTAAGATTGCAGCAGCATTGCGAGCCCGCTCCATCGAGACAGGTCTAGATGAACCACGTGTAGAGGCCGAACCTCGTATGCCTCCAGTAATACTGCGCAGAGACTCGTAAGGCCTAAAGATACGAGCTGAGCTTGGACGCTCTTGTCGTTTCTGCTTCTGAGCTGCGCAATAAGCATCGGAGTTTAATAGAGGTGACTGTGGTCCTCCCTGTTGTTTGTTTGGCTTTCTTTTTGGTCTTGTACTGTCACCAGTCATTCTGAGCATTGTCTGCATCGCAGTCGTGTCTAATCGTGGCGACACTGACCTGCTCCGAACCGGTGACGTCTCGTCGGGAAAAAGCTGCTGACCATCGTCAGAGAAGAAATCTGGTTCAAGACCTCGCTGTCCTTGGCCTTGGTTCCTAGAAGAAGAAGAAGAACCTGCTGGAGTTGTAGTTACATAGTTCAGTTTCGACGAATGAGTTGCCCAACCGGCTGCAAAAGGACTAGTCTCGCGCTGTGAAGTAGAGGGGCTAGGCTTGCCGAAGCCCAGAGGTGTCTGCGCAACTCCTCTAGCACCGGAGCTGCGTTGGTTTCCGGTAGAATGTGGTGGTGATATCGTCGAACCGAACAGACTAGTTGACCCTCCACGAAGATCAGCCCCAGTTTCTCCTTTGTGGAGCCTACCTCCTCCTGTAGAAGACCCTACTGTCGATGTCGTCGCATTATGTGATGAACTTGTTTTTGAGGTTTCCTTGGAGCTTCTACGTGGCTTTGCTGGTGAAGTGGACGCTACCGAAGTTTTTGAAGACACTGGATTTTTATGGAGTCCACCTAGACTCTCTCGTCCAATATTATCAACGTCTAAATCAAAGCCCAGACCTCCTTCTTCTTCGCCATTGTGGATAAACGAAGGCAAAAGCATAGGAGGCAAGAATTTGACTGGATGTCGTTCTAATGCAGCCAATAATCGTGGGTTCTGGTTCACCTTCTTCTTCCACTCTAGCTCCGACAATCGCAGTTGCTCCAAAGCATGATTTAGCTCGGCCTCGTTCCGCTTTAAGCGGATGCATTCTTGGTATCGTTCCGCTTGGATCTGCAGCAACAAGTTCTGACGCAATCGAGCTTTGTGGCCGCCCAAAGCGCCGTGACGCCGGGAGAACTCCTCTCTGGCAAATTTCAGACCCATTTGCTCTCTGTGCTTCTGCAAGGCCGTCTCAAATTCCTCAGCTGCAATGGCACTTTGCTTTTCCCGGTCCAGCCGTTCCCACGCAGAGGAGAAGAACTTACTCATTTCAATGCCGTGAGCTTCGAGGCGTTCTACGCTATCGGAAGAAGAGGAGGCAGAGGAAGGTTAGAAGGAGTGGGGGGATGTTGAAAGCATTTTCAACAAATCCTAAAAAGTAGAGGAGTACAAGTATAGTAAATGCATTCTTTTTCGTACCACCATAAGAGGAAGAAGAGGGAATGGCACTGCTTGTGGTGTGTTTTGTATCCTGGGAAGCCCTCTCGACACCAGGAGCCTGGAAAGGCTTATTACTAGCACCCGCCTGAGCTGTCGTTTCAGGAGGCATGCTCGGTTTAGCCATATGCTCGGTCTTGAAACCACGGGTGGCAGTTGCGCTTGCGGGATTGCCCGAAAAAGCGATGTTCTGCGCTGCTCTGACCATACCGGAACTACATGGTTGATTTTGAGGAGCGAATCCACTTACCGAGGAAGTTGCGAGGCCACTAGCCGCAAGCGGCTCCAGGTGCAGCGGCTTTTTGCTCGGGGACGAATCACGCCTAGAATATTGACATGATTATAATGAAGATGGACAACAGAAGGACTTGAGGTTAAAATAGACACGATGCAAACAAGTTCTCATCCGTTAGAGTATCTGTTGTATCATCCCAGAATGTAAAAATAATACCAGTCATCTTCCACGACACTTCTTTTTCCTACCTCAGTTTCCTCCGTCTCTGACGCCGCAAAGCGACCTGTGGGCCGACGATCTTTTACTGCATCCAATACCTTTGGCCGGGACGACTCTAGCAGGAAGGCCGAAGAAGCCGACGCCTTGAGGTTGACCGCAGGAGTAGTACTCGTAGAAGGAGGAATGATGGAAGGTGAGAAATCCTTCTGTGCGTGTACACCTGGAGCGAAAGGGAACTCCGAACTCAAGTGTCTGAAACCTCCTTCCCTGCTAGCGCTCAGAGGACCGCCTAGAGGCGTTTTGCCTGCTGACATTGGTGCGGATGCATGATAGGAAGATGATGTGGTCAGATGTTTACTGGGAGAAGAAAATGACGCTGCGGTGCTGGTCGCGGCTGCTCCACTTGTTCTGGACGATGATGTGCCCAGACCTGTGTGGGTCAGTCCTGCTAGTAGTCCGCCATCATTCGCGGCCAGCAGAGGACCCCCTGTGGTCGTAGTCGGTAGTTGACCAGTGGTAGTGGTCGACGGCGCACTGGTACTACCTCCAAATTGGGAAGCAACAAAAGTACCGCCACTTGTTGTACGTGCTGCAGGCACGGCAGGCGTGATCGAAGTTGCTTGTGCATTTCTATTCGTGGTCTTCTTGTTGTCCTCTCCCCCAGAAGCACTCTGCTGAGGTTTGTCAGAGACCCCACCCATTGAAGAGGAAACAAAGTCATCCGAGTACGTGTCTTCCTTGCTCGACGAGGCGCTTTTCACAGAAGGGCCGTCTTTCGGCCGCTCGAATGACGGTACTCGCTGTCCGAGGTATGATTTAGACGAGCTTTGCCTCATGAATTACCAGTCGACGGATCATACAACGCCAAGTAGCCCAAAAGACTCAATCAAATCACACTATGAAGTAGACTTAAAACGCCCACCATAACAACGACAGGCTCCGACTCTGTAGCCGTACTATCCGCCACGATGTCTTCCTCAATCGCGGTATCAGTATCGTCGTTATAGAACAACAACAGACCACCTCCAGGAGGTCTCCTCTTGTTTCCTGATGACGGTTTCTTCTCCTCAGGGTTTGAGGGAGACACATGATTCGTAGTTGCCTCTTCCGAAGCGGCTTGTAGCTCTTGTGGCTGCTCTTGTGGCTCATCGACCTGATCGCTTAGGCTTCTCCCACTATCGGATCGTGCTAGCATCTGTCGCCGTCTGCTAGGACTCGGCATGGCATCTGCGAAATTAAGTCGATGGGATGGCGAAGCGGGAAGCTCTTCCACAGGACTGCCGCTTCCCAGTATCGTGTCATCGCCGATGAAGATATTGGGCCCCTCCTCGTCCAGGCGGGCGAGGTGGGTGCCGGTACGAATACGAGGAGGCATGGTTTTAAAGCTCTGGCTTTATTTTGCACAGTCTGGCTCATTCACTCACAATATACGCCATTTTGAATTTCGTTCATCATGTGCGCCGCCGTGCGGTGGGCGACGCCATCAGGATAACAACCTAGAGGTCCTCGGCGGTCAAGTGTTCGCATTTTTCTTGAAAAAGCCTACATGTTATTCTCACGAAACGGCCGAAAACCTTCAACTGGAGTGAAAAAGACCATTTTGCGGCGCAGTTTCAAAAGGAAAATTATGAATCTCGATCCAAAAATTGGGAAAAATAATGTTTGTGGGTTTGTGGAGGATGGATGACCAGAGGATTTTTCTATAGAATGAAGACATGCCCCATCACGCGAGAGGTTCGTTTTGCAAGTTCCACTTGTTCTCACGCGTAAAGCATAGGCGTGCTGTGAGTAAAGTCGACTCCATTTCAAAAATCATGAAATTGATTGTCTGTAAACGTGAACATCATCTTCGTGATCTGGTAAAGTCTTTTAATGTACTTCGCTTCTTCTAGGAAGAGAAACCTCTAAACCTCGAACTCTACGCCACAGCCCCAAGCCACAAGAACCACCGACTCCGTTGTTAAGAGAAAGCACCCCTCAAATCTGGGTCTCTGGGATGTACCCAACGACTAAAGAAGGTCCCACGTGCTTGCGCGTAATGCTCTTGCTCGGGATTGGATGGGTTGGAGCCGCCTTTGAAAAGGTTAGCGCTGCGTCCGCAGAAAGCCATACAACAGCAAATGGCAAAGAAACAGCACACTGGACGGTTCGTGAGATCGCTCACGTCGGCTTCGCAGAATTAGAGGAGAGGTCGAACAAAGACATGAAAAATCGAGGAGTTATGGAGAAATCTTCAGCACTGCAGCATTCGGTCGGGGACAAAGCTATGTTGTCGCTTCACGTTCACCTTTCTTCATTCTATACAAGTTCAATAGTCGACAACTACATGCAAGAACCAACAAATTCAAGAACTAAAATTCAAGTCAACTACAAACACGTCCCACCGACGATAAAGCTGTCCCCTGGGTCCAGGAGGTGGGTGCTCCGTGGAGAGATCCTCTCGCTGCGCCTGTCGCTTCCGAGCGTAGGTTCGACCAGCGGCGGCTAGTGCCGCAAAAACAGCTTGTGGCATCAGGTTTTTGCACTTAACATGACCAGCAAGTCGAAGTTTCCTGATTCCGCTGTTTTCTCTCTTTCTTGAATGAAGAGTGATCACGAACGATGGAAAAAGACGACGACATTCGATGTCGTTCAACAGGATTGACAAATTTAGGTTGAAATCTACGCCATGAAGGGTCGTGCTTTCAAGGAGCCTCATGCACATTGGAAAAATCTAGAAGGATAAGACAAACAGCAGGATTCTGTTACACTCAAAACCGAGTTTCCACGCACCTTAATCCCGAGATATTTCTTTCGCATAAACCGAGAAGAACCACCGATTTGTTTCCTACTTCAAACTGAATTTATTTCATGTAGAAAACCTTCATCCTGAAAGTATTTATATTGTGCGTAAGAACATGCATTCGCCACTCAGCATCAAAATGTTGATGAACACAAGTAAAGTACGAGCATAATACCTATAACTGATGAGTCACTTCTTCTATGATCCATCAATTTCTTCCTTGTGTAGCCATCATGCTCCTCAACATTTTCATTTACTGGCGATCTTCATTATATGAGCACGAAGCAATACAAGGGAGGAAATGAATGCCTTGCGAGGACGAGAGGAGCTGCTTCCACATCATCTTTTTTTCATCGTTTTTTTCAATTGGCCTTCTGGCATCAGTCATAAAAAGCGCAACCAACTATTATTTTTCGTGCGCTCAATACTACATTAAAAATCTAGATTGATCTAGGCAGCAAAAAAGTTTTAGACGAATGGAATCAACACTACGAGTCAGGTTATTCGAGAACAAGTTCGAAGATAATTTACTTAGTCTTTTCACTATAAAGTACTCAGCTGTAGTTCTTGACACGACATCACAAATTAGGAGCAATCAGTTGTTTTCCAAGTTCTTCACGACTTAAAACGATGGACAAGTATTCATTATAATTTCACTTTCAGCGCGGAGTTTAACATTAAGAATTAGTCTCAGATGAATCGATGAATTAATTTCAAGTGTTGAGTAGATAAGGATCCTCGAAAGGAGCTAGTACAAATTTATACATTTATTTCTGATGAAGATTGAAAAATAGTAAACATGACAGTACAGCAGAGACTACGTCGTGATTATAGTGACTTGACCTGCAATCCCGATTCCCAATCCCAATCTGCTCTTCGCTCCCCTGCAACCGCTGCAAGAACATTATCATCCCTCCATTCTTGAGCCACTACGGAAGAGCAGATCGTACAGTGGACCATCCAATGAGAAGAGCCTCTTGTTCTCGAAGGGGCTCAAGTCACAGGATCAGAAGCGTCGTTCTCTAAAGGGACAACTTCTGCGTCGTAGCGTCTTACAGCAGTGTTTCTAAAGTCGGAAGTCACATGGTCAGGATCGAGTCTGAAGTCACTGAGTCGTCTCCTCGAATCTAATACGGTGCCGGTCTAGCAGCTGCAGCGGCATAAGCAGCTTGTTGGCCGTACATAGCCATTTGATCTGGGGTCATGGTCATAGCCATTTGATCTGGGGTCATGGTCATTACCATTTGTTGTTCTGTTATGAAGTAAGAGGGGAGTGGCAATCTGAATCTGTGTTTATCATTTTACCTTGGTAGTTGTAGCTGCAGTTGGTAGCAATTAGCAATATCATCTCCTGCATCAGAAAATAACTGACAAAAAATCATGCATCTCGAGCACTACCATAAACAAAAAAAATCCACAATAGAACCGACCACCACGTTAACCATATTCAAATCTATTTCTAATATCTAATGGATAATACCCTGTCCCGCTGCTGGGACGGCGTAGTATTGCTGTGCCGGGTAAGCTGCATAAGCACCGAATGGCTGCTGTGGATAGGCAGCAGCTGCGTAGGCGTAGTTAGGATCTACTGCATAGGCAGCATACTCACCGCCAAATCCGTAGGCTGGCGCTTGGCCGTAACCTGGGGAAAGGTTAGGTACAGGAATGGAGAAGGAGGAGTGGAACAAAGGAGGGTGAGGAAGATCGTTAAGGACTGTAAGTGTGTTCCAGCATTTACTCAGGTGGAACCCAGCATAATTTACTTAAGGACTCCAGCATGTACATTTACCTAAGTGTAACTGTAAGTGGAACGACCAAGGACTTGAGTAAATGGGGATAATGTTACTGATGATAAAGAAGAAGATTATGTACTACATCAACATGATGAATAAGCATATAATCGAGATCGATGGAACTATCACCAATTTAAGATTGAAACATCAACAAAGGGCTAAGTTCCTCATCTTCCTAGTTTGAGTTACTTAGAAGAAAGATACTTAAAAATAAAGTAGAAGCACCATAAGCTGCCTGTAATAATGAAGCGAGTAGCTAGTACTTAAATAAAAAGGGAGATACAACTGAAAGAAGAGGAATGCAGTCGAGACTCTCTTATTTCAGTCGGTATAACTCGGTCATTTTCAGTTTTCGAGTACTTAGAAGATACTTAATAAAGTAGGAGTACCATAAGCTGCCTGTGGCGCAGCAAATCCATATCCAGCACCACCGCCTCCTGGGGATCTGTTATCAGCCTTCTTCACATCGATGTACTTTTGGTCGATGTAGTGATTCTGCTTATCTCCGATGCACGTGTACATGTCTTGCTCTGACATGAAGGTCACATAACCGAAACCACGCGGTTTACCTAGATTTTTTGTCAAGGATAATAGTAACTGATCAGAATGACCGAGATACTAATGAGAGGGAAGAGTAGCCTTGGCGTGAGGCTATCTCCCTTATTTCAGTCAGTAACTCGGTTATTTTCAGTTTTCGAATAGTTGAGATTGAATAGCTGATGACGGGTCATGGATTCCATTTCTTTCGGTTTCGTTCAAGAAGGTTAGTATCATCTGATCAGGATCTCTACATAAAATTAGGCAGTGAAGAGTACCAGTTTCCCTATCATACATGGCAATGGCATCCTTGATTGCGCCATACTGTCCAAAGAACTGTCGGAGACTGTCATTGTTGGCTGACTGAGGAAGTCCGCCAACGAAAATTTTATTCGTTACATCCTGGAAACCTCCTAATTCTTAGTGGGAGATTGTATTATAACAAAACAATATTGTAGAACATGAGACTTCTGACTTCTGTAGAGGAAAGAGTACACGAGAAACCTCGGTTCTTCTTCAAGAAATTATGAGTAAAAAGAATAACAGTTATGGAAAAATCATTTTCAAATGGAGAAAATTTTTATCCAATATTGGCCTTAACCTTTGCCTCCCTGGCCTGGTGCCTGGTATCCGTAAAATCCACCTTTTCCGCCGAAAGCAAAGCCCTTCTTTCCCTTTTCGTCACTGGAGTAAGTGTGTTGAATAAAGTAATTTTCTATATTTATTCGCTATAAGAAAAACATTATTATTATTATTATGGAAGGGGTTCGCCAGACAGTCTCGTTAAGGCTAAACTTGCTGACCTTCCTGGGGTTCCCGTGGCTTGCAGACGAGCCAGAGTCTGCAAGCCACGGGAATTGACGGAGTTTGCTTGCTGTTCACTATTTTTATATCCCAGTAGTTCAAGTAAAAAGAAAAACTGCTTCTACCAAGCTCAGCGACTGTACTAGCAGAAAAAAACATCGTCAAATCAATCTTCATATCACTAGGTCTAGGAAATATACCCTTTTCCCTTACTGCCTGCCGGTGCGTTATTGGCTGAGCATTTTACTACGACTGCAATTTCATTTATATTATGCTCTTTCTTCAGGAGGTCATATGCCAACTTTGGATCTTTCATCTGCACAAAACCGAAGCCCTCTGTGGTGTTTTTGGAGTGAGAATCGACTATCTATATGGTGAAGACTAGCCATATACATAGAAGAGCACTACAAGAACAGGTGGCTGCTTGAAAACTTTGCTCAAATACGAATCAAAAAAGTTTGGATCTAGCGGAAGATGCAAGTAACCTACTTCTAGAATGAAGGAATTAATGAATGAATGTAAATACCCACTCTAGGGGTATAATAGAAGAAGAACTACTACTCTACTTTTTCTTTTTGCACGACTAAGAAACAGATGAATAGTTCTTGTACTGCTCTTCTGAGTTGCCGCATCCATCATTACTGTGGTATGAAGTATTTCGCCGAACTGCGCAAAATGCTCATGCAGCATCGCTTGATTTATCGTCTCCCCCAATTCTCCGATGTAGAGCTTGCCTTCTGTTGGAAAATAGTGGCCCTTGGGCAACTGTGCCACCTTCACGTCAACGACTTTGCCGTTGATCTCGACCTAGTGATTTGATTTGATGTATTTACCTATTCATGAGGTATAGGGGCTACCTGTGTGCATGGGGGAGAGGGCTATGCCGAGTTAAGAGCTATGCACTGGATGAGTGATAGATTAGTAGCTATGTATTTATAAGTTAAAAGATCATTATAAGGCATTTTGATAAGTGAACAGGCCAACGCCTAAACCACTAAGCCAACTGCGCAGTTGGCTTAGTGGTTTAGGCGTTGGCCTGTTCACGTATCACATTTCTTGAGGTTTATGAAGCGAAACGTCAGTAGTACTGAAGATGAGAACCCATGCAGTGATTAACGATTCGAACACTCTAGTAGCCAAGTCTTTTGGTGGAGGAGCGTCCTAGTTCTATTGTTCAAATCTGATAACGGTTCTATAATAGAATAATTCATAGGGGTCCCAGATCCGGGATGGGATGGATCGGATGGAACGGATGGACTTCCCACCATTTCAAGTAGGATCGGAAGAATCAGGGGGAGGGTCCATCCGATCCATCCAAGTCCATCCTACATCCGTTCTATAAACTATTCTACTATAATAGGGTGATTTTCCCAAAAATAAAGTTAAATTATAGTACGCTTGGGCACATGATAGCTGCGCGAAACTCTTCTTCGCTCTTGAATGTTACGAATCCAAATCTTCTACTCGCGCCATCCCTCATCATAACTACTGCGCTTGCTGGCTCACCGAATTCCATAAACTTATTTCGCAAGCCCTCATCGCGGACCTTTTTTTGGTGTTTAAGAAGGGAAGGTGGATGGGGAGGATGAGAATGAGGAGAATGAAGGTAAAAGGGATAAGGAGGATGAGAATGAGGAGAATGAAGGTAAAAGGGGAAAGGAGGATGAGAATGAGGAGAATGAAGGTAAAAGTGATTTGGCTTTCATTATATGGGTAGTTGCATGGTTGTCGAACAAGAAATTAGATGTAGACTCTGTCTAATATGTGGTCTATGTTGAAATGCATGTACGTCTATGAGATGCATGTACTTGTACCTCTTGTTCACTACATCAAGAAATCATATAATTAGTACGCTGTCTTCCAGTCCTCCGCAAAATAGTTTCCATTCTGGATCTGGGTCTTCAGGACTTTCTGTTGGCTTGATATCCACTGGCTTGCCCATAATTGAGTGACCTGGCGTCGCTAGGCACTTTTGGGCGCTTTCAGTCTCAATGAAAGTGATGAAGCCAAATCCTCGAGATCTCTTTGTGAGCTTGTCTTGCATTACAACCTTTCATGTTTGGGGATTGTGCCTGTTGACGGAGGTGCCAAGGCATCTTGAAGTAGATTTCATCGTGTAATGTAGAATGGAAAATGTATGATCAAATGATTTCATTTAAAATGAGTAGTAGTGAGAGCGATAGCCGCCGATACAGTAAAAAGAATGTTGCTCATGATTACAACAAGGTAGCTAAAGGTAGATTACTGCATCCTTCACTTCGCCAAATGGTGCTGCGTATTCCCTGAGGATTTCAACTGTTGCCTCGAGTGGCAAACCACCGACGAAAACCTTATTTGCTTCTGCCATTTTATCGAATTTTGATTCGGGTCTTCACGAAAATAGAACCAGGGTGAAACGGAGTGATGCTGGTGGAGTGATGGTGCTGCCCGTTAAACCGCAACACGGGTTGTCTCTGCAGCTGATTGTCTTGTGCGTGAGTCCAAGCGCCGTACTTTTGATGCGTGCGTGAGGAGGCAGAAAGAAACGAGGATGACACCAAACGAGCGTGTGCGAAGATAGAGATGGACACTCAAGTGTTTTGTTCAAACACTTCTTGCGAGGATAATTCGATCAAACAAATTACTTACTGGTATCTATATTATAGGTACTCTAAATCTAACTATATGAGTCAGAATCGACAGTGTGATGGCCCGTAGCTAATTGCACTAACGCCTATTCTTGGGATGCTAGGTACTTGCGAAGTAAGAAACATTCAGTCACAACCATCAAATTAGCCAAATCAGCCTGCGTTGATTTCAATGCGAATATCGGAGAATTAGCATTTATTCGTCCATTTCAAAGGGAAGATGACAAGATGTTCTTGAGGCACATTTCTATTGCAAGTGCACGATGATGAGACCAGCAAGAACGGCTTCTTCTGACAGAGAGCATCACGCACCAGCTATAAAGTACCATCTATACTCGAGAGGATTCATTATTCATAGTGAGTGAAGAAGGGATAGATTCGAATTCAACAGCGCAACGATTCGCATTTTGTAGTGCATGTCAAAGGCACCACATCATCTTGCAATTCCAACACCAGGAAAAGCATTCGTGTTCGTGTTTAATTCAGGTACAGGATACGAACAACAGCAAGGAGCAAACTCAAACTCAACAACCGGCTTCGCCATGATATTGAGATTTATCTGATTGTGGGTTCTGCTTTACTTACAGCGCAAAAGGTAACAGAGCGATCAAAATTTGTATTCACAAGAAAATGAGACTCAGATGGGGGAAAATTCAAATTTCCAAGGTGTATTTCGGGAGGGATTATCAGGAAGTCTTCTTTCATGGCCTTTCATGGCTTGGGGTTCGTGGGGCCACGAATTCGTACTATTTTCATTCGAAAGATCAACGTCGAATCTGGACCAATGAGTGATCCCGCGCCCCGACTGCCGTAAGCCAACTCCGGAGGAATATACAACTCCCACTCCTCTCCTTCCTGTGTTGGAGGAAATTTTGAGGATGGTTGAATATTGTCTGTTGCGAGGATGGTTATGGTTTATTGTCTGTTACTCGTACTTTCTTACATCTGGCAGATCACACTGAGAATCTTGCTCCATGAAGATAATCACGCTAATGACGTATGATTTGTTGCTCATCATGCTTCAAGCCGTAACACTAAAAAGACTACCCCCATTAACTGCATCGCCTCTGTCCACCCTTTGATAACTTGATTTGGGGCAAATGTCGTAGGCGCGCCTCGCTCATAACTGCTATCAAACATGGTTCCGTCTAAGAGCTTTCCTTCATAATGACAGTCGCACGGCGTGCTCCACGTTGGACTCCTGTTCGAGGCGCCTGCTTCCGCTGCGGGTGTGCTTAAGACTTGGTATTAGAGAGTACTGCACAACTCACCAGCTACAAAATCAACAAGATAAGAGAGCTACGCGAAAATCATACAGAAAGCGCACCCGCACGAAGACACCATGAGCAAGAGACAGAGCCAAAGGGCTCCCGCCATGGGCATCACAGCAAAGGAAGCACACCGTGGGACTTACTGAACGCCGTAGAGCTGTTTCGTGACGCGTGACGCCCACCGCGTCACGCCCAGAGCTTCGGGGGGGATGAAATGTCTGCCCTCAATTTCAACCGTCACGCAGCACGCAACAACGGGCAGGAGGGGCCTGATTTTGACGAATCTAGATTATCGCTAACTTATATGAGGCCCGTGGATCCTTGCTAGATCTGTGGATCCTTGCTAGATCTGTGGATCCTTGATAGATCCGCGGATCTTCGATCGCTCGGCGGATCTTTTTTTTGATAGATCCGCGGATCCTTGATAGATCCACGGGTCCTGAATAGATCGGTGGATCCTTGATAGATCCGCGGCTCCGTGATACACTCCGCGGATCCTTGATAGCTCCGCGGATCCTTGATAGATCCGTGGATCTTTGATAGATCCGCGGATCCTTGCGAGATCTTCGGGTCTTCGATCGAAAGAGCCGTGGATCCTTGAAAGATCCGGGGATCCTTGAAAGATCCGTGGATCCTTGAGAGATCCGCGGATCCTTGAAAGATCCGTGGATCCTTGGAAGATCCGTGGATCCTTGAAAGATCCGTGGATCCTTGGAAGATCCGTGGATCCTTGGAAGATCCGTGGATCCTTGAGAGATCCGTGGATCCTTGAAAGATCCGGGGATCCTTGAAAGATCCGGGGATCCTTGCGAGATCCGTGGATCCTTGAAAGATCCGGGGATCCTTGAAAGATCCGTGGATCCTTGAAAGATCTGTGGATCCTTGAAAGATCCGCGGATCCTTGCAAGATCCGGGGATCCTTGAAAGATCCGCGGATCCTTGCAAGATCTGTGGATCCTTGAAAGATCCGGGGATCCTTGAAAGATCCG